ATTAATGCATTTTTGGCTTAGTTATGAGATTTTTAGGTTTTGATTTATCGTAAAATTTGCATATAAAAATTTAGTTATTTCCGAATAAAAAATGGTATTGCACTTTCAGTCAGAAGCTTAAAAGAACGTGAAGGAGTCATTTCCGACCCTATAAATGATATATATTCTTGATCAGCATCAACAGACAATCTTTCTAGCTATATCCCGGCGAAAACATTTTTTTTCAGAAATTTACCATTTTCTGAAAAAAAGGAAAGGGGTTACATCATGAAAATTTGCAAAAATCGGCCAAAAATTAAAATTTTAAATGGAGTATGCAGTTCTATTAACCTGCTAAAAATTAACATACGAACGCTTTCCGAATTGAAATTAATGCATTTTTGGCTTAGTTATGAGATTTTTAGGTTTTGATTTGTCCTAAAATTTCATTATAAAATAAAGTTAATTCCGATTAAAAAATGGTATTGCACTTTCAGTCAGAAGCTTAAAAGAACGTGAAGGAGTCATTTCCGACCCTATAAATCATATATATTCTTGATCAGCATCAACAGACGAATCTTTCTAGCTATATCCCGGCGAAATTTTTTTTTAGAAATTTCCCATTTTCTGAAAAAAAGGAAAGGGGTTACATCATGAAAATTTGCAAAAATCGGCCAAAAAATAACATTTTAAATGGAGTATGCAGTTTTATTAACCTGCTAAAAATTAACATACGAACGCTTTCCGAATTGAAATTAATGCATTTTTGGCTTAGTTATGAGATTTTTAGGTTTTGATTTATCGTAAAATTTGCATATAAAAATTTAGTTATTTCCGAATAAAAAATGGTATTGCACTTTCAGTCAGAAGCTTAAAAGAACGTGAAGGAGTCATTTCCGACCCTATAAATGATATATATTCTTGATCAGCATCAACAGACAATCTTTCTAGCTATATCCCGGCGAAAACATTTTTTTCAGAAATTTACCATTTTCTGAAAAAAGGAAAGGGGTTACATCATGAAAATTTGCAAAAATCAGCCAAAAATTAACATTTTAAATGGAGTATGCAGTTTTATTAACCTGCTAAAAATTAACATACGAACGCTTTCCGAATTGAAATTAATGCATTTTTGGCTTAGTTATGAGAATTTTAGGTTTTGATTTATCGTAAAATTGGCATATAAAAATATAGTTATTTCCGAATAAAAATGGTATTGCACTTTCAGTCAGAAGCTTAAAAGAAAGTGAAGGAGTCATTTCCGACCCTATAAATCATATATATTCTTGATCAGCATCAACAGACGAATCTTTCTATCTATATCCCGGCGAAAAAATTTTTTTTCAGAAATTTCCCATTTTCTGAAAAAAAGGCAAGGGGTTACATCATGAAAATTTGCAAAAATCAGCCAAAAATTAACATTTTAAATGGAGTATGCAGTTTTATTAACCTGCTAAAAATTAACATACGAACGCTTTCCGAATTGAAATTAATGCATTTTTGGCTTAGTTATGAGATTTTTAGGTTTTGATTTGTCCTAAAATTTTCATTATAAAATAAAGTTAATTCCGATTAAAAAATGGTATTGCACTTTCAGTCAGAAGCTTAAAAGAAAGTGAAGGAGTCATTTCCGACCCTATAAATCATATATATTCTTGATCAGCATCAACAGACGAATCTTTCTAGCTATATCCCGGCGAAGAAATTTTTTTTCAGAAATTTCCCATTTTCTGAAAAAAAGGAAAGGGGTTACATCATGAAAAATTGCAAAAATCAGCCAAAAATTAACATTTTAAATGGAGTATGCAGTTTTATTAACCTGCTAAAAATTAACATACGAACGCTTTCCGAATTGAAATTAATGCATTTTTGGCTTAGTTATGAGAATTTTAGGTTTTGATTTGTCGTAAAATTTGCATATTAAAATATAGTTAATTCCGATAAAAAAATGGTATGGCACTTTCAGTCAGAAGCTTAAACGAAAGTGAAGGAGTCATTTCCGACCCTATAAATCATATATATTCTTGATCAGCATCAACAGACGAATCTTACTAGCTATATCCCGGCGAAAACATTTTTTTTTCAGAAATTTCCCATTTTCTGAGAAAAAGGAAAGGGGTTACATCATGAAAATTTCAAAAATCGGAGAAACATTCACATTTTAAATGGAGTATGCAGTTTTATTAACCTGCTAAAAATTAACATACGAACGCTTTCCGAATTGAAATTAATGCATTTTGGCTTATTTATGAGATTTTTAAGTTTTGGTTTGTCGTAAAATTTGCATATAAAAATATAGGTAATTCCGAATAAAAAATGGTATTGCACTTTCAGTCAGAAGCTTAACAGAACGTGAAGGAGTCATTTCCGACCCTATAAATCATATATATTCTTGATCAGCATCAACAGACAAATCTTACTAGCTATATCCCGGCAAAAACATTTTATTACAGAAATTTCACATTTTCTGAAAAAAAGGAAAGGGGTTACATCATGAAAATTTGCAAAAATCGGAGAAACATTCACATTTTAAATGGAGTATGCAGTTTTATTAACCTGCTAAAAATTAACATACGAACGCTTTCCGAATTGAAATTAATGCATTTTTGGCTTAGTTATGAGATTTTTAGGTTTTGATTTATCGTAAAATTTTCATATTAAAATATAGTTAATTCGGATTAAAAAATGGTATTGCACTTTCAGTCAGAAGCTTAAAAGAAAGTGAAGGAGTCATTTCCGACCCTATAAATCATATACATATATTCTTGATCAGCATCAACAGACGAATCTTACTAGCTATATCCCGGCGAAAACTTTTTTTTCAGAAATTTCCCATTTTCTGAAAAAAAGGAAAGGGGTTACATCATGAAAATTTGCAAAAATCGGAGAAACATTCACATTTTAAATGGAGTATGCAGTTCTATTAACCTGCTAAAAATTAACATACGAACGCTTTCCGAATTGAAATTAATGCATTTTTGGCTTAGTTATGAGATTTTTAGGTTTTGATTTGTCGTAAAATTTTCATATTAAAATATAGTTAATTCCGATTAAAAAATGGTATTGCACTTTCAGTCAGAAGCTTAAAAGAAAGTGAAGGGGTCATTTCCGACCCTATAAATCATATATATTCTTGATCAGCATCAACAGACGAATCTTACTAGCTATATCCCGGCGAAAACATTTTTTTTCAGAAATTTCCCATTTTCTGAGAAAAAGGAAAGGGGTTACATCATGAAAATTTTCAAAAATCGGAGAAACATTCACATTTTAAATGGAGTATGCAGTTTTATTAACCTGCTAAAAATTAACATACGAACGCTTTCCGAATTGAAATTAATGCATTTTGGCTTATTTATGGGATTTTTAAGTTTTGGTTTGTCGTAAAATTTGCATATAAAAATATAGGTAATTCCGAATAAAAAATGGTATTGCACTTTCAGTCAGAAGCTTAAAAGAAAGTGAAGGAGTCATTTCCGACCCTATAAATCATATATATTCTTGATCAGCATCAACAGACGAATCTTACTAGCTATATCCCGGCGAAAACATTTTTTTTTCAGAAATTTCCCATTTTCTGAGAAAAAGGAAAGGGGTTACATCATGAAAATTTTCAAAAATCGGAGAAACATTCACATTTTAAATGGAGTATGCAGTTTTATTAACCTGCTAAAAATTAACATACGAACGCTTTCCGAATTGAAATTAATGCATTTTGGCTTATTTATGAGATTTTTAAGTTTTGGTTTGTCGTAAAATTTGCATATAAAAATATAGGTAATTCCGAATAAAAAATGGTATTGCACTTTCAGTCAGAAGCTTAAAAGAAAGTGAAGGAGTCATTTCCGACCCTATAAATCATATATATTCTTGATCAGCATCAACAGACGAATCTTACTAGCTATATCCCGGCGAAAACATTTTTTTTCAGAAATTTCCCATTTTCTGAGAAAAAGGAAAGGGGTTACATCATGAAAATTTTCAAAAATCGGCCAAAAATTAACATTTTAAATGGAGTATGCAGTTTTATTAACCTGCTAAAAATTAACATACGAACGCTTTCCGAATTGAAATTAATGCGTTTTTGGCTTAGTTATGAGATTTTTAAGTTTTGGTTTATCGTAAAATTTGCATATAAAAATATAGTTAATTCCGATTAAAAATGGTATTTCAGTCTCAGTCAGAAGCTTAAAAGAAAGTGAAGGAGGCATTACCGACCCTATAATTCATATATATTCTTTATCAGCATCAAATCCGCGAATCTTTCTAGCTATATTCGGGCGAAAAATGGTTTTTTCTGAAATTTCCCATTTTCTACAAAAAAAGAAAAAGGGTTACATCATGAAAATTTGCAAAAATCGGCCAAAAATTAACATTTTAAATGGAGTATGCAGTTTTATTAACCTGCTAAAAATTAACACACGAACGCTTTCCGAATTGAAATTAATGCATTTTTGGCTTAGTTACGAGATTTTTAGGTTTTGATTTGTCGTAAAATTTGCATATAAAAATATAGTTATTTCCGAATAAAATATGGTATTGCACTTTCAGTCAGAAGCTTAAAAGAAAGTGAAGGAGTCATTACCGACCCTATAATTCATATATATTCTTTATCAGCATCAAATCCGCGAATCCGCGAATCTTTCTGGCTATATTCGGGCGAAAAATTGTTTTTTCTGAAATTTCCCATTTTCTACAGAAAAAAGAAAAGGGGTTACATCATGAAAATTTTTCTTTCGACAAAAATGTTCACGGTTTTACATTCGGAAAGGTGTCCGAATTGAAATTAATGCATTTTTGGCTTAGTTTTGAAGTTTTTAAAATTTTATTTATAGAATCTTGTTAAATTGTGAAGATCTCATTTCCGACTATATTGAGTATGTAGTTTTGTTGCCATTATAAAAACTAGCATAAAAAAGATTTCAGAATTGAAATTAATACATTTTTGGCTTAGTTATAGCATTTACTGAAATATAAAGATTTCGTTTATTATAAAATATACTTTCGATGTTTTAATTTGTAGGTCTTTCGAAGTAAACAAAGCTGGCATGTCTAACATAATAACCTAAAACTCTAAAATTCACATATATCAACAATTATGTTTCTATTTTCAAAATAATATGGAAAATATGTAATTGACCGCAGACATAGGGTATTCCTACACGGTAAGTAACAGTGTTTTTCAAAACATTTCAGTGCCGCAATAGGATTGGCTATAATATATTGATTTGAAGAGAAATTGCAAAATATTTCCATTAATTTAAAACAAAGTTCAAACATCTTTGTATTCTTCTTGGCTTATTAGTTGGATTAAATTGTATTCTTTTCAGCATAATTTCCAAAGGCCGTGAGACTTACAACTTCATACCTAACAACTTTAAGATGAATCCCGTAATGATAATATTCCGAGATGGCAATAGAAAGGTAAAATTAAACTAGTTACTGTATGTTCTTTTAAAAACAGCGGTCTTAAACTTACTGACAAATTATGCAAATTGTATTGGCGAAACAAAATTGGTCTTGTGAGAAAAAAGTTCAGATTAAAAACAAATGTATTTCAAGATCAATAATTTTTTTTAAATTTAAATTTTATTTTTAGCTATTTTTCTAAAAGAATATAAAAACATGTTATTTGTACTCTACCTAGTCTTTGATGCCCAACTCCGATTAGATTTCTGAAAAAGGTCAGTCAAATGACACTTTAAAATTCGTAATCTCTCACACAAAGAACGAGTAGCGACAAAATGTGAAAATGTCCCAAGCTGGGCTTTAATTACATAATATAGAATCAAATTGATTACATATAATTATTTTTGAGTATGGGCCATCGAATACCCTATATAAAATGTGATTTCAAAAAGATTAAATTGAAGTGTTAAAATTCTTAAGTCCATAAAATAATTTCTATTTTAGGTAGAACCCAATTTAAATGTAAGGTTCTTCCTAAAAATCCTAAATATAATGAAGAAACTGTGTATTAGGTATCATTAAGACAAAATGTATAAAGAAATCTTTAGTTTTTAATTGTCTGTGTTTGTATTAAAACATTATAAGCCTCTTATCAGTTATTCTAACCTCCGGCAATGAAAAAACTCAACGCGACAACTGAAAAATTTGTTTGAGACGCGCACGCGACAATGTGTTTCGTTAAATTTTAGTGAAATATTCATATATTTGATTATTTTAAAGAGTTTATAAAAAATTAAATAATAAAATAAATTCGACAATCAATGAACCAAGTGTAAAGTTTAGTTGTAATTCAAATTGAAGTTTCCAAAGACTCAAGGTGTATTTGCGCATCGTTCTCAGCGTGTTTTCTACTTTATATAATATTTTATATTTTCAATCAGGATCCATATACAGAATTTCAACTGGTACCTACATCCGTTTTATCGGTGAAAATGCTTGTGGATTTTGGGGCTGGACTTTTAGGCGGTAATAGTGCCTCTCTTCTACCGGAAGACATCCGTAATATTTCGATTCTTCTTCGTATTTAGGAGCTGCCGGTGTCCTTGTCGGCCACCCCTTCGACACTGTGAAGGTTCACATGCAAATGGATGATCCTCATAACCCCAAATATAAAGGAACCTTTCACTGCCTGAAAACTATAATACAAAAGGACGGTGTCAGGGGATTGTACCGCGGCATTACCAGTCCCATTGGTGGCATCGGATTCGTGAATGCCATCGTCTTCGGGGTCTATGGAAATGTGCAACGTTTATCCCCCGATCCCGATTCACTGATGTCCCACTTCTATGCCGGCTCCGTCGCCGGTGTGGCTCAGAGTTTCGTCTGCGCGCCGATGGAACTGGCCAAGACGAGGCTTCAGTTGGCAACGCAAATCGATACTGGCATCAAGTTCAGAGGACCCATTCACTGCCTCACGCATATTTTAAGAACGGAGGGCATAAGGGCCACCTACAAGGGATTACTAGCTACCATTTTAAGAGATATTCCAGGTGAGTTCATTAGTGTTCTCAAAACTAACATGACTTATTAGAACATCCTTGATTTTGTCAGGATTCGCCAGCTACTTCGTATCTTACGAGTTCCTCATGCGTCAGATGGAGACGCCAAGCATAGCGTATACCCTGACAGCAGGGGGAAGTGCCGGATGTGCGTCCTGGCTATTCTGCTATCCCATCGATGTGGTAAAAACGCACATGCAGGCTGATGCCTTGGGCAAGGAAGCCAAGTACAATGGATTCATAGACTGTGCAATAAAAGGCTTTAGAAGTGACGGGCTGCAATATTTCTTCCGAGGACTGAACTCGACGCTAATTAGATCATTTCCCATGAACGCTGCCTGCTTTTTAGTGGTATCTTTGGTGCTGAATTTTTTCAACGCCAAGGATGGCATGGATTCCATAGATCACATCGCCGAGCAGCCATTAAACGTCGTAACCTTGGAAAATACAAAGCAAACGGACTTCGATACCACCGCCCCGTCGACTGTTGAGGAAGTTGTGCGAAAAATAATCACGGAAAACGCGATATCACCTCATCATCACCAGTATGTGTCCACTCCGAAGGATGCCGCTCACAGTCAGTTTACAAGCAACAGCAACACAATTAACATTTCCAAAGAATCAAAAAAAAGTTTGGCCTCCGATTGTAATTTAAAATAAAATTTCAGTTTTTATACCCGGTAACCATAGAATACAAGGTATTATACCTAGCATAGTGCCAACCGAGAATGTATATAACAGGCAGAAGCAAACATCACTGAACCCTTAAATTATATTTGGCAATTATTATAAACATCAAATTTCTCCTACTTCTGCACTACACAGTATCTCTATATATTGATTCCATCCATAGTAACAATTAAATCACTTAAGCGTAGACACAAACAAAAAGAAAGAAACTAAATCATACCGATCCATAATTTATATTTATTTCAATGTTTTTAATACGATGAATACACTTAAATAGGCTTACGATTAAGGGTAGGCTTCCTAAGAGCCGCAAGACATGCAAGCATCCTTGTTTTCGAGCGAACAAACCATATCCGCCAATTTCCGTTCTCTATCCAACTCGTACTCTTGGGAATTCTCCTCCTCTGCGGTGCCATTCTGGCCATTGACTTTAAGCGCACCCTGCTTCTTGTTGACGGTGAACTGTATGGCGTTCGCAGCCGGCTTCGTGCGGAGATAGTACATTCCGGTTTTAAGGCCAGCCTTCCACGAGTAAAAATGTATGGACGTCAGCTTGCCATAGTTGGGCTCGGCAACATGAATGTTGAACGATTGACTCTGATCGATGAATGCACCACGATCCGCAGCCATTTTAATGGTGGACTTGACGGAGATCTCCCACACCGTCTTGTACAGATCGCGCACATGCTGGGGGATGGCCTCGATATTCTGAATTGAGCCACGGCTGGAAATTATCTGGTTCTTCATATCATCATCCCACAAGTCAAGCTCCGTCAGATCCCTCAACAGGTGGTGGTTAACCACCTGGAATTCGCCGGAGAGAACGCGTCGTGTATAGATATTTGTGGTGTACGGCTCGAAGGATTCGTTATTGCCCATTATCTGGGCAGTGGATGCCGTTGGCATGGGGGCGACCAGCAGAGAGTTCCTGACACCATGTTTCTTGATCGACTCCTTCAGCTTGGCCCAGTCCCAGAGGTTCGTTGGGACCTTGTCCCACATATCGTACTGAAGAATTCCCTTGCTTACGGGACTGCCCTCGTATGTTTCATACGGACCTTCGGCCTGGGCCAGTTCACAACTTGCTTCCAGTGCGCCATAATAGATAGTTTCAAAGATCTGCTGGTTTAGGAGACCTGCCTCCTCGCTTTCGTAAGGGAATCTCATCAGAATCAAGGCATCAGCAAAACCCTGAATGCCAATGCCAATGGGGCGATGCCTCAAATTTGATTTCCGGGCCTCTGGCAGGGGATAATAATTGATGTCAATAATCTTATTCAGATTCTTAGCCACTGTCTTAGTGACCTCCTTCAGTTTCTTAAAGTCGTACGTCTTCTCAGGGGTCACGAACATGTTGAGAGCGATGGATGCCAGGTTGCAAACGGCGATTTCGTCGGGCGACGAATACTCAACGATTTCTGTGCAAAGATTACTGCACTTGATGGTGCCAACATTCTGCTGATTGCTCTTCCTGTTGCATGCATCCTTGAACAGCATATAAGGATTGCCAGTCTCCACCTGCGCCTCAATGATGGCGAACCACAGGGACTGAGCCTTAACCGTCCGATTGGCTTTTCCTTCGGCCTCGTATTTGAGGTACAATTGGTCAAATTCGTCGCCCCAAACATCCTGCAGGCCGGGACACTTGTGCGGGCACATCAGCGACCAGTTCTCATTTGCCTCAACGCGCTTCATAAAGAGATCAGGTATCCAGAGGGCATAAAATAAATCGCGAGCACGATTCTCTTCCTTACCGGTGTTCTTCTTCAGTTCCAAGAATTCAAAAACATCGGAATGCCAGGGCTCCAAGTAGATGGCAAAGGCGCCAGGGCGCTTGCCGCCACCCTGATCCACGTAACGCGCTACATTGTTGAAGACTCGCAGCATGGGAACGAGGCCATTGGAGGTCCCATTCGTGCCACATATCGAGGTGCCCTTGGCACGGATGCAATGGACATTCAGGCCAATGCCGCCCGCCGACTTGGAAATCATGGCACAGTGTTCCACCGACTTGAAAATACCTTCGATCGAATCGGATGTCATAGTCAGAAGGAAGCAGGACGAGAGTTGCGGTCGGTTAGTGGCAGCGGCGAACAGAGTGGGTGAGGCGTGTGTGAAGAAGCGCTCTGACAGCAAATTGTAGGTCTCAACAGCGGCATCGATATCTTCACCATGGATTCCAATCGCCACGCGCATTAGCATATGTTGCGGCCGCTCGACAATCTTGCCATTACTCTTAAGCAAATACGAACGTTCGAGGGTCTTAAAGCCAAAATAATTGTACCCAAAGTCACGATCGTAAATTATGGACGAGTTCAAGCGCGTGGCATGCTTCTTAACGATGTTGTAGTGATATTCCGATACCAGCGGTGCACTTAGACCTGTTTCCTTATTAATGTTCTTGAAGAGATCCTCAAAGACATCTGAAAAATTGATTTAATAGAGCGGATCCTTTGCAGAGAGTAGTAGGAGACGTACCAGAAAACACCTTTCTTGTTTCTTTATGCAAATTGGAGACGGCAATGCGAGCTGCTAGAATAGCATAGTCCGCATGATTGCATGTCAATCCCGCCGAGATCTCGGCAGCCAGGTTGTCCAGCTCTTGTGTGGTTACGCCGCAATATAAACCATTAATGACTTGGAGAGTAATGGAAACCTAAAGTGAAAGAACAATCAATGTAAAAAGAGAATATTATCTCACATGCGGGGGAGGGCAGCCATTGTTTTTTATTTAATTGCTCCGCAGCCTTCGCCCTATTTTACTTGAACAAATAAATGCTCCCTAATGATACGGAACCGATCTGCGTAATATAAATAGCTAGATTAACTTACCGGATCAACAAAATCCATATTTAAGTTGTAGCAAAGCTTTTGGATTCTTGAGGTTATTTTATCAAAGTGTACCTCCTCCTGTCTGCCATCTGTAAGACAATTTTTTGGTAAAATCTAACTCAGTCATGTAGTCGAAAACTTACCTCGCTTAATAACATATAGCTTGGAAGTCTTTAAAGTTTTATTCTTCAACATTTTGGATTAATTGAATTTCACAAGAATGCACAGACACAAAATGCTTGTTGCCAATAAAAAAAGGCGCCAAGAAAAGTCAATATTAGAGATACCGTTTTGCAAGATCTCTTACAACGCGTTATCAGTAGCATTTTTTTCTAATTTGAAACGATCGAGAAACACTAGATACAACGAGATTGAACACATTATGTAGAAAAAAAGTTTATAAAAAATGTAAAATGGAGTAAAAAACACTTTCGCAGCAGTTTGTTTTCAAAATAAATATTTAAACGATTTTAATTGTGGTATTTAATATACAATAATATATATAGTTTTATTTATATTGCATCAAATTAGTAAGTAATTATATCAGTATTTAAAGAACATTACTTTGGAATATGTGTTTTAGAAACGGTCTTGATAGTTTGTATTAATCATAAAAGTGAATTTATATTTGCAAACAAATTTGTCATGTAACATGCAATTTATAGAAAGCTCTTATTTCAGAGACAAGTGCCTAACTTTGTTAATATTCTGGCCAGTTTGCTGTTGAAAAACACTGCAAACAAAAAAATATTTATATATGATTATAATGGTTTAAGATTTTATACTTACAAAAAATTATTGATCTTCTCAAGATCATGCAATATGTCATCTTGGTCCGAATTTAGATCGTCGCGTTCTTTAAGGCTCTCGAGCAGATCAACATTCAATCTCTCAATATACTTCTGTAGGTTATTGACCAATAACTGTAGAGTCGGAACTTGAATTCCAGTGAGTAACTGCCTTGATATCCAACGATGATGTTTATTCATAATAATACCAACATCACTGAGCATTGAGCGAATTATATCCACGATTGGCGTTTCGCCATTTTTCTTTGCCTATAACCATAAGAAAGCCATAAAAATATATTAAGGATCAAGGAATTCATATGTAAATATGAATATCAATAGATATTAATTGCCACCTGTAGCACAAGGCCAAAGAACACTTACCTTGACTTTCATTTGCGCAATTTCCTTCGATTGAGCTAGGGCTATTCTAACCTCTATTTGTAGCTTTGATTGGTTTGCAAAGAAATAGTTGTTTTCATTTGTATGAAATTCTGGTTCTTGAATCGCGTTGCCGTTTATCGCATATTGATTGATATTTTCTTCTTGGTTCTTTTCAAAGATTTGATCGTTATCAAATTCTTTATTTCGTTTGGGTTCAGAGCATTCGGATTGCTTGCGAAGTGCTTTACTTGATAGCTTCGGACATGTTTCAGAGTCAGAACTATAGCTTTCGTTGTCAGAACCGGTCAGAAACTCTTCCTTTTTAATGTCTGAAAATAGTTTATATTGAAAAGCCTGAATTGGATACATTTCGTTCCTTACCATTTTGATTATTTGATGGATCTTTATCCCCGATTGCCAATCTTTTGCGAATTTCATCCCGGTTAAAGCGACGCTGAAACGATTAAGCCAAGTAATTTAGTTTCTTCAGTAATCCGCTATTCGTAAGTTTCTTATTTACCTTCTTTTCGATTTGTTTCACCTTCTGAAAATGATTTTCCAATGTTTCCACATCCATATCTTTCGCCACTTTGTATGCATCAAATTGTTCTAAAAAACGACATCAGTATTACTAAACCGTGAATATTCTGAAAGAGAAGTATGCATTACCCAACACCATAGTCGATGAAGAGACCTTGGAATATTTTTTAGAATCCTCCAAGTACTGAGACCAGCACGATTGGTTTAAGTACCGCCGGTTAGTTACATTTGTAACTTCTTCATCTTTGAAAGCTGGCTGACATTTTCCTATTTCCAAATTGCTTAAATTGGGAATATCAGCCTGGTTGATGTTCTGCTTATTATTTTTGTTCTTTTCTGAAACTGATTGATAGTGTTCGGCCGCATCACATAGTAGATATTTTCGCTGACTGTAAGTTTTATAATCAAATGTGTCCGGTGGTAGCTGTCGCTCATCATGTGATTGCTTCTGATGCTTCATTTTTAAAGGCTCGTGTCCATATGGTTTATTTTTCTTTTTATTTTTGCGCATATTATGTCCAGCAAATCGTGTTGAATGCGCACAATTTAAAGCTTCCGTTCCATTCGATAGCTCTGCATCGTTTATCTGGAAAGAAGCGTTTGGAATTTACACCATTATTTGAATATTAGGATTTAAAAAATTTACCTTTGATAAGTTTGATTCTTGCAACGCTTCCAGGGATTTTTTGTTTTTATATCCATTGATAAGAAGTTCAAACTCGCGCTCCACTTCTTCGCCAAAATCCCCAACAATATCAATTGGACTTTGTCCTTGCAGTTGGCCCTCGTATTTTGTATTAATTGTACAAGACCACGGAGAATATTCGGAATTGGTCATATAATTTTTGCTCAGATTATAAATTAAATCTGGCTTCACTGAGTTTTTCTGCGTCGAGTCGAAATTTTTATTTACAAGATCAGGTATATTCGTAGAAGACGGAGTGTGTGCCATATTCCCCGATGAGTATGTATTTCCATTGTCATTCGCATCCAATGCCCTATTCCTTAACAGCAATTCCTGGGTGTTTTCCAAGTCGATATTGCACTTTACATTTTCATTTTTAAACGATATTTGGTCATCCTCTCTGTCACTATCCGTTAAATCACTTTCATTGCATTCCATGTCCGAGTACTCGATATAGTCGTCCGACAGTGTATGTGCAAATTTTTGAAATCCCGGATAGTTTGGGTTAGTAATACCTTTGGTAATATAGATATCCATTCTTGAACTGGGCATTTGACAAAGTTATCTAGAATAGAAAGCAGAATAAGTTTTAAATTGTTATATTTGTGCCCGTGAAAATTAGAATTTCAATGTCATCACTATGCTTTGACAATGATTTTGCCCATACCACATTTCGGTCTTCTTTTCCTTTTTATTCATATTTCCAATGGGAATCCCCCCTGAATCTGAACTCCATGTTCATCTATCGAGTTATTCGTTCCGTCGATGACGTCGTACGTCAAAGGATTTTTACATAATAATAACATATTTTTTAAACGATTTCGCTTATATATATATATATATATATATATATATATATGTATATATGTCCATTTAAGCTAAACCAAAAAATGTTGTCATAGGTAATTGATTTTATTTTTACAGAAGCCACACAGAACCTTTACGTTTCTGTTTTCTCTGGTTTACTTATTCACAGTATCTATTATTTTAATAAAAGACTTACTCTTTTGATAAAATGTAAAAGATTTAATTTTGAACCGATGAACTTACAAGGACTATGGCCTTTCTTCCTTCCATTCAGATATAAAAAATACTCCCACAAATACACTGCGTTTTGGCGCATGCGTGGGTTTGTGGACCACCATTCATAGTTCTGATAATAACACTATTAACAGCATTAGCTATAAAGAGACTAAGCGAACTATAATAATAAGTAACCACAAAAGTTTAGATTACAAATTACAACCAATATAACAACAATTAACCGAATCAAAATTGAAAAAGAATACCCATATTATGTTGCCTTATTAAACATTTTCCTAAAATCAATATACGGTAACACTAAGCACAATGTGATTTTAAAAAAATATATAATATTGCTATAAATATATTAGAAACCAAACACATAACTAAAAATGGAATAAGCTTGGACTGTAAATGTTTTTGAATAATAATGTTATTATTCAAGGGTATGCGACGGGTGAAGACCCAGCTGAAAACTCCTGTTGACTTGGTGCTCATCCGGGTGAGGTTCTTAGGCCAGTTACGCAACTGTTAACAAACTAACTTTACAAACTTTTAAAAACATTTTAGTACTCGACGGCTGCCACAAATTCATCTCACGATCAGAATGGAAGACCTACCACCACCCAGGTGCTGCAATTGCCATTGGTATCCCCACCGGCAGCTGATTCCTCCTCGGCTTCGTTGGCAAAGCTAAATAGCCAGCATTTACCCGAAAACCACACTTCCTGGATGCCCAGTCCATACACCGCACCCGGGAAAACACTCAGTCAATATAAGAAGCTATCAAAATTTCGCCTAACATGTAAGTAATGTTGCCTATTTGGTATTCCGTTACAATAAGCCGGTTGATCTTTCAGCTCTGGTGGTCATAACGACAGCTGGAGGCTATGCGATGGCCCCGGCTGCTTTCGATCCCGCCTCGTTTGTTATGTGCACGCTAGGCACCGGGCTGGTTTCGGCGGCGGCCAACGCCATTAATCAGTATCACGAGGTTCCCTTTGATTCGCAAATGTCGAGGACCAAGAATCGGGTACTCGTCACGGGACAAATGACGCCGTTGCATGCAGTCACCTTTGCCGTTGTGTCTGCTACCGCTGGCCTGAGTATGCTGTATTTTGGTACAAATGGATTGACGGCAGCTCTGGGAGCGGGAAATCTGTTCCTTTACACCACGATATATACGCCGCTAAAGAGGATTAGCATTGTGAACACGTGGATTGGCTCAGTGGTGGGTGCCATACCGCCGCTAATGGGCTGGGCTGGATGTGCCGGCACCTTAGATGCCGGAGCAATGATACTGGCGGGAATACTGTACGCGTGGCAGTTTCCTCACTTCAATGCTCTGTCGTGGAACCTTAGGCCGGATTACTCGCGTGCCGGCTATCGAATGATGGCCGTTACCAATCCGGGCTTATGTCGGCGGACAGCCCTGCGGTATTCGGTAGCTATTGCTGGACTTTCGGTCATGGCACCGGTCCTTGACGTCACGAACTATTGGTTTGCTTTGGAAACGCTACCTTTGAACGCTTACTTCGCATATCTCGGTAAGTATAGTCTTTATATGAACATATCTATATCTATATTAATTGATTGTGTATTGCAGCGTATAAATTTCATGAAAAGTCAGACAGCGGGACCTCGCGAAAGCTATTCAGATTTTCTTTAATCCACCTGCCAGCTTTGATGCTACTGTTCTTAGCTAACAAAAAAGAGTGGTTCTTCGGCAAGTCGGCGAGCGAAGAGAAGAAAAAGGAGTCAAGCTATCTGGCTCTAAAGCAGTCGGCGAGTAGTCTGGGCAATGTACTGCCTGTCGCTGTGGCCGAAGAAGGACCCAGATAGTCTAGCACCCCAATTTATACGCGATGTTAAGCTACGAAATATACTTAACATGTTTTGCAACTTGTATAAAATAGTCATAAAATATAAAATAAAGCGTACCTTTGTGTTGCAAAGCTTTTTTGATTTTAAGAATAAATTGTGACAACTTACTTAAGCGAAGAGTTTAATTTGTTATTTAATAATTTGCGATTAAATTTAATTAAATTTTTAAAACGAATTGTCTGCAGGCCTTCTTTGACGAAATGTAAACAAATGCAAGAGTGACCATGTTATTGGTCAGCCAGACCAATGCAGATATGAAAGCAGTCCGAATCCATTCGTTTCAGAAAATACAATAATATAATATAATCTTTGGATTGATTATTTACTTCAATTATTTAATAAATCAATTTAATTTCAAGACGTAGAATATCTCACACAGTTTCTACATATCACTGACCATTTTTTATTTGCACAAAACCCCAATGCAGCACCTTCCTAATCATTTTGAAAAATATTAATTGCAATAAATATATTATTTAAAAACGAATCAGTAATCAATTTTTCAATTAAGCAAAGATTAATCCACAAAATTTCAAAATAATTATATTTTGCACAAATTAAATTGTTTGGTATATCTGCTGCTACTGCGTGCATAGCCGCATCCCTGGTTTCGTATTTTGGACGGAAAACTAGCTCAAATGAACGTAAAATGCAAATTGAACCACTGGAGTGAATTATTTTTAGTGAGCTGAACGTGGATTGTGACAATGAAAAATTGAGGAATAGTGTTTACATTCATTTTATAATTTATTTTAAAGTTATCTTTTTTATCTCGATAAAGGAGAGAGTGGCGTATGCAAGTTTCTTTACACAGTGCAAACACATATAAATTTTTAATTATGTATAATGTACCACATAAGTTTCGTCAAGTTTGTCGATTGTGCCTCACATTGGTTAACGAGTGCGATGTTCCAGAACTACAAATTTATAATGTTTCGACGTCGCATAATAGTGCGCCGCAAGACAGAGTTGAGCAGCAGAAAAAGGCGGCCGAAAAGCGTGCCGCTGGCTGCTTCTGCAGGGCTCGGGCTCTGAGCCCCAATCTGTGCAGCTGCCTCGGTGATAACTCGCTATCAGTACCAGAAACGGGTCCAAGCCAATCCCAATCCCTTCACCAAACACATTACAACACACCAAGTGTGCCTTCTGCTGCGGGAACAATATCGAGTGGCAGTGAACAACAAGCGTACGCTAAGCCTTTTGCCAGCAAGAGCCAATTGGAGTTGTCGGACATCGCCGAAAGATCAGTATTCAAAAGTCAGTCATCGCCGTCGTCGACGGCGACGTCGTCATCATCGACGCAGGTAGCGCAACAACAACAGCAGCAGCAGCATGAAAATATTGCATGCAGAGAAGGAGAAGGAAAATCATTCAAGACGGAACAAATCCCGAGGGAGGAACGTTCACTACATAATCAACTCGATTTCGCTGCCGAAAACACAAATGTGAAAACCAAAATAAGCAGCAGAACAGATAACTACGGCCAAGAGCGCAGCGGAGGTGATGATGATTCATCACCACATCTTACATTTCAGATATTCAACTGTCTCTCTATTAAGGTAAGCAGATTTCCATCCAACACATTTGCACAGAAACGAATTTACATTAATTACGCACACACACAAGCGTGATATATCGTGTGTGTTTGTGGATATACCGCGGTATATCTAAATACATACATACTCACCGTTGAGAGCGCTTGATTGTGTGTGTTATCTATGTGATTACGACACCACACGTCAAAATAATAGGAAATGATTGGGGCCGCTTTTATCCAATGGCCTATTAACAATCGGTATCAATTGTTTAGTATTTTTTTCGATTAACTGCTTTGGAGCCATTCACCCACCCACACACGTACACACACACACACACACACATACAAAAAGAGCACATATTTACACAGACAAGTGCACACTGCTATCGTACATCAATGTCCAGCATAAAAATGTAAATATTGATATGTACACATGTACTTATGTATGTACGTATAAAAACGGCTAAAATGTGAGCGGCAGAGACCTACAAACGAACACATGTACAATAATCCATTCCGTACAGATAACATATTTATATCTCTCGCAAGTTTGATTGATTAAGAGCGCTTTCTCAGTGTCAGTGTGTAGGCGTTCATGGGGCTAGTGAATTGGAGGGGTAGGTCACTTATAGTTTTCATTATTTTATACTTACTCAACGAGTTTATTTTTTAGAAAATTAGAAATTTGAAACTCCTTACTTCTTGTGATAACAGTTAAGTATTTGTATACCCTTTAAAGGTATTATAAATTCAGTCAGAAGCATATAATTCTGTGAAGTAGTCATTTCCGACCCCATAAATCATATATATTATTGATCAGCATAAAAAGCCGAGTCGATCTAGCTATGTCTGGTCAAAATCTATTTTTTTCAAAATTTTGAAAATTTGACAAAAAATTATATTTTCTATATTTTAAAACGTAGTATGCAGATTTATTGGCCGTTCGAAAACTAACACAGAAAGGCTTTCCGAATGGAAATTAATGCATTTTAAGCTTAGTTAAAAGTTTTTTAAACTTTAATTTTTCCAACAAATTGTCATTTAAAAATTAGTGGTAATAGATTTCCTATTCGATCCGATAATTCAAGTTAAAACTCCAATGGTATAAACACTTGGGTTTTCCGAAGTTAGTTTCCATCCATATTATCTTATTTGAATTCTAAATAACGTAATATGCCTGCCGACTCCATCGATATCGATTGTATTTTACTTTTCTCTGTGATTTCTTATTTTCGTTACATGTTACATGACATTTACAAATACCATGTTAACTTGATGGGTTCTCTTTTACTTTTCCAGGCAATGCCGCACGATGGATTACCTAACTTGATCTGCACTGATTGCAGGGCAAAATTGGATTCCTTTGAGAAGTTTAGAATTATGGCGAATAATTCAAATAATGCTTTGAAAGAATTTTTAAATATATCAAAATCTCTGTTACTAGTAAGTAAAAAATAACATGTCCTTTATATTAAACATATTTTTGGGGAGGACAAAATGAATTCATTATTTTGCATTTTTAAAACATCAACTAATATGTTGTGATTTTTTTCAGGATCCAAACGAGTTGGATGATAAGCTTGATGAAATTTTAAAGGCTTCATCGGAGGCTATAGCTGCCAAGGCTCTCACCGAGCTGAGCACATTTTCTAAGGTTAAGTACGAAAGTAAGGTAGATTCATCCAGCGTCCATCAGCAGCAGCCGTTGGATCGGAAGATTGAGATTAACAATCAAGAGAGCGCAGCGCAGCAGCAGCAGCATAGCTTATATCCAGGTTTATTCAAATCAATAACTATGAAAGGCGATCAGTTTATTGCACATAATAAGAAGATAATGCCCGGATCATCCTCCTCGCACAGCAACAGCAGCCAGTCTGCTGATATGGAAAAGTATGAGAACTTACAGCAACAGCTCGAGACAGCCGCCGTTCTCATGGATATAAGCAAAAAGATTGTTATTTCACCTCCATGCTCGAATCCGCAATCTCCGTGCTTCTCTGCCGCAGCTACAGTAGATACAAGTATTAAAAGTTCTGTGATAAAATCAAAACGTCCATTGAAACAAAATGAAATCGAGGACGGAGTTGAGATTGACCTATCCGTCAAAAAACAAAAGAACGATTACTCTTCTAATCAACGGAATGCATCAACAGCGGTGGTCCCGCCACAGTTACACAATTTTTGCCAAACTCCAATTCTTGATATTCAGTCGCACTTAAGAAATGAAGAGGATTTTCATCAAAACTACAGTATTACCATTAATCAAGTTGGTGGTGGTGGTGGATCCTCCGCCGCCGCCGATTACAAGCTTAAGGCCCCGAAGGCGAGTACCAACTCCCTGCAGGATTCTGGCGACAGCTCCGACTCTCACAAACTGGAGATGGACATTACGTCCTCGATTAATGACCGAAAGACCCCGGATAGCCTAAGCTCGGATCATGCAACAGATGCGGCAACCACTCAACTTTGGCAGGCACTGGCCCGATCAGCTGGTAAGTGAAATATCAAGTACAACTATTAAAATAAATGATTAAAATTATACATATATATTTATGTTTATTGATTTCTTATAGCTAAAAGCAAAGAGGAAAATCAAAATCAGGCTACTGAAATAATCCGTAACATGATGAGCCACTCTTTCGTGTTTCCGGTTCCGTCAACAGTATCATTTACAAAAGTACCTGAAGAACCCATAGCACTATTAAAGGTAAGATGCTACTTTTTTTAAAAAATGGAAAGTAAACTTACTAAACTATATTACATCTTACAGGATCTATCAGAGGCTCAATCCAGCAAATCAAAACCATGTAGAAGAAAACAAAGTTTTCCTACCAAAACCGATTGCATCGATGTAGTTAATGAGAATGTGACTGATACTTACGCCCCTTCAGAAGCAACTCCAGAGGAAAAGAAAGATAAAAGGGTATGTTATAGTGCACATTTTTGTTCTGTTCATTAATGTAATATTTTCCATTTAATTCTTGTTTGATATTCAAAAGAACATAAACCTTTTTAATGCCATACCTGGTGCTCAAAAAGATATGTCATGTTCCAATTGTGGCACACTCACCACAACAATTTGGCGGCGAAGTGTTCGAGGCGAAATGGTATGCAATGCCTGCGGATTATACTTCAAGCTGCATGGTGTCAACAGGCCGCATTCGATGAGACGCGATACCATACACACCAGACGCAGGCGTCCTAAAGAATTGGAGCGATCAAAAAAGAGTAAGATTAAAACAGTATTATTTACCATACATTAGAGCAAACTGAGGTAAACAAATAAGACATTTGTCAATAGAAACCAATGAATGAATAGAACCAATGAATACATAGAATAGAGAAAAGGAGACTTTATTTTGTGATCCACTAATTAATATATAGTATATGTAGCTTGAAGATTTTGGGACTAAAATATACCGATACCGAGACAGCACAGCTAATGGAAAGAAAGCTCAATCTCAGTCGATTTCTTCAAGAAGTTTTATAATAAGTACAAATCCTTGTCTAAACATTAAAGAAATATTATTTTAATCACAGAACACAAGCAAATGTCATGTTCTACAATGGAACCAACAAAACCAGATTTCTTGACGTCTAGGGAAGCCCTTGATATTTCTGATCTAGTTTTGAACGTGAGTACCCGTACCCAGAAAATTCTCTTTGAATTGAATGATCTAATAGTAAAATATTTTGATAATATAGAAATACAAAAAGGAAATGGATGAGTCGGAGGCCGCAGCAGCACTTAAAGATATTCTAGCGAGGCGAAAGAAGTCGAGTTCTTTGTCGGCGTTTAATGATACCTGTGAAAGTACGGATCTATCCGCACCGCTTAACCTTGTTTCCAGTGAAAATAATGCAAAGTTAACATAAAACGCCAAATATATATTCCCCTCTTCACTCACTTTTTCGAAAAACAAAACAACAAAAGAAGCAAAAATACCCTAACACACACACATTTTGTTTATTTATGAGAGGTCGCGTCTAAGAGAGAAAAACAAAAACGGTATAGGATTACAGAAATATAATATAGATTATTAATAAAATTTTGCATTCTTTAAACTTTAAATTTTATTCATTTGTATCTTTAATGAAAAAAAAACTAATACCAAAATACTTATTAGTGTTAAAGAGAGGTATACAAATTAAACCAGTATGTCAAACCTTTTTAAATAATATCACACTAAATATAGACCTTAAGCAAGAAGGACATCAATACTTAATGCAATTAAATTAAAATAAACTTATTATATATATATTTATATTTATTAAAACCATTTTACAGTATTTTTAATTTTTTAATAACACAAATTGCTTCTATTGAAATTAAAAACGTTCAGTTTAAACAATGATTTTTCAGCTTTCAACGCAATTGAACAAATTCTAAAGCTAAAAATAATAAGTAAAAAGAAGATAAATAATGTTTTAAATCTCTTGCCTATACGAAAATCATGTGATAATATAATAATCTCCACAAAACATTTTAATAGTAAAACTATGCAAAAAGCAATAATCACGCAATGCAAACTTTTCAAGGAAATATTTAAATTATATACAATTATAAGAAACTAAAAACTTAATGCTGTTTTTCGAATCTACATAAATCGTCTAAAATAATTTAAGACCCTTCATATTTAGGCTAAGATACAAAAATATTACTCATTTATTTTTTCAAATAAAAATACTCTATACAATTTTTAACAATCACAATAAACAATAAACTGGTTAATGTAAAATGTAAATCAACTGTGGTCAATGTGGTTTTTATGTTTATTTATAATTTTTTTTCAGAGTATTAAGCGGAATAATTTAAGGGCAATGGTTCCTTACCAAGTAGGGCTTTTGTCACAGTGCAATTACGATTTTCCCTTCAATTTGTCATCGATAGGCGGCTACTCCATCGATAGTGCCATCGTTGGTTTTACATCACCAAACACATCTGCGTTATCAGCTCAGCTACATCTGTTATTTATTTCACAGCAGCTTATTGGAATCGTTTAAAACAGCGTGACAACGAACAATTGCTGGTTTACCTTTGAACCTGAGGCGACGTCGGGGAGTAATTTTATCTCTACATAAAGCTACTTTTGTCCATCTGTTATTTAGACGAAAACGCAGGAATGCTGGAAAACGGAGAACATTTCTTCGAAGGGGTTGAAAAACTTCTTGAAATTTGGTTTGAGGAGAGCCCCAACAACGACAATGACCTGCGGAACATAAGCAGGTGAGTTTGTGAAATGCGGCACTTTGTAATAATTGTGCATTTGTGGCCTCAAACAGAGAGGGTGCACTGACAGCCCTGAACAAAAGTTCTTTCACACAACAAAAAAAACTTTGGAAGTAGGCAAAAAAAAATATTTCTGTGCGCTTATCTCTCGCCAGACACGTGTTACTACCAAATAATGTCACCTAAGTTGATCTTTGAATCAAACTGATTATTTGGGCATGACCTTCCCTATTGGTTCAGCCAAGAATCTCTAACTAGTAGAAGGTTGCTAGTCACATTTCGAACGTACCTAAATTTTACTCCTCTCAGATCTGATTGGGAAAAAGTGCTTGGCAATGTCAACTGTGAAATAATAAGCACTTCCAAGAACGATACCATAGATGCCTTTGTTTTAAGGTAATATATTGGATATTTACTTTAAACTTGTAACTAAAAACATTTAAAACAGTGAGAGCAGCATGTTTGTTTCGAAGCGAAGGTGGATTTTAAAAACATGTGGCACCACAACTCCCCTGAAATGCCTGAGCCTGTTACTCCAACTAGCTAGTGAAAATGGTTTCGATGTGGTTGCTGACTTATTCTACTCTCGGAAGAATTTTACTAGGCCTGAAGTACAGGTAAAGTCGATGGACAAGATGATAACACTATTTTGTAATACAACTTGGTTAACTTTTTAGATAACTCCGCATCAGGGCTTTACAGAGGAAGTCACTTATCTGGATTCAATTTTTCCGAACGGAAGATCATATTGTTTGGGCTCTATGAACTTGGAATGTTGGTACCTCTATACTTTTAGTCGCTCGGATGTTAAGTCCTCTTCCAAGCAAATTGTTGACGAAAAAGATGTGGACTCTGAGCCCGATCAGACAATTGAGATACTTATGCAGGATTTAGATCCGGAGACTATGTCCATCTTTTACAAGAATAAATTTGCGAGTGCCAAAGAAGCTACTAAGGTATACACTTTCAGGTATTGTCTAAATATAAATTCACTTATTTAAGCTTTCGTTTTTCTTGTAGGAATCTGGTATAGATACAATCTTGCCGAGCATGCATATAGACGATTTTCTATTTGATCCTTGCGGATATTCTATGAATGGAATAAATGATAAGGTATTATTTTACATATTCCAATAGATAATTTAATCTAATTTAATATCCTTTCGACAGGGAGAATACATGACGATCCACATTACTCCCGAGAATCAGTTCTCTTACGTGAGCTTTGAAACGAATGTTGCTTTGAGTAATTACAGGAAACTAATTAATCAAGTGATAAACACGTTCAAGCCCGGTAAATTTATAGTGACTATTTTTGCAAATAAGGTAGGTTTCTCAATTATTCTTTGTCTTTATTTGTTTTAACACTTTTTTGTTACTTAAATAGTGCTCTCTGGCGTACGAAACAATGAAAGAGTTGGAAGTGGAATATTCAAAGGGATCCCATTGGAAGAGAACCGATATGCAATGCTGCAATTTTCCATCTTACAACTTACTTTTTGCACAATATTCGCATAATGAAAAAGTTTGTGATAATTTATGAAATTCCAATTTTAAATGATTGTTTAATGTATGTGTAATAGTTCATTTGTTATTAGTTAACGAATACAAGTCGAATACAAGAAAAGCAAATCTTTTATACTATCACATATTGCAATAATTTCCAGTAATACGAACGAAATTCAAGCCTAAAACTGCTAGTTCGGTATTTTAATTTCCTATTTTTATTATTATTTTTAACTATGATTGCATAACCTTTGACTACGGTAAGCCGAAGTTATAGAAACTAGCTGTTTGAAATTTGATTAGGAAGCCGCAATTTAAATCGTTCATAACTAACCCAAAAATGCATTAATTTTAATTCATCTAATTTTTAAAAATCCCAAGCGTTTGAGGAAAGTACTAAAAAATACCGGTTAACTGGTTTTTTTGAACACTACAAATCCGGGTAGAATTAATCGCACACCAAAAGGTCCATCACTAGCTGTATTTGACAAATCAAGCCATAAAGAAAAGGAAAAAATGAGTGCGACAACGAATGAAAACATCATTTGGACCATAAAAAACGGAGAAATTGACGCTGTACAAGCTGCCTTCCAAAACAATGTGTGTGTTTTTTATTGCAACAAATTATTTGATATAATTTCATAAATATACACCTGTATGTAGGCACAAAATGTAAATGAGGAAATTAAGGGACGGTACCCAGTCCACTATGCAGCGGATTTTGGACAACTTAATGTGCTTGAATTTCTAATTAATATAGGAGCTGAAGTTGATGTAAGTAATTTAATGTAAGCGAAGAATTAAACACAGAACAATTTACCATTCGCTGTTTACATATTTGCGTTCGTACGTAGGCACATACAAAGCTTTCGCATATATACAAAGATACATCCATATGTACATCTGTTTAGTCATACCCAAAAGCAGTTGTCAGTGCAACAACAATTGCCGGCTTTCTCATTTATAAGATAAGGAATGTACGGCAATTAAATATATTCTTTTTGTTCTGGAATATTTTCAATGCAGAGAAAAGACAAGCATGGTATTACACCAATTCTGGCTGCCATTTGGGAAGGACATACGAGCTGTGTGGAATTTCTTCTGAAAAAGGTTTGAAAAATCACTTTACAATAAAATTATATGTTACAAATCAATTGACTTGTGTGTTGCAGGGAGCAAGCAAGAGCGGCTCTACTCCAGATGGCCAAAGCTACCTCGAGGCGGCGGAAAAGGACGAAATTAAGAAACTACTTGCATAAATTGTAGAATTGTAATTAAGATACAAACCATTAGTTTCAGTATCAAATTCATTTTTAAAACAGTCATGTATAGCTTTTAAAATTGATCGCAATATTTATTTCAATGCTTATGACATATTAATTTTTTCATAGAAATATATAAAAGTATATAAAAAACAAATGTACCATCTGTTATACTTTACCACCACTAGGTTTGATCGATAGGAACGAGATATCGATAAAATTTTTGAAATCACGTAAAACTATTTTATTATTGAATAATAAAGTAGTTATGCTATCATAATTAACGTTTTCTTAATTTTCAAAGAATTGGTAAAACTCTGGTCTCTTGTATTACAAAATTTGATCGTTGAATTTATCGATAAGCTTATTATAACTATTCTACCATCCCTAGTTCAGACCACGAGCAGACCGTACAAAAATAATAAAATATAAAATATGTTTCGACCTGAGGAGCATGGGCTAGAGCCCGATTTTCAATTAACTAAATTCACAACGCACACCGGATGAAGTTGTAAAATCCCCCAAAAAGAACTGGAAAAGTATCTTAGGGGAACGGAAATAGCGAATAAAAACAACGATGGATACCATATCGGTGAGAAATGATAATAAATATTAATAGTTATCATTGTTAGTTAAACTATGTAATATATCCTCTTGTAGGCTCTGGAATGGACTGTGCAGTTATACCACTAAATCAGCATAAAGAATTACTACTTGTTCAAACCGTGGATTTCTTTTATCCCATGGTAAACGACCCGGAAATTTTGGGTCGCATTGCTCTAGCCAATGTTTTGAGCGATGTGTTTGCCGTTGGTGTGACGGACTTTGACTCAGTGGAAATGATCCTTAGCACATCGACAAGCTTTACGGACACTGAACGAGACGTAGTCATTTCACTAATCATGAAGGGTTTCCAGGACTCCTTGAAAAGCAATGGCTATAGAAACACTCCATTGATTATCAGGCAACTGAAGATCAACCCCTGGTGTATTGTGGGTGGCATTGCGACGTCTGTCTGCAAAAATAGGGAAATAATTTTGTAAGTATAACTAAGCAAATCCTTTATAAAGCAATAATTTTATTCCCCCTCAAGACCCTCCAATGCTCAACCTGGCGATGTTTTGGTACTTACAAAGCCCCTAGGCGGTCAGATGGCAATGGATGCTCATCTCTGGCAATTAAATAAAACGGAGAAATACAAAACCCTCATGTCCGAGTTCAATGACGACGATATCAAGGAAACGTTTGAAATAGCAGTTAAATCAATGACATATTTAAACAAAAATGGTGATTAAGTTTATAACTATAATATGTCAATTGTAATATTAATTATTATATTTCTTTGTTCAGCCGCCCTGCTGATGCACAAATATCAGGCTCATTGTGCCACCGATGTCACTGGTTTCGGTTTATTGGGTCACGCCAAAAATCTAGCAGAATATCAAAAGGAAAAGGTTTTGTTCAAAGTTGAGAAGTTGCCGATTATCAAAAATGTCTTGAAATTCAGTTCCTTGATTGGCCAAAGTACAAAGTTTCGTTCTGGGCGATCAGTTGAAACGTCTGGCGGCCTATTGATGTGCCTTTCTCCCGATTCTGCCGACCAATTTTGCCAGGAGTTTGATCAAGTCACCAAAGGAGCTCAAAAGTGCTTTAAAATTGGTTACGTAGTGCACGCTGAAAATGAGTCCGATGCTGTTTTATGTGATAATGTCGATTATATTGAAGTCACCCTTTAGTCGAATGGAAAAAAAATGAAATGGAAATGAAAATGGAATAATTGATTATTCAGCTTATGATGAATATTTCATAAAGGTTTTTAAGCTTGGAAATATTCTGATCTTTATTGTACATACAAGTGTGTAATAAATATGATGATTAATTAATCCAAAACCTTGTTTTTACCTGAGAATCGGTTTTTTTATCTGGAGTTTAAATTGACTAATCAATTTAATAACAAACAAATTTAAAATGACATTTTGTAATAGGTAAGTAATCAATTTTCAAAGTTTGTTGACGATTTTAACAAGAAGTGAAGCTAACCTGAAGAAGACCTTACAAAATTTTTCAAGTTCATTTCCTTCTCTGCTTTGTAAGCATCTGACTAAAATTATAATAACCTGCATGGGTATAATTATAGAAATTGTATAAAAAGCCTAGACAGGAAAAGTTAACTGATTATTTAAAAGTTCATCGCAGAAGATTTATCGATAAACTATAGAAACATGAAATTCATTATACTGTGATTGCTCAATAGCACTGTAAACAGCAATTTATATTATTAATTCATATAAAAACATAGTAGATTAAATGCACCTCTCCTGGTCATGTTCCAGTACATTGTCCCCTTGATAATACCAATAGGCACATCTGTATAAACACATGTTTACAGCTCCGATGAATGTTGCATTTGTCCTTTTTTGGTACATTATATTGTTGGTCCTCGTCGCCTTTTCATGAAAAAAACACCCCTAACGGGAACAAGCCAAAGGACGGCAAAGGACACACTGGCGTTGCCGAACTATTTATGAATACAAAAAGTAAAACTAATAAAATGTTAAGCAGCCAGCGATTGCTTTAGCAACGAACAATCAAAATCCGCCCACTTCTGTGTCTTTTGTGCCAAAGTGAAACAAGAACGATTTTTTAAAGTGCAAAAAGTTCATTCTATTCCAATCAACAAAATGTTCAGGAGCAAAAATGAAGGCAATATTGTGTACAAATGCACAGTGCGTCTGTTGGATGATTCCGATGTCCTAGAATGTGAATTTCAGGTTTGTTATTCCCATAAACTTGAATTTTTTACAAAACATCGAATTCATTTGGATAAATTATATACATACATATATGCATCTTGAGGACTACTCATCCCTTTCGCCCCTGTAATCGGCAATCTGGTTTTACTATTCGTTAATTTATACTTTTAAATAAATACATATAAGCAGGATCAAAGAAAACACTGAAAAGTTGAATAATAATTGCAGAAGTTCTTCTTCTCAATTTTCAATAATGTTTCGTCCTGAATAAATCTATAAAAACCAGTTGGCTTGGCTAGTGTTTTATGTTTTATTTATTTTTACTTCTTAGAATCTGACCATCTGCAGGAAGGACCTTAGGTGGGGTGGTTAACGCCCTTTCCGCAAACCGGCAAAAGTGTGTGACACTCATCTGTTATTATTATGTTTCACGTTTTATAAGTTTAAATATATTTTAAGTAACAGTTTATAATTTATGTATTTTATAAATATGAGTTCAAGTGTTCTTGAGTTACTTTATTTAAATAAAATGTTAAGGATATTATTACTACAAACCATGTTTTTGTTTTTATTTAAAAAACTAACAACACGGAAGATTTCTGTGGATTTTGAGGTTTTGTTTCCAAAAATATAGATCGATAGATAAATAAATTTTTATCCAGATATTTTAACAATGTTTTCACAGCCGTTCCATAAAGGCATTTACCTCTTAGAGTATTTGTGTGGTGAATTGGAAATAAAAGAAAAGGATTACTTTGGCTTGCGATATGTGGATGCCTCAAAGCAGAGAGTAAGTTAAGTATATATATAATATATATTTAATTAATAACATAAAATTTGTTATTTTTCAAAAGCATTGGCTGGACTTGTCCAAATCCATAATAAAGCAATGTAAGGGTAAGTATCATATAGGCCACCTTTATCCCGATTTATTTCTATAATGATTTACTTTCACAGAAATGGATCCCTTGCTTTTTTCACTAAGAGTAAAGTTCTATCCCGCGGATCCATTTCGGTTGACTGGAAATGCAAGGATTATGTTGTACCAGCAATTGAAGAGGGATCTCCGTCATGGTCGCTTGTATTGCTCTTTGGGCGAGGCGGCTGCCCTGGGTGCTTTGATAGTCCAAGGTAAAGTATGTGTAGATTCTTGTCCAGGACTCTGAAAACAGAAAATATGAATATGAATATTGTCGTTAATATTGCTTAAAATCCTTCTAATATGTACAATTTTAATTGCAGAAGAGCTTGGAGATTACAATGAAGATGTTCATATAGGAGCTTATGTATCTTCCATAGAATTAGCCCTACGTCAGACCGAGTATCTGGAGAAAAAGATAATCGAGCTGCATAAAAAGCGCGAGCCTGGCCAGGATCTATCTCTAGCTATGGACGAGTTCTTGGGCATAGCTCGCGGTCTGGAGACCTACGGCATTGACCCCCATCCGGTGAAGGATCACCGGGGATCACAGCAATATATCGCGATAAATAACTCGGGTATTAGCACGTTCGTAACCGGCAAGCGATCTCAACATTTTCGGTGGAATGAAATACATAAAATTAACTTTGAAGGCAAAATGTTTATAGCCCATCTTAGTTATACAGATGCCAGCCGAGAGCCTGTAAGTTCTTTTTTACAGTATTTAATTAAAAATGTACTCAATTTAAATGCAAAATTCTTTAGAAAAAGCACACTGTGGGTTTTAAGTGCCCGACCGGAGCTGCGTGCCGCTATTTGTGGAGATGTGCCATCGAACAAATGCTGTTCTTCACGTAAGATAACAATAAAATAATTGATTAATTATTTTTAAAAATATTTATATGGGAATGTATTTAGGTTACCCAATAGCCAAAGTGCGGCTGTCATTTCTGGAGGCGGCTTCTTCTCCTGGGGCACAAAATTCCGATACACTGGAAGAACTGAGCGTGAAATTCTGACTGAAAACATTAATGCACTGCGAGAACAAAAGATCAACAACTCGAATTCAAGCAAGCGAAAGGCGAGCAGTGTGCCAGCCACGCCCTCCAGTCCACAAGGCGATTTAGCCCAGATCCGTAGGTTTCTCACCGATAACTAAACACTTTTTTGTATAATTAAAAGATTTCTTCTCTCATAGGGTATAGCAGCTTACCGAGATCCACGATGTCGGAGCCTCTGGGCTATGGCATGCCCAATGGTGCCCATTGCTATGGCCAGGATCACGGGATGGGCGAGATAAATGGTGGCATTCAGATATCCAGCCTGGAGCCGGTCTGCGAGGAGGCTCGGCTGCGATCGTCGAACCTCGATGGGATCAACCTTTTGGCCACTCAAATCGGCGGCTATACGTATCGCGACTCCGTTGAGCACTCGTCTACGGAGAGCGGACTGACCGTAAATGGTGGATACGATCATCCGCGGAAGCATAACGACGCTAAGCAGCAGCATCATGGCAGCTACTCCCCGAATCTGTATTATGGACAGTCCGCCGGTGCTGCCGGGTTGAACTCGAGTGCGCCGGGTGATAATTTTTTGCATGCGGATCAATCGCTGCGAAAGATAAAAAAGTTCCGCAAATTCCATCTGCTGGCCGCCTTCGTCCCGTCCGTCATCTTTGTGGCCTTCGCAATGGCCGGAACGGCTGTGTTCATCATGGAGTCCGAGTCGGAGGCCTTCGAGCAGCTGCGCAACTCCCCGGAGATGCTCTGCCTGCGCTACCAATACTATCAGCCTTTAAAGGACTTTGTTCTGGACAAGTTGGGCGGTCGGAGAAAGTGAGAGAGGGATTAAAGGATGCTTTTTTTAATGGATACGTAGCATCACTAGCAACTGTACCGGCGGCGGGTGTTTTAATATATATATGTACTTAAGTAAATCCTTTATTATAATGCTAAAATGATTCCATATATTAAAAAAGAAAAGCCTGAAATTTAAATTTTTACACACATCATTAATTCGTTCTGATTGGGTAATGGAGAAAGTAGCAAAATTGCAGGATTATAACGAAACTCACAAACTTGCTGACGAGCTAAGCTATGATATAAGTGCGGACCAAGATGTATTATCTAGGAGTAACGGAGTGAGGCTCCAGGACATATGAATAGTATTCTTTAATATAAAAATAATCCTTGTAAGCAATAATAATTTACACATATAAGTAATTTACTTTCCCGCCAAAACCAAAGGGCCTTCAAAAAACAGTTCTTTTATTTGTCGATATTGTTGTTTTCTTTTTAAATCAATCTTATTTGTAGCTTTAATTAAGTAAAGTGTTTTATTAAATAAATAAATGTGACTATTCTTTTTATAGTGACGATGCATTATCATCAAATGAATGTACATAAATCTCTATATATCTCTAAACGAAGCTGTGTGAGCTTACTAAAGAACCATGTCGGCCTGCAGTCCCAAGGATTCCGAGTGCTTTTTGGCCTTCATCCTGAGGTCTGCTATGCTCGAACTCTTGCTGTGAGCAGCGGCAAAGGCGGCCAGATTTATAGAGTATTGTGGCACAGAAAAGAGCCCAGCTGGCACCGTTCCATTGGTTATCGCCGCCGCATACTGCAACATTTTTAAGGAACATAGATTTACTTTCTATTTATTTATTTTTACTGCGATTTACCTGATGAGCTGCCACGGATATAATCGCTGGATCGAAAGCTGAAAAGGCGGCCGCTGCTGCCACTGTGCTGGAAAACTGCTTTACAGCTGAACGCGATATCGCTGGAGTGCTGTGCGACGAAGCATCCACGTTAGAGGCCTTTCCGGTTGTCGCACTACCAGATCCTTGCGAGCTTGCATTCGTGGCAATTGTGGGATGCTGTGACGGAACTGATGAGCTACGGAGTGCGGCCAGGCTGACGTAAGGCGCAACGCGACAGGGCTCCAAGGGAGTTGCAATGGGAGGACTACGGCTGCCCACCAAAAAGCCTTAAAAATATAGTAATTTACACTTGTGAATACATAGATGGCAACTATACATTCTTAACGTAATGTTTAATGCTTTAATGCCGTAAGCACACAACAAAATTCATTCGCGTAAATTTAACAACCGACTTAACGAAAACAGTATTTATTCTTTTTTTGGATTTTATTATACTCTTTCAAGGTATTAGAAAACAATTTTTAGAAAATAATTATAACTTTTACAGTATTTAACACAATTTTATCTCGTTTGATTCAAAGCTATCTTTTATTATTATAGAATTCCTATTTTAGTTTTATCGGAAAACTATAAAATATAACTGCCAGAGAAACTGTTGTTAAATGTAGAGGATCAATAATTATCTTTAACAGTAAGTTATTAGAAGAGTAAGAAACTATGATCAGTAAGTATCTATGAGCAGTAAGTAACTCTGAACAGTAAGTATGTATGATCAGTTACTAACTTTGAACACTAATAAACAATGACTTGCAACTTTTGTAACACAACACATTTCTGAGACGTGGTCAGCAGCAGTCACTTCGTTCCGGGGATGTCTGAACCAGTTGGGAATCATATGATATGATGATTAACTATAAACAGTAAGTATCTCTGATCAGTAAGTAGCTCTAAACACTAAGTATCTATGACCTGTAAGTACCTTTGGTCAATGAGTAACTATGAGCAGTTATTCAGTATGATCAGCCTTAAACTATGACCAGTAAGTAACTATGAGCTGTTATTAACTATGATCGGTGAGTATCTATGAGCAGCAAGTAACTCTGAACAGTAAGTATGTATGATCAGTTACTAACTTTGAACACTAATAAACAATGACTTGCAACTTTTGTAACACAACACATATCTGAGACGTGGCCGGCAGCAGTCACTTCGTTCCGGGGATGTCTGAACCAGTTGGGAATCATATGATATGATGATTAACTATGAACAGTAAGTATCTCTGATCAGTAAGTGGCTCTAAACACTAAGTATCTATGACCTGTAAGTAACTTTGGTCAGTGAGTAACTATGAGCAGTTATTCAGTATGATCAGCCTTAAACTATGACCAGTAAGTAACTATGAGCTGTTATTAATTATGATCGGTGAGTATTTATGAGCAGCAAGTAACTCTGAACAGTAAGTATGTATGATCAGTTACTAACTTTGAACACTAATAAACAATGACTTGCAACTTTTGTAACACAACACATTTCTGAGACGTGGTCAGCAGCAGTCACTTCGTTCCGGGGATGTCTGAACCAGTTGGGAATCATATGATATGATGATTAACTATAAACAGTAAGTATCTCTGATCAGTAAGTAGCTCTAAACACTAAGTATCTATGACCTGTACGTACCTTTGGTCAATGAGTAACTATGAGCAGTTATTCAGTATGATCAGCCTTAAACTATGACCAGTAAGTAACTATGAGCTGTTATTAACTATGATCGGTGAGTATCTATGAGCAGCAAGTAACTCTGAACAGTAAGTATGTATGATCAGTTACTAACTTTGAACACTAATAAACAATGACTTGCAACTTTTGTAACACAACACATATCTGAGACGTGGCCGGCAGCAGTCACTTCGTTCCGGGGATGTCTGAACCAGTTGGGAATCATATGATATGATGATTAACTATGAACAGTAAGTATCTCTGATCAGTAAGTGGCTCTAAACACTAAGTATCTATGACCTGTAAGTAACTTTGGTCAGTGAGTAACTATGAGCAGTTATTCAGTATGATCAGCCTTTAACTATGACCAGTAAGTAACTATGAGCTGTTATTAACTATGATCGGTGAGTATCTATGAGCAGCAAGTAACTCTGAACAGTAAGTATGTATGATCAGTTACTAACTTTGAACACTAATAAACAATGACTTGCAACTTTTGTAACACAACACATATCTGAGACGTGGCCGGCAGCAGTCACTTCGTTCCGGGGATGTCTGAACCAGTTGGGAATCATATGATATGATGATTAACTATGAACAGTAAGTATCTCTGATCAGTAAGTGGCTCTAAACACTAAGTATCTATGACCTGTAAGTAACTTTGGTCAGTGAGTAACTATGAGCAGTTATTCAGTATGATCAGCCTTAAACTATGACCAGTAAGTAACTATGAGCTGTTATTAATTATGATCGGTGAGTATTTATGAGCAGCAAGTAACTCTGAACAGTAAGTATGTATGATCAGTTACTAACTTTGAACACTAATAAACAATGACTTGCAACTTTTGTAAAACAACACATTTCTGAGACGTGGTCAGCAGCAGTCACTTCGTGCCGGGGATGTTAAAACCAGTTGGGAATCATATGATATGATGATTAACTATGAACAGTAAGTATATATGATCAGTAAGTAGCTCTAAACACTAAGTATCTATGACCTGTAAGTAATTTTGGTCAGTGAGTAACTATGAGCAGTTATTTAGTATGATCAGCATTTAACTATGACCAGTAAGTAACTATGAGCTGTTATTAACTATGATCGGTGAGTATCAATGAGCAGGAAGTAACTCTGAACAGTAAGTATGTATAATCATTTACTAGCTTTGAACACAAATAAACAATGACTTGCAACTTTTGTAACAACACATTTCTGAGACTTGGGCAGCAGCAGTCACTTCGTTCCGGGGATGTTAAAACCAGTTGGGAATCATATGCACACATGTGAGAGACTTGTTTTGGAACAAATTTAAGAGCAAGCTAATTGAAAGAAACTATGGAATTATTCTTCTATATCATTTTACTAGTATATAACTCGGAGCATGGCAAATCGGTGGACTATTTATATACATATATGTATATAGCTGCCATAGGAACGATCGGAAAATTTTAAGAAAAAAATCCATAACTTATCCAGTTTTTAACAGATTTTCATCAAATTTGATATATAGATATTAAATATTAATTTAAAATAATGTGTAAAATTTTATGAAAATCAGACTACTATATTATATAGCTGCCATACAAACGATCGTTAAAAATAAAGGAAAATGTAAAAGTGAAACTGTAAATATACAATTTTTAAGCGAATGAAATGAAAGCCGACATTACTTTATTGTTTTTTAACATAAATATATATATAATTTATATTGTATTAATTCCTAGTGATCGAATTTCCGTCTGCAAGGGTATACAAACTTCGGCGTATCAAAGTTTTCTTCCTATTTTCTATTTTTTTTTTAATTTAAAAAATTTTACATCGTTAAAATTGTGAAAATGTAAAAAAAAAATTGAATTTTCTAAATTTTAAAACGTTGAATGCAGAATGTATAAACATTCTAAAAACTAGCACAGAAATTTTTCCAAATTAAAATTAATGCTTTTTTGGCATAGTTGTGAGATTTTTTAACTTTGATTTGTCGACGAAATTGTCATATAAAAATATTGATTAAAAAATACGAATATTTTAAGCTTAGTTTTGAGCGATTCTCGATTTGATTTTATAATTCAATTGCAAGTGCAAGGGCATTTTTTAACCGACGCCATAAGTCGAGATTTGGAAACTGGCCAAACTCAAACAAATGTGTTAAAATTTGTTTAGGAAAGCAATTTAAGAAATCGTTTGATTGAATTAAAAATCTTAAGTTCACTTTTAAATTTAAGAAATAATAGGAATATTCTTTACCATAAAGTTCGAATTACAAAATAAACATTATTTATTTAATTTAAAGATCATTTAATGCAGCAGTATGCCCCATGAATCCGTAAAATTACCCTGGTGCAAACAAATATGTATTATGCATGTACTTAAACTCCGCATACTTTCTAGATTGGCAAATCGTTTTAAGATTCATTCAGTGACAAGTAATTGAATTTATTTTGTAATTTATTGCTCAAAATACGCCCCGGACACGGAGGCTGCGTCATTCAACCACAGGGACGTGTTACTCCTGGAAGGAAGCTCACATACAAATGGGTCTCCTGGGACCGGGGGCCAGGTTAACGTCTTGTTTATGGGTGGTTCACCGGCGAAAAAAGAGCCTGAGAATTGATATGAACCCATAAAACGCTGCCCATTCGTAGTCCGCTGTCTGTTGTGCTTTTTTATGCCAAATTTCAATTTGATTACATTTCACGAAACTTTTTTTTATGCCTGTTATGTCCGGTACCCGGTATTGAAATATGGCACCATTAGGCTGGGAAATTTGATAAATGTGATTAAATCTTTTAATCCAATTACGTAACGCCTCCAAAGGTCCTTAAGCTGAAGTTGTTTTCGACTGTTTAGTAACTAAACAGTACATTAAGCGGAAGCTTTTATCAATTTATTGAAACAATTAACTGGGCTTGAAATGTACTTTACAATATAAAAAATAATAATAAAGGCTACAAATTCAAACTAAAAATTTCATTCAATCAAAGTAAGGACTTAAAGTCCTCAGCGTTACATTTTAAATAAACATAAATAGAATTTAAAAATATTTGTCGTGCATTAGCTCATCCGTAAAACCTTGCAATTTATTCAGTTTTGTTTGCTTTCCGAATTATAATCAATTCTCACAATCACATCTGCTCAGATTCAAATCCCTTTGGCAATATACATAATAAAAATGTTCTTTTTTTAGCGCCAGCGCAACAGAAACACAAATCATTGCTAACTTCATCAAATTAAATATTCGAGCAATAAAATGGAGAATACAAAATGCTATTGAGTGAGCTTGGGAGTTGATGAATGGGATAAAGTCCTTGGAAACGAGGGTTGAAAGGCCGAGAGCCGGTTGAATTAATGAAGAGACATTTAAATGACTGTGAAAACCGTAACATATTGGCGCTCGTCGTCGAGTTGATAAGCCAGAAAGTGAACAGAATTCCGGAATGTAAATGGTCTTGGCTGATTTTTGTGTACTTAACTAATTGCAATTTACACTTTAATTAAGCTTAATTGGCGCCAAAACTTGGCTAGCTTGGGTGGGCGCTGGGTCGGTGATGATGATGAGGACAGCTTAATAAAGCTTAGAGCTTAGTATTAATTTTTTATATTTTGGTTACCTTATCCATAGGGTTTTATTTTGCTATTGTAAAATATTGTATAAATATTGTATTGTATTGCTCACCTTTGTGCATTTGGTTTTCATGCTTTCTACACTTGGCTCTTCTATTTTGAAACCAAACCTGAAAGAATATTGGTAAAGGATTATTTGATTTATCTTTAAAGTCCTTTTTAACATGAAATTCCAAATTACTCTGTTACATTTTGTTTTATATTCATAAAGTGACATTCTGTGACACTTCTGTACATGTTAAGGAATAATCCATAAACTTTAAGATTCGTATTTCACATTAATTACACTTGGGATGCATTTGGAAGTAGAGAAGGCTCGCTCCACGCTCCACGCTCCACAACAGGCTAAGCAATTTATTACAGGCCATAAAAACAGTGACACTGGTGCTGTAAGTACATATTTCATGACCACATAGTGTCTATTGCTGGCACCCTGATTGAGCATTTAATCTTTAACCGGCGTACCCCCTGATGCTTAAACAATTTTCTACTTGTTTCCTAGACTATCGGGGTGGGGCGTAAACCACTTAACACCCCATATATTTTTCACAGCGACGGTGGTTGAAAAATCAAAGCCATGCTTTCAGAAAACTTGGAACCCGGAAGAATCTTTTGGGGAGACAATATCCTGTTGTCATTAGTACAAGTGTAATGAATATCAATTGAAAATCAATTTGTGCCCGCTCGCCCTCATTGTCATGTCGGAATGTTCGAGTAGATTTATGATCGGTCCACTCAAATAATTACCTGCACTCTGGCCTCGCTGAGGCCCAATCTCTGACTCAGTTCCTCGCGCATGAAGGCATCGGGGTAGTGCGTCTCCTCGAACAGCCGCTCCAGTTCGTTGAGCTGGTCCAGCGTGAAGTTGGTCCGGGATCGCCTCTGCTTGGTGTTCACCACCGAGGATGAGTCCAAGTGCTCGCAGTGTTCTCGGAGTCTTGTCGCGAGCTCCGGGGAGCAGCTCCTCTTTTCTGACAACTCTGGTTTATCGGGTGCCAACTTTGGCGTGTTGCTGTCATCCGTGGACTCTATTACATTCGTCGCTATTATCGCTGAAATTTTTGATTCTGAAATATCGGAGACTAGATTGAAATTAGCTTAAAATAATAATATCGCACAGACGGACCTAATTAGATCGATTCGAGCTTGACCAGTAATAACTCCTATATATTTATGGGCAAATCTCAGTTAAAAACCAGAAAGAAACGTAACTTCGGGATACCGAAGGTTATAAACCCGTGCAGTTCGAAATTGAATTATGAGTTCAAATCGGAAATCGGCCAAAACTTAGCTTAAAATATTAGAATACTTTGAATCGATATTTGTCGATATTTTAAAATGACAATTTTTGTAGTCAGCCAAAAAAGCCTTAATTTTCATTCGATAAGCTTTTCTGTGCTAGTTTTTAGGTTATTAAATCTGCATACTCAGTTTAAAACCAAAAAAAAGTCAACATTTTTGACAATTTTGACGCTGTAAACCCTTTTCTTTTTTTGAAAACATTTAATATTTTTGAAAAAAATATTTTTCTGTCCGAGATAGCTTGAAAGATTAGGCTGTTGATGCTGATTTAGAGTATATATATTTTGTCTGAAATGACTCCTTCACTGCTTTGAAAGCTTCTGACTAAAATTATAATAGATATAAGTATTAATTTATGCACTTATTTTTATATGAAAATCGAAGTTTAAAAATCTCATAACTCATAATTCGGAAAGCTTTCCTATGTTAGTTTTTATGAGGCTAACAAATCTGCATACTTAGAGTTAAACCTAAAAACCTAGCAAATGTTTTATATTTTTCACGGTTTCTGGTATCCATTGATTTATATTGATTTTGCTGTCCGCAACTGGTAATATAATAAAATTTATAATAATTTGAATTTAAAATTTGGCGTAGAAACATAACATAATAAAACATAAACATAATGGAAATAGTATTAAACAAGAAAAAGAGACTTTCTATCTTTCCTTTTTATTCCAACTATAGAGTATAGACATTCGAAAACTTCGATTCTATTAGAAAAAACTTTGAAGCTTAATTTATATTTTATTTTCGACAGGTCTGGCTAAGTATACAAAACCTTAATTCTCTTAAGTTACCTTCCGGCGGCGATTCCACTTCCAAATCATCTGATATTAGCCAGTTTTTGGGCTTTGGCTCTGTCACTGTCACCGCCACTGTCTTGCGAATTTTGGGACTTGGGCTATATGTTTCCACACTTTCTACCTCTGGGAGGGACTCCTCCGTCGGCGGCTCCGGAATAGATGCGGCGGCGATATTGGTATTGCTCTCGGAGACGGATAAATCTGTGATGTCTATATCCACGGACTCGTCACCACTGGCACAAGTATCGGCATAACTGCCGCCGGAAGTTGAAATGGAATTTATGAATATGGCGTTTTTCACTTCCGTGTGCTTTTTAATTCGCGCGCCCGTCATCGAGTTGAACAAGGCGTGAACACTGTTGTTAGTTAAGTTAAACTCAAAGGATTTTGTTACAAACTGTGCCAACTGCTCCATGCTCTTTTGGTAAATAAATGAATCCCACCGACGTTCTTTATTAATTTATTTTATTATTCTTATTATTATACTATTATTTTTAGAGCGCGTTCGAGCATAAGTTCCTGTAACGAAACTAAGTTGCCGACTATTTTATAGTCAACACCAATGGCATTCGGCGTGCCTAATCACTTCACTTTGGCTCTTTATTGCTGCGCATGTCATTCAAGGCTTATCCAAATCCTTCGATATTCCTTTGATTACTTTCGGTAAGAGAGAGCCCCCAGAAGGGAAAGTCCTTTTTTTCGACAGAGAAATTAAGTGCGAAACCTTCGACGATGGGACCATAGACAAATTTAAATAGTTCAACACATTGACTTTCCTCAATTAAGATTTTTTATAATTCGAGCTTTGCATACTCCGTATATGGATGGCGCACTCTCTCGCTGCGCCGCTGCTACCTTCACAAAACCAACCCCCAAAAGCAGCAGCAGTTGTAAAGTTGAAGTGAAGTCCTGCCTACGGCGGTCCTTTAAATTGCTCTCATTGGTCTACAGTGGCGACGGGAACCCGTAATTCCAAAGTGGTTGCACCGCTGAGAGCGATTCCACCTTACTTTCCTATTATTGGTTATATGGCCATTATAGAATACAATGTATCCATTAGGCGGGCGACGAAACGCATTATAATTTGCCATAAATGATTCAGTTTGTGGGAGGAGTTAGCGTTCTGTGACCAGAGTTACCGATCAAGGGATTTTGGCTTTTATCACTTCATAAATACTTTTAAATTCGTTCGTGTGCCTTATTTTGTATTTACCTCTCCAAAAAAGGAGGAAGTCCTCTTTTTATTGATTTTGGGGGCGGGCGCAGTGCTGTGTAATAAAAGGGTTTAACTTGGCTTATTGCCACGCCTTTAAAATTCATTACATCAGCTCTTTTAATGACACTGTGCAACACAAAAACAAATATAATATTGTAAAACGTATTTTTTATATTTATCTTCAAGGAAACACACATGTTACTTTTCTTAATTTTACTAATCAAATTAAAAAATTTAAATCAAAACCACAAGTTCTGTGGCACAGTGTAGTATACTGGCATTAATTCCCTCTCCATTTTTTCAGCAGTAATCTCAGCCTTAACCGAGAGATTACAAATTGAGGACAGTATATACATTCATATAAATAAAGTTTCAAGTTCGGATTAAAATCATCTTCATACTATGTGAAAATTGAGAAATGATAAAACTAAATTTATTGAGCATTCTCTAATTGAAATTTATATCAGTATATATAAGTGTTACTGTGTGTTTAAAAAGAAAACAGTCGGCATTTATTTGTTCCATTTCGTTAATATTACATTAAGGTACTAAACTATTGCATATGCAGCATAGTTAGCAACTCCGCACATATTAACACCTTTGCGAATCCGCATAAAACCCGATTCACCCCAAAGTTCGCCCCACCAATTCTTTAAAATCCAATAATCCTTACCAAAACCTATAACCAGCATGGCATGATTTACAGATGATGATGAGCACGCTGCATCGTCGTATATGCCGTCGCTGAAAATAAAAGGAAAATATATAATGTAATATATATTTTATTTTTACAAGTACTGATTACCTGTAAAGTTGAAATGTCTTGGGGGTGGCATTGATTGATATGGCCACCGGGCCGATGTGAGTAACTGCGGCTTGAATTGCTTGCTCATCTCGCGTAGGTAAAATGGCCCAAGAAGTTACATTGACGACCGATAAGTCATGAACAAACTGACATTTTCCTTTCTGAAATATTTTAAAATTACAATTATTAATTTTGTAAATTTGTACCGCCAAAATTAATTCTGTTCTAAATATGATGAACCTTTAACAGAACCAAACGTAATGGAAAAATATTAAAGAATTTTTCCTAACTTACATTTCGGTAAAGCTTTTTCTTCGAGTGTCAAAAAAGATTACCAAAATTACCTTTGAAACGTATTTATAATCTTCGGCCCTCATTATGCCACCAGTGCTCTGCAAATAATTTAAAGTGTTTCGCAGAGATCCTCCGACACATCCTTGATTTCCATGTGACACACTGCAGTCCACAATTTGTTGCTGACTTAGGCTCAGGATTTTTCCGGTGCGCTTGAAAACTTGTCCCTCGATGCTCTCGGCAATGCTGAAAGCGTAGCATGAACCGCAGGTTTGCTGATTGTGCGGTGGGGTCCGAAATCCTTTTTGCCGCCAATCCAAACTTTCTGGCAGGTTGGCCATCAGAGGCGATCCAACTATTTCAGCGACGTTATCTGAGCTGTCTTCCGTGTGACTCTTTAAAAGCCGCAAATATCCTTTTAGATACCCGTCCGTGCTCTACATACAATAAAATATATAGTAAAATTTGTAAATCTTATTTTTATACCCTTGCAGGGTATTATAATTTCAGTCAGAAGTTTGCAACGCAGTGAAGGAGGCACCTCCGACCATATAAAGTATATATATTCTTGATCAGGATCAACAGCCGAGTCGATCTAGCCATGTCCGTCTGTCCGTCTGTCCGTCTGTCCGTCTGTCCTTCTGTCCGTCTGTCCGTCTGTCCGTCTGTCCGTCTGTCCGTTTCTACGCAAACTAGTCTCTCAGTTTTGAAGCTATCTGAATGAAACTTTGTAGTTAGCCTTCTATATACTCTCACTCGTATATATGTCGAAACGGGCCGGATCGGACGACTATATCATATAGCTGCCATAGGAATGATCGGATAATTTTTACAAAAAAATTATAACAATTTCAGTTTTCAACAGAATTTGATAAAATTTAAGATATAGCCATTTTACTATACTCTACAATTTTGAATAAAATTTAATGAAAATCGGACAACTATATCATATAGCTCCCATAGGAACAATCGAGAAATTAAGACAATTAAAAATTATAACATTTTCAGTTTTCAACAGATTTTCTTCAAATTTGAGGTATAACCATTTTATATCAGTCTTAAATTTTGTGTAAAATTTTATGAAAATCGGACTACTATATTATATAGGTGCCATACAAACGATCGTTAGATGTGGAGAAAAATGCACATCTGTGACTGTAAAACTGCAAATATAATATGTAAAGGTGAATGAAATGAAAGCAGGTATTACTTCATTGTTTTTTAACACAAATAAATATAATTTATATTGTTGGGATTCTAAGTCATAGAAGTTCTATCTGCAAGGGTATATAAACTTCGGCGTGCCAAAGTTAGCTTCCTTTCTTGTTTAAACATCACATACCATATCAGCAAATATGTTCGGTTTCAGCCTAAAGCTTGTTTGGCCATCCTGATATTGTTGATTGTGCTCCTCAATAACTTTGTAATTCTCTTCAAAGGCCTTAAAGCTTCTCACTTCATCATAGTTCCGAAGATACTTTCTATTGTTGTTATTCTAGAATACAGATCTTCATAGTTTTTCTCCTTATACATTATTGATTTGTCTCTCACTTTAAATATTTCAAACTCGCCTTTGTAGTCAAAGGCAGACGAATTTCCGTTTTTTATTTCGGAAGTCACAATATAATATTTTAAGCCACATAAACAGCCAAGAGCTATAAGCTTCCACATAGCTACCGCCGTTTCCGTAATGACCATAAAGAGTAGATATCATAATAAGTTAATGGCAAACTAAGCAAAATTTTTAACAATGCAATATAATCAAAAATAAATATATAAGTATAAATTTTGTGCGAGATCGGCACTGCCAAATACTCTATTTGGTGAATCTTAAAAATATTATATATAATATATGGGCAATTCTCCAGAAATTATTGTATATTATAAAATCATTTATTTTGAAGACTAAACTTTCCGTTTAACTTAAATTTGTTCGTTTGTTAAAGGTTTAGTATACTCGATTTCATATATGTACATAAAAATAATGCACATACCATTATAATTATATATTATAATTTTATTCAAAAGCTTGTGAGGCTGTGAAGGAGTCAATCCGACCCTATAAATCATATATATTCTTGAACAGCATGAACAGCTGAATAGATCTACATATGTCCGGTTAAAATATAATTTGTGAAATTTTTTTTAGATTTTTGCAAAAAAAAAAAAAAGGTGTTACATCGTTAAAATTATCAACAATTTACAAAAATTTTATTAATCGTAATTAATCTAATAAAAATATACATATTGAATTTACAAATTTACGAATTGAAATTAATGCTTTTTTAGAATAGTTATGATTTGTCAAATAAATATTCATTAAAAATATCTATAAAAATCAATTCAATGAATCTTGTAAACTTAGTAAGATCGTTCATCAGTTTTGGAAACCTCAATGTTTTCTTAAATAATAACAATGTAGGAGAAAATATTTTTTAATTATATAAACTTTCAAAGACAAATTAACGAAAACTTTAACAGTTGAAAGTACCAGCATAGTGAAATATTGGAATCGAAAATAACATCTTAAAAAAAATGGAAAATTAAATTATTAATAATTATAATTTTAATTTTAATAATTTTACTTATTATATTCATACCCAAATTATAAATGCATTGATAGGATGGGAGAAATATACTGAATGATAGTGCAAAGCTTGGTTGTTAGCCTTATATAAATGAACTAAATCCTATTTTATTCCCGTTTTTTCAATTGATATAATTGTTATGGTTAATAGTTACATATATATATTAAAGAACTAAAAACAAATGCTCCTAAAAACTTATCCAAGGCATTTCTAAATTGTACATAAAAAAATACAGCCCCAACAACCTTCATAAAAATCCCAACCACAATACAACAGTGTTTCATTTCCATTTGTGTCAGAAATGAATATAAGTGTGTTGTACTCTTAGCCTTAAAAATCAGCTGTTTTGCATAACATACCGAATCCGGTTGATTTGCGGACAAAACAAGAGCCAAGGATCATGCTAAAAACTGCTGTTAGCCGGTTATTGCAAAATAATTTAGTGAGTTCGAACCTTGTTAATATATTTCAGGTAATAACGCTCCAATTGCAGGCATCATGTACGGGCCGAACAAACTTGGTTCGCCGCAACATCAATCTGATTCCCATGGTGGTGGAGCAAACTGGGCGAGGTGAAAGGGCGTACGATATATTCTCACGTCTGCTTAAGGAGCGAATTATTTGCCTGATGGGCAACATTACCGATGATATCAGCTCCACCGTTGTAGCCCAGTTACTGTTTCTGCAATCGGAGAACGTCAACAAGCCAATACATTTGTACATCAATTCCCCGGGTGGCGTTGTGACGGCTGGCCTGGCCATCTACGATACGATGCAGTACGTCAAGCCACCGATTGCAACGTGGTGCGTCGGCCAGGCCTGCTCAATGGGCTCACTATTGCTGGCGGCAGGTGCACCGGGTATGCGTTACTCGCTGCCAAATGCCCGGATTATGATACATCAGCCCTCGGGCGGCGCTCAAGTAAGCTTGCTTCGCTGTTAATTAATTTGGAAAACTAATACTTTTATCTTTCTCGAAGGGTCAAGCCACAGACATTTTAATACATGCCGAGGAAATTATCAAAATTAAGCGCCAGCTAACCAAAATCTATGTAAAGCATGCGAACAACTCGTACGATGAGATGTCTACACGAATGGAGCGGGACCACTTTATGACCCCAGAAGAGGCCAAGACCCTAGGCATAATCGATCACGTCCTCGAACATCCTCCAGAGACTGTTTCAGAAACTGGACCAACGTCGGATGATGGCATAGGTAAAGCCCTATCAGACGATTCGGAAAAAAAGAAAGCCAAGCAGGCAGCGTAAAATTTCTTTGAGATGTAAAATCCAAAATCTATCCTTACAATTTGAATCAGTTTGAATAAGTTTCGATTTTCAACTTGAAATGTCGATAGCTTTCAATAACAAGAGCCTACAAAAATAGATTTACAAATGTCAATAGAGCAAGCACTACATTTTTTTAAAAAGTATATAATTGTTGACCGATTTTCCAGGAAACAAAAACACGTTGAATGATTAGCTTAAAGATAAAGCGAATGGTTATTTTCAGAGTATACTCAATGAATTACTTGAATCAAATACATAATTTACTTGCTCTGCTTCACAATTAACCTTGCTCTTCAAGTCGATCTGCATTTATTTCTTATTTAGAAAATCTAAAAGCTATATCAGAAAAGAGATACTTGTGTGTGTGCGTCCAACACGCATCATATTCTTAATTAAGTAAAGGAATTTCGAGAGCCCAAGGTTTCAGTTTTAGCTCTGATCCATTACAATAATATCTGCTGTACCGGTGATGGAATCCTTCTGAATATAATCATAGATCTTGCTCAACTCTGGGGTCTCTTTGATCGACTTAAGGAAATCCATTAGTTGCTGATTTTTGTCTGTAAAATGAATTGTGTAGTTTAGTTTTAAAGATTTTTATTTTGAATATATTACTTTTTCCATTCACTTACTTGCTTTGGGTATTTGCGAAAGGGCTGACACAGCTCGGAGGGCTGAACGCTTTAGTTCGTCCTGCTTTTCGTATTCCTGTTTCACAGAGTTTGCCTTCACCTTGTGGGTGCACGTATCACGTAGTTGCTGTATAAATTGATCGAGTCCTGAAGGGGAGAATCACATTAATTAGATTCCAAAGTAAAGCGCAGTTCGTTACTCACTTAGAAGAACCTTATCGGGGCACAGAATGGCCAGACGTGCCGTCATCAGGTAAGTGAGCATCTTGATGTCGTAGTGGTCGCAGAGGCCAGCCTGCACGTGATCCAAGAACTGCATGACATCCACACGGTCCAAGCCCTGCTCGAGCAGTGTGTACATGCACTCAAATGCCGCTTTGCGTATGTCGAGGCCATCGTCAACAGTGTGCTTGAATGGTCCCATCTCCACCTCCCTGATCAGTTCGCTCTTTACCTTTGTCTCGGAGTAAAGCCATGGCAATAGAGTTGGCAGCAAGTCGCGCACCAGGCTCGGCTTGTTGTGCACTGCCGAATTGAAGGCCACGAGCGCGACGCGTCGCACCTGTGGCTCCGGATCGCGCAGGGCGAACAGGAACTCGCCAATATTTTGCTTGAGCAGCACATCTATCGGTTGCGGCTGATCCGAGATGGTGAACTTCACCGAGGAGACGACGACGGTACGCATGGTAGCGCTCTCCGAACGCAACGCTTGCTGTAGCTGCGGCAGCAACTCATCGGGATTGACCAGCACAAGTTTGCCCAGACACTCGGCCACCACGTTGCGTGATCCCTCTTCCGAGCACTCGCAATGCTTAAAAAGCTGTGTCCAAATCGATGGCACTGATGGTAACAACTGTGCCAGTCCGCTGGGGGATACCGAAAGTGAGGAAATCACCTCCTTCAGTGAGTGCAACAGCAAGTATTGACGCTTCGGCTGGACTTCAATCTCGTTGAGAATCAGCGGCAGGTATGTCTGCAGGCTACCCACTGAGACAGCCCCCAGGGCATGCGAGGCGGCCGCCTTAACATCCTCCGAGGTGGCCCCAAAGCACTCAATAATCGTCTGCGGCAGCACCTGTATGCTGCTCAGATCAAAGTGCCTGCCAATCTCACCGATTGTCAGCAAACAAAATATAATCTCAGTGTCATTGCGCTTCTGCAGATCCGTTATCAACTTGGTGGCCAATGGGGTCGCCACCTGGGGACACTGCTGTGTGAGGGCGGCAATGCACTTGGCCGATGAATGATATGCCTGTTTGTGCAGCTGCTGCACCGCCTCACCACTGCCGGGTGCACCTGAGGCAGCTCCAACAGCTGTGCCCCTGAATAAGGCGCCGTCCGTTCCGCCAGCTAGAACGGGTGCCATTAGCTTCGATACCAAGGAATGGTAATCCAATCCGGACAACTGTGTCTGCACCAGCGCTTGGAACAGCTCCAGAGTGCAGTTCAAAGCCGTTCCCTATGAGAAAACGGTTATATTTACATCTATATCTACTATAGTACGAGTATAGGTGACCCACCTGAAGCAACGGCGATCGAACCAATATAAGCACCGATCGCAAAAACTGCTCGTGTATGCCCACCAGCGCCTGCGGCTGGCGGCGGGCCACAGTGCTTAATAGCGTCAGAGAATACTGGGCTACGTGCAAATCCGAATCTGATATTAGTGGCGGAATCTCCACGATGGCCGTCTGCAGCAAATTCGGCTCGAAATTACTCGAATAATTTATAACAATCTTGTTGATGAGATCGAGCGAGTGCAGCTTCAGGGCACGATGATTCTTTCGTAGAAATGTACCAAGGGCGGGCAGTACATCATTGAGGATCGGCGTTAGATCGATGCGCAGAGAAGAGGCAGCGATGAGGGTTAAGGCTTTAACACTGCTCAGCCTGGTCACCTCGTTCTTCAGGCGCTCCATAAAGATGGGCAGGCATACGGCAAGCTCTGTCTTCAGCATATCGCCCATGTTGGCAATGATCTGACCCATGCAGGCAATGGCACGCTCTTTAACCTCTTGATCGACGTCCGTCACCTTAAGTTTTTGCAGGGTGCACGAGTAAACCGGACCCACAAACGAGGGTGCATCGAAATCCGACTTCCCAGCACTCGTTTCCAGCGGTCGAATTACCTTCACCAGCTGCTGCAGCACAAGGAGGGCCTCTGTAGCAATTTTATAGAAGGGATCAAACACCGAGGTCACAACGAGCGGCACCAGAGACGGTATGTGTGGATGAAAGACGTGCGGCGGGTGACCCTGCAGCAGGGAGTATAGGAATCCCAGCGATTCGATCTTCATGTTGCTTGTGGAGCTTTTGTCATTCAGCGAATAGCTTATTCCGGGCACTATGCTCTCCAAGTAGGGACCCAGGGCGCCGGGCAGCGAATTCAAGAGCTCTCGGAGCAGGAGGAAGCAATCCTGGCGCGTCTTCATTGACTTCTCGCGCATCAGCGGCTGTATGGCCTTTACAATCAGCGGCAGCTGCTCAATTAAGAGCGAAGTCGGCCCCGACACTTGATCCATCGAGTCCGGGTCGTTGGCTACATCGTCGCTCAGTCGCGTGTTCTTCAGCAGAGCGACATAGGCATGGAAGATGTCAGATTTCACATTCTCCTCGCGCTCCTTAAAGCGAGCAATCAACGCAGGACTCAGGCTGCGGTAAAAGTCCTCGATGAGTTCCTGGCGCGTGGAGATTAAAACCTCTAAGCACTTGGCAGCAGCGCGACGCACCTTCCAGCTCATATCGTCGTCGTCACTATACTCTTCGCTGTCCACATACTCATCATCCTCGGTGTCCATTGCATTGCCAGCATCGCCATCATCTGTTTCGTAGTTGTAGTTGGGATCATAAGTGATGTACTTCAGGCACAGCTCAAGGATCTAGAAGATACCCAATGCGAAATAAGGCTTTGCTTTGCTTTGCTTCGGAAGAACTTACCATGGGAATATGAGGATTTATGGCATCGGGGCAGCGCATAACGAACGCCTCGCAGGCCTGCAGGCAAAACTCGCGCAGCTCGTCGTCATCTCGCTGGCTGTATTGACTCAGCAGCAGCATTGAGCGATCGATGTGGTTGCACAACCGATGGCCAGCCTGTCGGCTGAAAGGAAAGAGATGTAAGCCGATTGTGAGACTAGCGTATTCCTGCCTGCTTACCATATTGACGCCAGGCACTGGATGTATGTGCGAATGGCACCCGGGTTTGGTGGATTCTCTAGGCCATCCAACAAGTGATCGATGACTCCGTTGTAGGCATTACTATTGGCTTGGATAAGCAGAAACGACAAAGCTACGATCGTTCGCTTACGTACAGCCTGTCGTGAGGAAGCCAATTGGGGCATCAATGCCTTAAGAATGGTGCTGTGGAAGGGCACAAGAAACTCTCCAAAACGGGAGAGCAAGTCAGCCAGTATGTCCAGGGACTCCAACTTGACGGATACGTCTTCCTACAAAGCGGAAAAGCTTACAAAGTAAAACCAAATCCAGGCGGGGCTTCTTAACCGGTGAAACGTACCTTCTCAATAGCTGTGCTCAGCTTCCCGGTGATCCTCTGGCAGACATTGGGGGCCAGTGAATTGGAGGATTGCGGCAGTTCCGCAATCACTGTCTTCAAGCCGATACTCGATATGTCGCGCAGCTGTTCTGTGTTTGACATCATGTTGGCACAGAGCGAATCAACAATGGTCTCCACCTGAATCTCCTTCACCTTGTTGACCAACGGACCGAGGCACTTCACGGCCAGATTCTGCACCTCGCCGTTCTTGTCCTCCAGCAGCTTCAGTACCATTCTCACCACCTTTTTTTCGGACTCATCGTCCAGTATAATGCTGTCTTTTTGCAGTTCAGTCATTAAATCATTGGTCGCCATGAATCGAAAGTCCTTGTCCGTCGACGTCATCTGGAGCAGCCAAGGAGGCAGCAATAGCCATTGGCTCCATTACATTTCATAATATTCACGAAAGATAAAAATTTTATACATACTTTTTCCAGCAAATTTGCAATTTGATGGTACTGATGGGACGCCATGGCCACGTCTTTGTATCGTTTATTCAGTTAAAGTTGAGTGACTAGCAAAGTGTGGTTTTTGTATTTGATAGTTTCACTATTTTATATCCTTTGGAAAACCTGAATGCCCACTGAAATTTTTCCGGCAGAAAATCTCCAAGCTTAATATTCACTCAACAAATTTTTTGTAAAATAGAGATGGAACCAAAGCGATTATCGCTGACACGATAACTGGTTGCGAACTCCGCTAACTTTCCCATTCAGACACATGTGTATATTGTAGCCAAGAACACTTTAAAGAAAGAGGAATTACTTCATAATAAAAAATATTGGTATTACAAGACAATATACATATATAATATGTACAATCGAGACTATTACACCATATGACGAAAAATGAGTAGTGTTTCATATTCCGTCGTTTCTAACTTCAGACAAATTGACAATACAACGAGTTGACATTAGCGCTTCTCACATCTCTAACATTGTGCCGCTCGTTTTCATTCTAAAATTTTGTAGGCATTTTAAATTAATATCACTACCATTATTTAGCATCATACAAAAATATGGATCAAATCATAAACAAGGAGAACACCGGCGTTTATTGTAAGTTATAGTAGCATTGCTCTTTCAAACATAAAAAACAAATAATTGTATTAAACGTTTCAGTGCCTTCTCATCCTATGAAAAATAGCAATGCAGCCTTAAAACTAACTGTTAAAAAGAATGTGCTGGGAAAACTTGACAATGTTATACACCAAACGCCTGGAATTACTCCATTTAAAAGCAGCAGTTCTGTAAAACTTGAGGGAAGTAATGCCAAGCTATCGATTCGGAATGCTGCCAAACAAAATGTAAGGGATCGAGAGGAAGTTACTGCGAAGTCGACCAGCTGTTTTTTGGGTGCCTACATGGTAAGACGCGTCGAGATCCATCCCATAAATTTGTTCAACTACACGGATTTCCCCACCGAGCGCTGTGTAAAAAAATGCAGCAAACGTAAGCAGAGCTAAGGGGGTGATTCCAAAAATGAAGAATAACAATTCTCAATTCCAGCAATCACCGAAACCTGGCTGGAAAATGAGTCTGAATATGATGACTTGTGCGAACGAATCCTACATGACATCCACACCCTGGAGGAAGATTGGGATAAAAGAGAGATACCACAGTTATGCACCGATTTCGATCAAAATCCACCTATAAATGACTTAGATATTATTGAAAGTGATGAATGTGGATCATTTTTTGACCTCCCTCTGCCGAGTTTCATTAATGTAGACATTCTATTTTAGTTAATCATTTTAAATTTGTATGTTTATCTTTAGATTAAGGATACTATTTGTGGCTAGTGTCTAGTAACGTGTGAAAACTTCAGTAAAAACTTATATGTCATATTTGTTTTAAGTTTTATCCATTAATAAAAAAATATGCATTATATCTGCTTGTGCTGTTTAAACATACGGAGAGGTTACGACATTAATATAGACATATGTATATAACATTTTTATGAAAATGATACCTGATCTCAAGACTTTTACTAAGTTTTGAGGACAAACATTAGAATTTTGCGATTTCCTACTGAAATAAATAATAAACAAGAAAGGAAGCGCAAAAATTTGATAAGCCGAAGATTGTATACTCTTGCTGTTGTTCTTGTATGATAAGCCGAAGATTGTATACTCTTGCTGTTGTTCTTGTTCAAATGCTGCAAGCTTCTGACTGAAATTATAATCCCCTGTAAGGGTATAATTAATCATACAAAATTATTAAAATACCCCAAAAGATTCGCTGCATTCCTAAATATTACCTATCTTTATAAAATCCTGAAGGTTTTGAGAAAGGTTTACATTATTTATTTAAACAGTTCTAGGGGAAGACGAAGGATAACATTAAAGAAATCATAAACAGAAAAGAAAGCTAAATTCAAAAAGTCGAAATGTGTATACCCTTGCAGGTAGCCATATCATAATGGGTTCGAATGTGCATTCGATCATAACTAAAGCAAAAATGCATTAATTGCAATTCAGAAAGCTTTCCTATGTTAGGTTTTAAGAGGTTAACAAATCTGCGTACTCAGTTTAAAACCTAAACAAATTAACATTTTTGACAATTATAACGATTTATTTTCTTTTTAAAAAAGTGAACATTTTTGAAAAAAAAAAAAAATTTCTTGCCGGAGATAGCTTGAAAGATTCGACTCTTCATGCTGATCAAGAATATATATGATTTGTAGGGTCGGAAATGACTCCTTCATTGTTTTGCAAGCTTCTGACTAAAATTATAATACTGGAAGGGTTTAAAAATAAGTATTAATTTATGCAATTACTTTTATATGACAATCAAAGTTTAAAAATCTCATAACTCAGCCAAAAAGGCATTAATATCAATTAGGAAAGCTTTCCTGTTAGTTTTTACGAGGTCAACAAATCTTTATGCTGATCAAGAATACATATGATACGTAGGGTCGAAAATGACTCCACACACTTCGTAATTAAGTTAGGTTCTTACCTTTAGTATGAGTTTGTAGATATTTTTAATGAAAATTTCTGTATCACTTTAAATTAAAATAAGCTTATAGTTTCCATGACAAAACAAGTAAATTAAAGGAAAATTAAACGCAAAGCCACCACTGCTGATTTCTGACTGATCACCCATATAGCATCTTAATATATATATAATATATATATATATATATAATAATAATATATAATAATATATATAATATAATAATATAATTGTCAATGTTAAGACTTACCAGAGTAGAGGACACACTTTTATCTCTTTTCATCATTACGTTATTCCTTCCAGTGTGATGTGTGTGTGATTGATGACTTCAATTAGGTTTCGATTGGTAGCATCAATGTAAGCTTTTTCCTTGTTATCCACATGTGTTGCATTGGCCACGTCATATTTATGGAGTCAAACCACTATCACTGCCAATATCACTTTCGATGTCAACACTGGAGACCGCACGGACTAACTGAGGCCAGCTCGGCGAGGTGTGCCTGTATTTATAGTACCCGAGAAAAGAGAATAGAGAATGTGAGAGCGAGAGAGCAAGAGAGCTAGAGCTAGCGCTAGAGCTAGAGCTGCAGCTAGAGCTAGAGCTACAAAGTGTGAGAGTGTGAGAGCAAGAGAGCTAGAGCTAGCGCTAGAGCTAGGTAAAGAGTGATAAAGAGAAAGAGGGATCTGTAGAGCTTGACAGAGTGATGGACATACATTTAATGACCGTTTCGATGGCAGCTATATGATATGGTCGTTAGATTTCAATAAAATTAAAACCGAAATTATAAAATAATACAAAATGGACTTTATCTAAAATATGTAAATATGTTGAAAACTATAAATGTTATAATTTGTTTTCTGAACATTTACTGATCGTTCCTACTGCAGCTATATAGTCCTTCGATCCAAAACGCTCTTCTCTTGAAAAGGTAAGACGGAGGGACAGTCGGAAATTTCAAGTTAGTGAAGATCAAGTATTCATGTACTTTATATGACCAGAAATGACTCCTCCATTGCTTTGCAAACTTCTGACTTAAATTATAATACTGCAAGGGCTTAAAAATAAGAATAACATTATATTATTTTTATTATTTGTATTATTTATATCAAAATCGAAGATTAAAATTCTTATAACTCAGCCAAAAAGGCATTAATTTCAACTCGGAAAGCTTTCCTATGTTAGCTTTTATAAGATTAACAAATCTGCATACCCAGATTAAAACCTAAAAGAATCAAAACTTTTCTTTCATTTTTGGAAAAAATTTAACATTTTTGAAAAAAAAAAATTTTTCTGCCGGAGGTAGCTTGAAAGATTCGTCCTTCATGCTGAGCAATTAAGTATATGATTTGTAGGGACGGAAATGACTCCTGCACTGTTTTGCAAGCTTATGATTAAAATTATAATACTGCAAGAATTTAAAATTAAGTATTATTTTATGCAATTATTTTTATATGAAAATCTAAGTTTAAAAATCTCATAACTTAGCCAAAAAGGCATTAATGTCTATTCGGAAAGCTTTTTTATGAGGTTAACAAATCTGCAACCCATTTTAAGATTTAAAAAATTCAATTTTGGCAAAAATTTACAATTTTAACAATGAAACTCCTTTTAAAATTTTTAAAATTTGGAAATTTTTGAAAAAAAGTACATTTTAGCCAGACATAGCTAGATCGATTCAGATTTTAATACTAATCAATAATATATATGGTTTATAGGGTCAGAAATGACTCCTTTCCTGCGGTCTAAGCCTCTAACTGAAATTGCATTATCCCACACGGGTATAATAAAAGTAATGACTTATAGTTTTATATTTACAATAATGTATCAAATCAATTATTTACAAAGAACGAATTTAGCCTTTTTCAAGCCATAAACGATTCGTGTCTATATGTTTTTTTGCGGTAGCCAACAAATTGGCAGCACTGGAACACAGTAATGTATCTAGTTTTTTTTTACATTTCTGCCAGAAAAGTTTTTCGTCTCGTCTCGTATGTGACCTTACCTTCGCTGGTGTCCAAAAAGTATAACATAAAAGTGACAATTTTCCCCGTTTAAGTGTACAAGCCAAATGTAAATGCAAGTTTACGAATACAAATCAATAAACTAATAAAAAAAATGTAATTGTTAAAACCCCTAGTTGATTGCATCAAAATTAAGTATTTTTACCTGTTGCTTTGTTTAAATGGTGCAGTATAATAAAAAAGAGTGCAACACTGGGGTATTGAACACAATTGCAAGCTGAAATCAAAAGACTTAGGCAACAAACTCTCCATTGGTAGACATATTTAGAGGATGTTGCGATCTACATATGTTTAAAGACGTGGCAGTGTCACCAGTGCAACAATACAAATCTTGCATATGTATGTATGCACGTACATACATATGTAAACATATGCTATGTAATACGTTGGCTCTTAACAGAAAATTCACCGTGCAGCAAAGTACATATGTACATAGAATGTACACTGTACTATGTATATATGGATATTTTAAAAGTCTTGACTGCAAAATAAATACATATGTATGTATCTGCTATTGCCATTAAATTACTCGTTTTTTGCAGAATCTTTATTGACATGTCGTATTAGTACTGCTATAGCTTACATCGCTAATTTCAATAAGAAGACAATGGTTTATCCCGAAGAACCATTTTGGGTTCTACCAACGGTCACTGGATTTTACGAGGACAGAGATTATAGAGGTAACACTTATATAAATGTAAAACTATAAGCCCACCTATGTTCACATATGTATGTATGTATGTATTTCAGTGAATGTGGTAGAAGCCCTACAAGAGTTTTGGCAAATGAAGCAATCTCGCGGAGCTGAACTAAAAAACGGAGCTCTTGTTATTTACGAATCGATTCCAGCAAATAGCCAGCCATACATTTGTTTCGTAACGCTGCCAGGAGGCAGTTGTTTCGGAAGCTTTCAAGTATATATCGGCACTTAAAAGTAATGAAAGGAGAAATAGATTTCTAGCAGTGTTTTCTTGTGTTCCAGAATTGTCCAACAAAAGCGGAAGCCAGACGCAGTTCGGCCAAGATTGCTCTGATGAACTCGGTATTCAATGAACACCCATCGCGTCGAATTAGTGACGAATTTATACAGAAAGCAGTACAGGATGCTCGGACTTCCTTTAAAGGAACAACATCCCAAGTCAACGAGGGCACAGAGTCGGGAATCGGCGCATTCAGGTGAGTTTTAATCTGCGGTAATAACTTATTAAACAAACTATGTTCTATTGTTTGGTGTAGATTCATGCTGGAAGCAAATAAGGGTAGAACTATGCTTGAGTTCCAAGAACTTATGACTGTTTTTCAACTGCTCCACTGGAATGGTTCCCTCAAGGCAATGCGCGAACGTCATTGCTCCAGGCAGGAAGTCGTGGCTCACTATTCCAACCGCAGTCTGGATGATGAGATGCGCTCACAAATGGCGTTGGACTGGATTGCCAGGGAACACGACAGCCCCGGCGTTATTCGTCGCGAATTGGTGCTGGCCGAGAGAGAGCTGGAAACCTTTCGCATGGCTGGACGAGAACTGCGTTTTCCGAAGGAGAAGAAGGACATACTTATGATAGCTCATAACCAATTGGGCGGTAGTACCCTCAGTTCGGCTTCCATTGATGATTGATCGACCAGAAAATATTTCAAATATGCGTTTACAAACTTTTTAGATAAATCATATAATTTCACTTTGAGTAATGATCAATATTTAATTAATTGGCATACCATATGATCTCCATGATGAAAAACAAGCGGAATTTTTATTTGAAAAAATATTACTCTTCCCACACAAAACACTTCCAAATTATAACAAATTAATATTTAAAATCGTTAAAAATGTGATTTATAAATCATCTGCTACAAAAATAAGACTAAACCCAATAAAAATAATTATTTTATTTTAACTAGACTTGAGTTTATTAAATATAACTTTTATTTTTAGAAGCTATAGAAACTTTATAAACAAAATAGGGGGCAGTAAATCTTTTTCAAGTCAATCTGTTATTCCTATTCAACTGGGTTTAACATATTAATCTAAGAGGTTTTAAAATATTAATCTTATCGCTCCATGTCAGCAAAGAGCAGCCATACATAGGCCCAACACGCACAAATCATTTTTATTTTGCACTAAAGCTGAAATAAATAAAAAATCGATTTATATTTATCATAATGAGCAATAATATCATAATTGTTAAAATTTTTTTTTTTAATTTTAAAAGGCAATCATTGAATAAAATACACACATTATGTGTTACTTTAAAGTTAAAGCACGTCAATAAAAATTTCTTTAGAACGTGTCCCTTTTATACAATTATTTTCTATGTTTTCTTGTAAGGCTATTCATTTATCTATTATGTTGCATAACTTATTTATTTTAAGAAATAAAACTATTATCCCAGCATTCAACTACAACTGTTTCACAGTTTTCTCGTCGTTCCAAATGAATTAATTTGATAGGCTTACGCCATCCCTAGAAATTTGAGTTGTTGTGACGCTACCTTTACTATTTGTCAGCCCTATATATAATAAACACATACATACAATAAAAAAATAAGAAAAAACGAAGAAAAATAGTGTTTTGAGGCAGTTCTTCTTCCCAAAACAACAAATATCATAGAGAAAACAAATCAGTTGAGATAGCACTGTCATTAATAAGCTCGAAATTTACGGATATTGTGCATAAAATGGCCTCAGAAGAGCTGCCAGCTGATCTAGACAAGTTGAAAATAACACAAACTCATCCTCTCTCTAAAACTGCTGTGGAGAGGAACCCATTTTACGATGCAGAGAATGGGTTTGATCCATCGGATAACCCTGAGCCCACACTAAGCGCCAAGCATCGAACGACGCATCGTTGGAGATGCAGGCCCAGGCGTCGATCCGAAAGCTGTCTGCAAGATTGCAAGCAGGACGAGTCCTTTGTTCCAGCCGATTCCTTTGATATAAGCTCACATGGTGTGCAGAAGCATTCGCAGAAACGAAAGAACATTTTTCGACAGCCGATCCTGAGGTCCTTGTACGGCTGCGAGCACGGCAAGTGCGTAGTTCGCAGCGGCAGGATGTTCGTCCCCAGGCCCAGAGAGGACACCAGTGATGTTGTTGGCCAACAATCGCAGGCGAGTGATGATTTAAGCTTGCTAAACACTAGTGGCACTGGGACCTTCCGTGATTGTGTTATTGGAGAATGCAATGCCATGCTCGACGAATCGAAGAGGAGCCCCTTGGCCAACAGCTGGCACTTGTCAAAGAACTGCAGCTCGTCGAAAGCCAGTCCAGAGGCTGGAGCAGGAGGATCCCTTCAGAGCCATAAGAGTGACGCTGCCTTTACCGTCTCCGCTGCCGCAAGATCTTTGTCCGCTGTCTCGCTAATGGGAGCGACATGCTCGCAACAGGCCAGCTACAATTCCACGAATCCAGGCAGCTGCGATGATGTTACCATTGGAGAGTTGGCCAGCTATTTCGACACCATCGTGCATATTCCAAAAAAGATGTCCACAATGGCCGAGATGATGTACATATAAAACTATATCTCGAATACCGTAGCAAGTTTTCATCACTATTCTCTGATTCTAAATTTAAGTTCTATGTTATATGTGAATCTAATTACACAGTTTTTTGGCTCTCTGTAACCTCAGTTGAGTAAACTAAATATATTTATACTGTATAATATGTACATAGTCATTGGTATATTCTGCGAATTACAGCATTTCAAAACCCACATTTAAACAGGCTTTTTATTTAAAAAGGTATTGGAATAATCTTTCAGATATGAAATAACGCAAGAAGTAAGTATCTCGTAAATTGAGAATCGAGAGTAAAAACGTTAGAAAATAGGTTAAGCAACTTGATTAAGTAAAAAACTACTTAACCCATTCAACCTTCTGTTAACCAATATATTCCTCCACAAATTAACTAAGTCACGAAATAAAATCATCAAAAAAAAAGAAGTCCCAGTCCATTTTTTAACATAAAGTAAAAAAAGCTAGTGCCACTTTAAGGCTAATTATTCTTTATTCATTTGAAGTTCCGGATTATACATACATAAATAGACATTTAATGCATCATTATTCATATAATTGTTATCTATTTTGTGCACTCAAACTTGTCAAATTTTTGTTGTCATGAGAATGGTTTCGATTCGATTAATATGTAAAATATTAAAGGACATTGAATTCAGTATTATTATTATCATTATTGGTATAACCTAAGTATTTTTGGTTATTATTTTCGGAGTGCACCGATGTTAATTCAGTCATAAGATTAGAGTTGTTGTTGTTGTTTTTGTTGGAGAATCGAATGGGTGAAGTGAACACTTGCTTAAGCTTTGATATATTTCCAATACTTTTCTTAATTCGATCACTATAGTTTGAAAGGTGATTAAACGAACGACTAAACTCTACTTCCTGCCATTGTTCTTGAGAGGCGCTTTGTTTTCGCGATGCCGCAGCGGGATACAAAATGTGCTGCAAGGAACGTAAAAAGATTACATTAACTATAGAGCTTTAGCATTGCATTTTCTTCAGGATATACCCACCGAAACGAGAGCCTTTTCGGTGAATGTTACGCTCTTCCTAATAATGTCATCGGAATGATGATGATAATAGTACTGGGAGTTCTGGGTCTGGGAGTATCGAGTATTACTGCTTACAATATCAACGCCATGGTGTTCACCGTTGGTGAAATTCTCGTATCCGTTGTTATTACTAAACATATCTACAAAACTAATTGAATGAAATTCACTTGGGTGAATATAAAATGTCACGATCATTGCAGTGTAAACGATGACATGAAACAAAACGCAAGTCCAAATTAGATTTATCTGTAAATAAAAACATATTATTTTATGAATGCCTCTAACTCGATGTGTTTTTCAAGGTCTTACCTTTTTCTTGCGCCCATATTTCGAGAATGTGGTAAATGGCACTAGGGACACGGTCAAAAGGCAGCCACAAATCACGCCAGCCAGCAATCCCAGGAAGTTCAGCTGATAAGGCAGGGTTCCGATCCCAACTAGCACGCTGCACAGGAGCAGCAGCTTGAACAGGGCGATGTGGGGCTTGTGCAGATACTTCCAGTGCATCCATATCAGCAAAGCGATCAGTGAGGCCACCACTCCGCTGAGAGAGGCCGAGGGTCCAACCTGATTAAAATTCAAAAAAATGATTGAATAATTAATGTCCTTGAAAAGTTAGAAATCATAAAGGTATCTTAATTTCAGAATTCTTCCTTTTTCCTATCATTTCGCATCTAATAACCAAAATAGCTAAGAACTGACATAGCTCTTGACATGTTTTTTAATTTAAACCAAAATCAAATAAGGCTTAGCTTTGCTTGTTTTATAATGTTTGTTTATGTTTTCATTGTTGGTCTACTTCCTTTCAGTTCGGTGCCTAACCATAATCTATTATTATATAGGTTTAGTACCTCGGGGCGATGTGGCACAAGAATGGCGCTTGTTAGATTTCCGGCAAAGCCCGACATTATATAGACAATGGCAGTACGGACTGTTCCAATCAACCGCTCCAAGTCCGCCAGGAACAGGTGCTGGAAGATTAGAGTTATGGCCAGATGAAGAATGCCGGCGTGCATGCATAGCGATGTGAGCAGTCTGTAGAGCTGATCCGGCGTCTCAACGGATATGAATGGGAACATGCCACACACATTATTCAGACAGGATATCTTCAAGGAATATAATGAAAATCGTATTAGAACAAAGTGATATTTCACTACCTATTAATGTCACAGCTACCTGAGAGCACAGCGATGCTTCCTCATGGAAATACCCCTTTATAAAGTCACAGTACTCGCGGGTCGTTATCCGGCACTCTCCATAGAGGCCCGTGCAACATGGATGTCCAATGACCTCGCAAACCATGTGTTCCGAGGTGTGATCCTTGTACCGATATCGTTGGGTAAACGAATTGGTTTTCCGGCATATGGGCCACTTGGTAATATCGTCGGGCCATTCATAGGGCGCAATCGATGCTGGAGCATCACAGAATTTGGGGTCCAATCCGCAGACAGACCCGGATATTCGACCTCCCGGTCCCGACTCGCTCGGAGACCATTTCTTCCAGGTCGATATCGATTTCTTAAAATAAAAAAAAATTAAATTAACAATATATTAAAGATCTAATTTGGTAGTGTCCACTTACCGTTGGAAAGAGACCCCTTATGGAGCACTCCGCCTGAGAGCTCTGCACGCATCCCGAATCATCGTTGCGAATGCAACAGGCCGTCTCCCTTTCGTGGCGCCTCGTTTTTGTGACCACCTCTGTAATCTTGACATCCCGTCGCATGCAGGCGGCAAACTTGGCCCCCATGTGCACCAGATCGATATTCCTGGGACCAATCCACAGGTTGCGCTGCTCTACATGCTGCACCGTCTGCAGACTGAGACTGGTCACCAGCACCTGGCCCGTCTTCTGCTCCGATCCGATGCCAATAGGCGCGACTCCGTAGCAAATGATAGATAGTATGAGCACCACGACCTGCACCGTATTGATCCAGTAGGTGAAAAAGGGCCGATGGTCGGTGCGGTCGTCCAGATCATTGACCGAGAAATACTTGATGCAACGCAGTGGAGGGCGTCGCGAGTTCTCCAGAACGCCGTCGAGCAGCTGGGCTGTTATCCGGTTGCCCCGATTGCATGTCGAGGTGGTGGAGTGCGAGGTGCGCATTGCCGGCTGCATTTGGCTGGAAACGGAGCTGCAAAGCGGTATGTGGCCGCCACCCGGCGGATGGGAGGCTTGGTCGCCGCCGTTGCCGCCGGTTAGGTTGATATCACTGCTGGCATTTCCGCCGTTGTTCAACGCAGAGGTTCTCCAGCCATTCTGCTGACGTTCCGCCATGTAGACACTGACCCCCACTCCCATATTGCCGCCCCCTGCGGATGGATCACCTGTGCAAGGTCGTGACTTGACAGCAGACGACGCCTGTCTGCCGCCGCCCCCGATCTCGGAACCCTCTTCGTTCAGCCCGTTGGCCGTTATCTCGCAGGGACTATCAAAGAAAACCTCGTCCTCGATGATAGCCTCCAAACCATCCGTCAAGCAGTCGGCGTCCGCCTGCTGGGTGGTGACGTGGAGCGGGGCAAAGCTGCGCGACCATTGCCAAGGACAGCGCACTCGATGCATCTGGATGGGCCGTCGTTTGTTGAACATGTGCACCAAGTAGCTGACCATAGCCACGAACATGTAGCCCACCGATGCCTTACGCTCCACGAACTCCCCGGCAAGAAAATCACGATTGGTGTAGCACTTCTGCCGCCGGTTATCACCGCCCAGCGTCATGTCCATGCCAAGGGCATCCTGGACGGGCAGGATGTCTGGGCGATCGGGGGCATAGCCATTCCCATTGCCATTGCCATTCCCGCCGCTGCCATTTCCATTTCCCTGCATGTCCTCGCCGCCGGCCTGCTGCATGTGGTACTCCAATTCGGTGTCGAACATCCCGAAGCAGCGGATTGCAAGCCGGCGGTGACGTCCCTGCCAGAGGGCACAGTCGGCCGCCTCTGTGCTCGGCTCCACGCCAAAGAACTGTGAGGTGGTGCGCCGCAGGTAGATACCGAGTCGCTTCTTGCAGGACAAATGATGCAGCTGCGGCTGTGGGAGTACCTGCAGCGACTGGTGCTGCTGCGTCTGGTGGTGGATGTGCTGCAGACGCGGATTGCTCACCATCTGGCTACGGTACATCTGCTGGTGTTGGTTGGACCCGGATCCGGAACCGGGTGCCTGAAGCTGCACTGCATCGTGCCGCTTCGCCTGCACGGGCACGGACACCATGCTGCTGTTGCTGGACTGATCCATGCCGGCATTCTGCTGCATCTGCTCATTGAGGCTCGAAATCACCGGAATGGGCATGGGCACGGGCAGGGATATGGGCACCGGACTAATGGGTCCCGTCGTCTGAGTGGTCTGATGCACGCCTGTGGTTCGACGCACCGTGTTGCAGTGCAGGCACGTCCCCGACGGGTTGTCCTCGATCTGGGCCCCAGAGGCAGCTCCTCCGGGTGCCACAACTACCATGGAGTCGCTGCCATCCTCGCCACCGCCCCGGTGTCGAGACATCAGCGCTTGGTCGCCGCGCTGGACTAGATTATTGGCAGTGGTTATCGGCGAACAAGAGCTAGCCGCCGACAAGACCATCGACATGGTCGAGGAGGGTGCCGGCGATGGCGAGGTGCAGGCTGCGGCCGGAGAGCAGCTCACATTGCCGATGTACGTCTGCGAGGTCCGACTAAGGCTGCCGTGCGAGGTCTCACTGTGGCAGCACTTGGTGCGATAGCTGTACGGCATATTGGCGTACTGTGATTGCGCCGTGGATCCGGACCCGGATGCGGATGCTGCGGGAGTGGGGAGATTGCCCGCTGGCGAAGACGACGACATGGTAAGATCGGCATATAGATCGCCGGCTGGCGGCGGTGTGGGCACATATCGCTTAACCGGCGTGTGTACCGTGGATCCCAGATAGGCATTGTAGTTATCGCACTGGGCCAGCGGCAAGGGTACATTGGAAGGCAGTAGGAGGCGCGTGGAGGAGACCGAGGGCAGTGGCACAGCCGAGGGCATACCGCCCAGATTCTCCATCATCTTCGCCTGCGGCGTTTGCTGCTGCGACTCCCGATAGCGCTCCAACCTGTATCTAGAGTTTGGCGAGACACCTCGCTGATGGTGGTAGTTCACGTTGCTCGCTCCGGCCATTCCATGTTTCTGGCTCACCACCGGAGGTTGCTCCACCTTTGAGCCCACGTTGCACGACTGCGACGGCACCTGACTGGCCACACAGCTGGTGGCAAAGCAGTCGCTGTTGGGGGCCGGAGATGGCGGCGGTACGCCCCTATTCACATCATCGTACTTTTCCAGCGGCGAGAGCTTCAGCTTGCCTGCATGTGGCGGGAAGCCCTCATTGCCCGCCGGAGGCGCTCGGAAGCGACCCGACGACAGGCTGCAGTACATCACATCGCACTCGTTGGACTCCAACGCCAGCTGCAGTTGATTCTGGAAGTTGATGGACTTCCGGCGGGTAGAGCTAGCGTTGCTGCTGCCCCGCAACGAGGAGGGATGGACGCCGTCGGGATTGACCTTGTCATTCCGCCTATTGTTGTGACCCAGGTCAGCTCCATTTGGATTCATAGTCGGAGAATAGTTATATTTTCCGATCTGGAATAAGTTATTAATAAGTTATCTTATTTATTAGGGACAATTAAAGGATAGCAAATTCTCTAAACTAAAGAACTAAACTGCGGGAAAAATGTAAAACTGAATTTATCTCGCGTTTTACTGGTATTTATTATTTTAGAAACTATTCTCGAATTTCAAACAAGGTTTTTTTAAAAAAATTAGCGCCTAAACTATTACCTAATTTTGAGCATTTTTCATTATAATTAAATAAAAAGAAGACTGAATTTAACTCTAAATACGGAACTTGGAAGTGTTTCTCATCCTCTGTTAGAATTTAATCGTTAATTTATTTCAACAAGTAAAATTATTAAATTACATATGTGTATTCATACATTTATTTACATTAAATTATTTGGAAACTATTTTTAATTGCTTATTTTTTGTTACACATTTCTTTTTCAGATACAAACAATGGAAAAAGGGCCAAGGGCGCATATGAGTAATACGGAATACTGCTGCAATTAAACCATGTCACCATTTTAAACATTTTGAGATTAAACTAGACCAAGTCTTAATATTTTGTTAAGCTTTTTCTCTAACTTTATTTACCCTACTGAAAACTAATGTCCCGTTTAACATAAATGTATACCTAAAGATTGATAAAAATATATCTTTAAGACATAATAAAAACTTTTAAAGCACGATTTTGAGGCCGCACATAAACTTACTTAGAATATTTATTGGTACATTTAACGATTTCTTCAATTCATTCTTATTTTGTTTAACTCTGTTGACAGGCCGAAAATTATTTTAATCGATTTTCCGCCTGCATGTACACACAACTCCATGGCGAGAAAACCCCTTAATCTCAGCGTATTTGATTCACGTTAACTTTCGTTATTTTCCATTGTTATATTTTGTGTATTGTTTTAAGTAAAAAATTGAAAACGCCATTGATTAATCCATATTTTTCCAACAATTTAATACAAAAAAAACACCAATGCATATGTACACAGCGCACACACTCGTCGAAAAAGTGCAAACCACTTGGATAAATTTTTCCCTAGATGTGCTGCGCATGTGCCGGATTTCACAGACTTGAGATGACGAAAAATGTCCCAGAGAGGTGATTCGTAAAGGCCATACATTTCTTAGGCAGAAATGTAATCTTTTTATTGAATAGGTACATTTTTAGAATATATGATAATATTAATTCGGGAAGTCGAAGTTAGCCATACGATCATGGGTTCGAATGTGCAATTGATCATAACTAAGCCGAAAATGCCTTAATTTCAATTCGGAAGGCTTTTCTGTGCTAGCTTTTTTAAGGTTAATAAATCTGCATACTTAATTTAAAATTAAAAAAAGAATAAAAAAAATTATAAATTTTTTTGACAATTTTAACGATGTTAACTTATAAAATTAAACAAAAAAATTTACAAAAATCTTTTTTCTTTCCTTCATGCCTAGAAAGATTTGCTTGTTGATGTTGATCAAGAATATATATGATTTATAGGGTCATAAATTACTCCTTCACTTTCTTTTAAGCTTCTGACTGAAAGTGCAAAACCATTTTTTAATCGGAATTAACTATATTTTAATATGAAAATTTTACGACAAATCAAAACCTAAAAATCTCATAACTAAGCCAAAAATGCATTAATTTCAATTCGGAAAGCGTTCGTATGTTAATTTTTAGCAGGTTAATAGAACTGCATACTCCATTTAAAATTTTAATTTTTGGCCGATTTTTGCAAATTTTCATGATGTAACCCCTTTCCTTTTTTTCAGAAAATGGGAAATTTCTGAAAAAAAATGTTTTTCGCCGGGATATAGCTAGAAAGATTCGTCTGTTGATGCTGATCAAGAATATATATGATTTATGGGGTCGGAAACGACTCCTTCAAAGCGTTACAAGCCTCTGACTAAAGCTAAGATACCATTTTTTAGTCGATATTATTTATATTTTTATATGACAATTTGTTCAACAAATCAAAGTTAAAAAAAAACTCATAGCTAAGCCAAAAAAGCATTTAAGCTCGGAAAGAAGCTCTATGTTACTTTTTATTTGGGTAATAAATGTCCATACTTAAGTCAAAATGTAAATAAATCAACATTTTTGACAATTTTAACGATGTAACCCCTTATAAAATTTTGAAAAAATTGGCAAAAATGTATTTTCTTTCCTTCATGACTAGAAAGATTCGCCTGTTGATGCTGATCACTGAATTGTGATCTTTGAGAGCCTTTTTAACATAAGTATTAATAAATAATCTTCCGGTAGTATTTGACACAACCTTTTCATTTTAAAGGATGAGAAAAGTAAAATGTTTAAAAAATATGTATACCAAAAATATGTACATACATATGTATATATTGTCTTTATCACTTTCGTATATCTTAAAAAAAAACTTTGAATTTTTGGTTATCTTTTCCTGCGATTGCAAGTGTTTTTATTTGTTCTGTTTTTTCTGCAAAATATGTTTGTGTTTCCAATTTATATTTCTTTTGAAGAGAACATCTATTTTATATCAAATGCAAAAATTAATGCTGCTTTAACTTAATCTTTATGCGAGTGTGAGGTGATGGAAAAGTCCAGACGCAAAAAGACAATGGTGATTACAAAGATAATATAAATAAAGCCGCTAACCAGCAGGGGTTCTTGCAGCAGGGAAATCTTCGAGAAGCTATAGTAGAGCGTAAAGTCGGAAATGTGACTCTCGACCAGATTGGACTTGGTGAACGAGATCACAGGACGTCCAGTGGTGTCCAGATAGGTGTGCACCAGTTCGTTAGGCAGCCTGCTGATAGAGTACGGCGGCGACAACTTGATGTCACTGCATCCCTCAGGCAGAATAATCTTGACGGTAGCCTCATCAATGGCCATGTTGTCATAGATGTGGTCGATAAGGTGCATCTTAAGCTGGTACTTGTTGCCGTCGCTGAACATGTACTCGTAGCTGGGAACGTTGTAGCCCAGGGTGTACTGCGTCTTCCAACCGCCGAAAAGGGGAAAGCGCGGACGGAGCTCTAGTTCGATAAAGTCCCGTCCCGTATTCATGTTTGAGGTGGAAATATTGCCATTGGTGTCGCGGTAATACACACCAGATGCCGATGCCGGCAAATAGGTTTTATACGACTTAAGAGCGGACTGTCCCGAGCGGCCTTCCTTTTGGAAATCGTAACGCGAGAACGATCCCTTGAGCTTGGCGCCGGTGTGCGTCATCTGAATGGCCTCCTGGACGGCAATGTTGCCCCAATGTGATATTTCCAGAGTGCGTTCCAAGGTGTTGACGGTGACGAACGGTGAGGAGTTCTCGTAATGGATAACGAGCGGTTCCTGGCTGAGGGCTACAAAGAAAGTAAATACTTAAATCCTTTTTCGGAAAATTAATGCGTTTCTCTTGAGTCACCTTCCACGTTCTCATAGCTGCCCAGTGTGATTTTGTTGGCAGACACCGAGTAGGGTTTAACCTGCGTGTGCGACAAAATGTTCGACGAGCTGAGCTTGACATTGGTCTTTTGGGCGTTAGTCTTGTACTTGGAATACAGATGCAAGTTGCCGACATATCGCACAAACTGCTTGTCATTTTGCCGGATTTCCTCGGGATGCGGCAGAATGCCCTTGGAGGAAACGGTCTCCACCACGAATGTCTGCTTTGCGGAGGCCTTCGGGAAGGTGAGCGTAAAGCTTTGTTCGTCGTTTTTCCGCACCTGCACGTTCTTGTCGGCATTATCTTTCACGGCAATGTACGCTAGGCTTGGCTCCGCCACGAAAAACACGTACTCGGCGATGGCTTTGCCGGTTGCATCTTCGGCCGATATTTTTGTCGTCGTCTTCACCAGCTGCGAAGTCAAATCCAGTGTTCTTTCCACATTGGTGTTTACGATCTCGGCATTAGCATTGAACAAGCCAAGCAATGCGCTTAGAGCCAGAAAAATAGCAATATTTTTACTCATACTCGGACCCGAATTTTGGACACGTACATTAAAAAAATTCGAATGCGCTATGGGATGTTTTAGGACTTTTGACAACCGGCACGGCAAGGCAGTGTGCCCAAAGGCCATTCTGGATAATAACCATTACTATGCGAGTCGTAGTAGGTATTTTCTTCTCCCCATGTGGCACTTTTTGATTTTAAAAATATCGTAAAGCTTTCAAATGTATTACAAAGTTTATTGTTTAGCACACATTATTATGTTTTTATTACAAAAATAAATCGAAATAAAATATGTTAGATACACAAACATAAACATACATATGTAACAGCGGTAAAATAGAAATAAAAACAGCGGGCTTTTCTACTTCTAATTAGAGGTATCAAAGTTGGACTTAAAAACAGTTTGAGAATTCATGTTTATTTATAGCTATTGGACATAAACATGAACTAAGGCATAAACTGAGGATGTTTCCTACTGTCGTGTCCCCCCTGTTTTGTTATTGGAATCCCATCCGTTCAATGGTTGTAACCGTTACTCCTTGGTTCGCTTTTTATGTAATTCATTCCATTCGTTATTCATTGAGCTTCCGTGCTGTAAATATGAATAAAATTAAATAATTCCTGGCTATCATCCCTCCACCGACGCCATGCGATGAGCGCAGTTGCGTTCAGTTCTCCTAAGCACGCATGAGAGACACTAATGCGATTGCGTGAGTTACCGACAATATTTTTTCAATTTTCCAGTCTACGATTGGCACTTCGAAAAAGAAGTTGTACTCGCCGGGCGCTGTTCTGTCTGCGCATTCTCGAGACACACCAAGTAAAATTCGAATTTCAGAATTGTGCCATTTTCTCTAAGCACACACTCGCACACTCGCAAACACATACACCCATATGTGCAAATTTAATAAAAGTGATGCAGTGAGAAAGCTGTAGAAGGGAATTGAACTGCACTTTTGATAGTCAATACATACGATTTCTCGTATATGTAAATCAATCTTTACCTGTTTTCCGTATTGTCGAAAATATGTAGCTGTGAAAATATTTATCTGTATACTTTATGATTGCATAAACAAAAACAATTAAGACGGAAATGTGTATATACGCGTAAGGACTTGCCGAACTGCCGTTGCAAAGGAAAATAGGATAATAAAACTAGTGAGTTTTCTTCCGTTTTCTGTGTATGCATTTCCTTAAGAAACACATTTTAACACATGCATATATACATTTTATGTATATATGTATATGTTTGTATCCGTGTCGTGTGTATTTTTAGTCAATCCGTTAGCATAAAATTTTGATGCATGTGGCTGTTATGTACGTATGTACGAAACAGAAAAACACACAGGATTTCCAAACACGAAATGCAATTAATCAGTGATAACTTATTTTTAGTGACCGTTACATATAATTTTCATGTATCTAAAATACACAAGCACATACCGTGACGAAAATACATACATATGTACATTTGTAGATGCAATCCATTGGCATTTCTACAATTTGTATATGAGTGCGTACAAATACATATAATTTAAAGTTTATTTCAGAAAAAATGTGTTAAATTGCAAAAGTATACGATCCGGGTGTCTCGAATTTGGAAATAATGGAACCGAAAAGATGGCACTTGCATTTATCATGTTTTTTGCTACTCCTTAGTTCAACATTTTCAGGTAAGTAAAAGCGGAACATAATGATATTTTTATATATAGCATAAATAAAATCTTTCATTGATGTTTTCAATTGGTTAATAAGCTTACGCGCAATGTTGTATGCTATTAAAAATGAAGAAATGTTTTCAGTTGCCAAGTTTTCTTAGCGTTTTTATCAGAAATACTGCAGTGCTTCTTCTGCTTCTGAAGCAAACGAACCAAATTAATTTTTTGCATGAATGCATGTTTTATTGGGTAATACATATGTAATCAGCTTAACCATTAGATTTAATTGATACAAATAACATAATCACAATTACAGTCCAGTTATTATTTGTACTAACAACAATCCTACTTATTTAGTTCTGTGTGGCATGCAAAAATGCAATAATTGCACTACTTTTAATAAATAAATTTCTTTCTATTTTTTTTTTACCCCAAATCAGATGTAGGCAAAATCACGTCGTCTCAAAATCACTTTGGAAATACTATACAAAGTCAATTTAACACCAAAAACAACACTCGTGTTATTGCACAGAAGGGAGGTCTTGCCATTTTGCCCTGTGTGGTCAAAGTTAATTCTCCAGCAACGGTAAGTGAATATTCTTATAAATGTTAAACGATTAAGCTATAGGTGTAAGCTGAGGACGGGCAGAAAACTTGGCTGACTCATGAGTCAACTCTGGGGATAGCAGACACTGTATTTTATTATCAACTCGCTTAATTACCTCAATAAAATCATGAATTATTGTGTTCAATCGATTTTTATGCTAAATTTCAGGTTTCTTGGATACGTAGAAAAGACTTTCAGCTTTTAACAGTGGGACTATCCACGCACAGTAGCGACAAACGATTTTTAGTCGAGCACACCCGTCACATGGGCCATTGGTCACTTAGAATTAAAGCTGTTCGAGAAGAAGATCGAGGATTTTACGAATGTCAATTATCTATTTATCCGACTCAGTCAATTGTTATAGAATTAAAGATAGTCGGTAAGTAAAGAACAACATAAATTTTCAACGAAAACAGACTGCTAAACACAAAACTTTTTAAACTTAATAGAAGCGGTAGCGGAAATTTCAAGCGCACCCGAGCTTCATATTGATGAGACTTCAACGTTGCGGCTTGAATGCAAATTGAAACGAGCGACTGAAAATCCTGCATTTGTATTTTGGTAAGAACCTTTTTGATAGCACTTTTATAATTTTATTACAGTGCGTTAAAAGTTTAGAAAACTTGTTTTTTTTATCGATTTTTACATTTTTTACAGGTATCATGACAGTAAAATGATTAATTATGATTCACAAGGAGGATTTGTTGTGACATCGATAGGACAAAGTAGCCTGCAGAATTCACAGATCTTTAGAAGCACTCCGGGAAACAAGTCGCGCGTGGTTTCGCCTCCCAACACCTCCAATGCCATGGAATCTAGCAGTGGAGGAGGGGGAGTCCTCAACAACTTGCTTGGCAGCTTGGATAGCTTCAAGGGGGCCAACAATCCGCCATCATCAACGCCGTACGTGCAGCAACATCAGTCTGCATATCTCCTCAATCCCTCAGTGAGTGTTCTCACTGTGAAGCAAGTCAATTTTCGTCATGCCGGCAACTATACATGTGCTCCATCAAATGCCCGTCCTGCCAGCATCACAGTGCATGTTTTAAGAGGTAAGACTCAGATAAATATACAACACTCTACACTTTTAACGGTTTATTTTTAAAAGGAGAAAAGACGGCAGCCATGCAACACGCCAATCGGAGTATCCTAGATACTGAGAATAACGGGAACGGAACGTTTGGATTAATCAGTTTGGGCGGGCTCAATGGAAGCACAAGAGCAGCAGCATCTCCGACCGAAAGCCTTTTGTATTTCTCTGGCATGTTCCTGCTAATAGCCGCGATAGTATTGGATCGATTCCCGTTAGCAGTCACAGTTACTCACAAGGTATTCGTAGTATCCATTATAGTTCTTATGCATAGCTGAAACTAATAAGTCACGATATTCCGAAGAATGGAGCAACTTCAATCATTCGAAAGTAAAAAGAATTGAATATTTGTTTTAAAATAGAAGAGATGTGTAAATAGATCATTAACATACCATGTATTGAGAATGCGAAAGCATTGTAAGACATTTACGTACTCTAAGATTATACTGTATATAGACTTCCATTACATGCAATGTATTGAATTGAGAAATAAGATAATTCATCAACTTGTTACCACAACCAAACTTATAAAATGCGGCAGATTTTGAACGATTAAACGGGGTGGTACGTACGATAAAATGTATGCTTAGATGTTCATATTTATTGACTGGTACTGACATTTTAATGTTACAAAACAATGGAATTAGCATAAAATTAACGATAAAAACTGAAAACCATACAGATTTGTTACCTAATAACTCAAAAATTTGATCGTCACCTTTAACTGTTATTCTGCTCAGTGTTCGATATTTAGTATATAGATTGATTTATGTAAGCACCTTTAGAAGTATGTATGCTAATTCATATATATTGTATGTACAACTGTAAATAAATATTACTTTCGTGAGCGTTTTACAGAGCGCTTTAAAGTCTTACATTTAACAATAACGGGCAGAAGTGATGTGCCAGTTTCGTTTTCGTTTAACCTTAAAAGATACGGAATACAGTTTTAAAAATTTTGTTGCAGAAATAAAAAAGTTTTAAATAAACAGATCAATTTTAAGAAAGTATATATTTATCCAGTATTGTTAATAATGTTTGGATATATTTTTGAGTGGAAATATTTTTATTTAAAATAACTGTCAGTTCTTTCCGTTTCTTTTCCGTCGTTTAAACCTTGACTCTAAGAATTGCTTATCGATAACACAAGTCATCGATCATTTCAGCGAACTGAAAAGTGCCATCTTTAGAAAATGTTGACAAAACAAAAAACATGAAGTCCGAGATATTAGCAGCCGCCTTTGTGGGTCTGGCGGTTAGGTCAATAATATCTCTATATTCGTACTCGGGCTTTAACACTCCGCCCATGCATGGCGACTACGAGGCACAACGCCACTGGCAGGAGGTTACGGTGAATCTGGATGTCGGCGAATGGTACACAAATAGCTCCAACAATGACTTGATGTACTGGGGCCTGGACTATCCTCCGCTGACCGCTTACCACAGCTATATAGTGGGACGAATAGCCAAAGCCGTCGATCCACGCTTCGTTGAGCTGCACAAAAGCAGAGGCTTCCAGTCCCTGGAGCATAAGCGCTTCATGCGATCAACAGTTGTCGCTGCCGACGTCCTCTGTTATTTGCCGGCTCTGTTGACAGTGTGCCTCTGCCTAGATAAATCCTTAAATGACAAGCTATTCCTTTTTATTCTCATGGTGGCATATCCGGGTCAAATCCTAATAGACAATGGGCACTTTCAGTACAATAACATATCGCTTGGATTGGCGGCTGCAGCAGTTGCTGCAATCCTGCGTGGGAGACTTTACATTGCTTCATTTTTCTTCACATTGGCATTGAACTATAAGCAGATGGAGTTGTACCACAGCCTGCCGTTTTTCGTCTTTCTTTGGGTGAATGTGTGAACCAAAAAAGGTTAGAACCCAATGGCCACTCAACAATTTATCTTTGTTTTCCCAAGGTAATTGTTAATTATTTATTTCTGTCATTATAGCTTTGGAGCCTTTGTTACACGTCTGTCACGAATTGGAGCCATAGTGCTTGCAACATTCGCTATTTTATGGTCTCCCTGGCTGGGATCGCAGCCAACGGCGCTTGGAGTCTTGCAACGCCTGTTTCCTGTGGCACGAGGTGTTTTCGAAGACAAGGTGGCCAATGTCTGGTGTGCCATAAACGTGTTTTGGAAACTTAAGTAGGTATACAAAAAATTAAACTGGGCATTTCATCTTTAATGCAATAACATTTACAGGAAACATTTGCTTAACGATCAGATGGCCCTTATTTGTATTGGATGTACTCTAATCGCAGCCTTGCCCACAAATATAGCTCTTTTCCGAACACGTACCAAGCTTGGGTTTTTACTGGCTCTCTTCAACACGTCGCTGGCCTTCTTTTTATTCTCATTTCAAGTAAGAGTGTTTTCTTTGATTAATTACAAAATTGTTTTAAAAATTAAATGTTTTAGGTCCACGAAAAGACGATACTTCTTGCGGCCTTACCTTCTTTATTTCTTCTAAAGTGGTGGCCCATTGAAGTGCTCCTATTCCTTGAAGTCTCTGTGTTCAGCATGTTGCCCCTATTGGCCAGAGATAAATTGTTACTGCCAGCATTGGTATCAACGGTGACATTTCATTTGATTTTCAAATGTATTAGACCTGAACGCAGCAATGTGTCAAGTATGTCAAACATCGTTATGATAATCATTGTGGCTGCTTTTTTGCTGATCCCAGCTCCAGTGCGGTTTCCCGACCTTTGGCCCTTAATTATATCTGTTATTAGTTGTGGGCATTTCTTTTTATTTTTTGTTTGGGGAAACTGCCAACATATTATGTTTAAAGGAAAGTAACGAGCTTAGCTACCAAAGATATAAATATGTTAATAAAATATATAACATTTTTAAGCATTCCACTTAAGAGACCTTCACTTAGTCACAACGCTGCATATTTACAAATATAAGGCTTATTCGCTTTATCTTATCAATGAATTTAATCGATAAAGGAGTAACACTATGCTAAATGAAGAATGACTACAATTCTCGTTTTGTTAATTATTAATTATTTTGACAAAGAAAGCCTCCTAGATTCACTGGCGTTATAAAATAGTGTCGTTTCATTAGTGAATAAAGGTAACACAGGTGTTCCTTATAGTGTAGTACCCATTTCCGACCTTAGTTATGCTTAACTTTTTTGGAAACAAACGGAAGAACCTACTTTTTTGTTGTCTAGTGTTATCAATGCTTTGCCGCAGATAAGATAATAACTGGAAAAGATTAGGATTTTAATATGGTAGAAGTATGTGCACTTGTTGTTTAGTCATTTACAATAATTTGGTCGGTGAACAAGCTTAAAAAATTGTGTTATTTGTTTGAGAAGTTTCGTTAAAATAATACATTATGAATTTGGTAAATTCAACCATATTGGTTGTTACGATTTTCTGTATCTTTATAACTAAGGTTGCTGGTGAATCGGAAACAACTGCGGCGCCAGCAGTAACTAAGGTATTAAAAACAGTTCGCTTTCTAGTTTTAAAAGTTTAAAATGATTTTTTATTCAATGTGTGTTATTTCAAAATAAATAGAAGGCGCCCTTTAAAAATGTTAATGTTATAAAGCTAACCAAGTAAAATCGAACCGATAAGATACTCGTAGAAGTAAAAAATGAGTCAAAGATAAAAGCCTTTATCACCCGATAACAGAAAAAGTATTGCAAATGGTGGGAAATATAAATCACAAAAACCAAAATACGAAAGAATTGAAGTTGAGTCAAAGCTCACCCGGTGAATCACAGAAATATATAGAGACATATTCTTCGATTTAAAATGTAATATTACTTTCAGGAAAAAACAAAGGTGAAGGAGAGCGTGCTTTGTAAGAAATGCATCTGCAATTTTGACACCAGTTTACTGGATTGCAGCGAGAAGCTGGGACAGTGGCTGTCGGCCGAGGAGTGGGAGATCTTAATCAACGGCGACCTTACGTTTAAAACCATCAAGTTGGAGCACAATAACTTGACCAGCATTTCGATTCTGCCGAAATACAGCGTGGAGAATTTGTATTTGGCGTACAATCAAATCACTGACATTGCCGATGGAGCCTTTCAGAATCTAACCGAGATGACCACCCTCGATTTGTCGCACAACAAGCTTACAGCCAAGGCTCTGAGGCCGGATGTTTTCAAAGGACCGTACACGGTCCACAATTTCAAAGCTTTGGAGAAAATGAAAGCCCTTAATTTGGGTAACAATGAAATCCATTCCCTAGATGCTGACCTCTTTGAGCACATTCCAAACCTGGAGGAGCTGATTCTGTGCTCAAATACCTTTCAAGTAATTGACAAACTGACAGAAACGGCCATTTCTGGATTGAATTCATTGAAGGTGCGTAATACATATACATTATGTGCTTCCGACGGTTTAAAATAAATACCATTTCAGACTCTGGATATTTCATATTTGGAAATAGAAGACCTGCCGGAAACAGTTCTCCATGGACCTAGAGATCTTGACGATTTGATAGCGTCGGGCAATCTGTTTCGTCAACTACCAAAGGCTCTAAAGTATGCCAAAAACCTAGAGCGCCTTGTTTTAGATGAAAATCCAATTGAAAGTTTGGAGGGCAATAAGTAAGATATGGAATTTGTTTAAGGTTTATAAACCTAAAATCTTATTTTTACTTAATCTTAAGTGTATTTCCACCGATGGCTAACTTGAGGTATTTGCGCATGTCCTATATGCCGAATTTGTTTAAAATTGGAAATGGAGCACTTAGTGAATTGCAAAGTAAGTTCCAACTGTCACTGTGCAAGAGAGTGAATAAATGATAACACATGAGAAACTTTAAAGATCTTAAATATATAATATAAATTTCAGACCTCACCGAATTGGTTCTGTCCGACAACAAAGTGCTTAACGAAATCGATGAGCGTGCCCTATCTAAAAACGTAACTGGAGGAAGATACTTGGACTATCCGCCATTGGAACACGTAATTAAGAGACCCATAGTATACAAGATATAATTTAAAAAGGAATATTTACGCAGGTTTATCTGAATAATTGCAACCTGACGACACTGCCCACAGCTCTAATCGTTAGATGGGATAAACTGACCCTTGACCTTCGATTTAATCCTTGGAGCTGTGATAGCAGCAACGATTACTTGATCAACGTCCTGATACAGCAGATTAACAAAACAAATCCTTTGCTAGCCAAAGATGTTCAGTGCGCCACACCAATTGAGCTAAAGGACGTCACTGTCCTGAGGGTTTCCAATGAGCACCTTGCGGCAGGCTCGAGCGGTAGTCTTATCTGGGTGGGACTCCTCGTGGTCCTGCTTATTGCTATTCCAACCATCCTAGGCGCCTATGTGATGAAACGACGCGGCTGCTTTGGATTGTTTAATCGCAACGAGAACGGCGCTAGCCGTGCTCTCTACAATAGAACCAGTATCAATGAAGATTTCCATATTTAAGTCACAGCTGACATTGTAACTATAAAATAAATCCAAGATGTATATACCTTTTTACCGCCTAAGCAAACATTAAGGTTGAGTTTTCCATTAGAGATTTTAAATCTTCCCAGAAAATAGCTGAAAACAAACATTGTTTACACATTTAATTCTATGGTTTAGTTTTCGGAAAATGTAAAGATTACTTTCGTTTCTGCTTAACTTATATAGATTTCAAACACAGAAGACAACACATACACACACACATTATTTCTTTACAAAACCTGTCTGGAACCCATCAAAGTAGGGATGCTGCAGTACATCATTGGCGGAAATGCGGTGAACAGGATCGTAGATTAGCATTTTCTGGATGAGATTAATACCGTTGGCATCGAGATTCTTCAGCTGGTTGGTTAATTGATTGTTCGACCAGCAGGGAAATGTATTCTTATAGTCGGGAAGTGAGGTTACGCCTGGCCAAATGTCTTCAGTTGGAGTTTTGAGAATTCTACAAGACCAGACAACGTTATACTAATGCTGAGTACACAAAATAGTTCTTAACAAACCTAAACATTCGGAATAGTTGATCGATTTCCGAGTCGCCCTGAAACAGCGGTTTCCTCGTTGCCATCTCAGCGAATATGCAACCAATGGACCATATGTCGACCGGACAGGAGTATCGAGGAGAGCCTAACAAGACCTCCGGTGCCCGGTACCACAGTGTAACGATCTCGTGCGTGTAGATCCGTACAGGAATGCCAAAGGATCGTCCCAGCCCAAAGTCAGCGACCTTTATCAGGCCGTTCTTGTCAATCAACAAATTCTGTGGCTTCAGATCACGATGTAGCACACGGCGACGGTGGCAATAGAGAATAGCACTCGTTATCTGGTACAAGTAACTCCTGACCAAATCAGTCTCCATATACTTGTCCGCCGGGAGCGAGTCCATGTACTTTTTAAGGTCCATCGAGAGGAATTCAAAGATTAGATATATGCGGTTCTCCTCCATCAGAACGTCCTCCAAGCAGACAATGTTTTCATGTTTTAACTCTCTTAGCAATGAAATTTCCCTGCATTAAGAAACAAGTTTGTTATATTTGTTAATAATGGCTATAGGATTAATGCTTAAGGTTTTGCAGAGGATGTTCATTATTCATTGGTAACGAAAACCAGTAGAAAGTTATGTACATAAGTACATATGACTGTACATATGTAGATTTGTTCTTTTAGCCTTTGGTGGTATTTCCATCTAAAGGACACAAAAATACCTTGACAAACACATATTTAATTAGGAATATGTTTAGGTATCAAAACATCAACGCCTAACATACATTAAACATACATATTATGCTAAAGGCTTGGATGCTATAGTTCATGACGCCAAGACAGGTTACCTGATTGCTGTCGAAGGGACGCCTTCCTCATCCGATTCCAGACGAATTTTCTTCATAGCGACTATTTGCCCCGTTACCCGGTTTCGTCCTTTATACACCACACCATATGTGCCCTCTCCGATCTTCTCAATTTTCTCGAAATCTTCCATGATCGGCGTAGAATTTTTCAAACAACAGACTTAAATTAGCGCGTTTTTAATGTTAGACACCCAATGTTGCCGGACTGTCAAAAGCCCAAAAACAAGAAAAAAGTAGTCTACTCAATTTATGTGTAATTCGGAATATGGACAGTGGAACAGAACGCTATTGTCTTACACCGTCTTCCCACACAGTTCGTCTGTGTAAAACAGCCACCCGAAAACAGCTGATCGAAAGGCATTGGTTTTTTCAAAACAGAAATAAAGATGGTTGTAATATCTGGGACCAAAAATTAATAAGTACCAAACATTTTTATCTAACAAAGAGCAATTGCTACAGCTGCAATAAAATAGTGGAGTTCTAGTCAAAATATTAATTATTTGTTTATTATTATACAATTTAATAAAAGGCATGAAGCTAAAATTTGTAGTTATCTTTATTTTCATAAAAGAAAGTGTATATTTCTCAAGGCATAATATATAGAGTATAAACAATGTTTATTCAAAATGTTGCCTTTTCCAAATATTTTCTGTTTCCTTTTTAATCGTTCCAAATATATTGTCAAATATATGTTGTTATATTGACGTTGTTACATGCTTGCTTCAAGACATACATGTTTGATTTAACTAAATAGTATTTGTTTCCGAAAAAGAATGTCAATATGTCATTTCTAAGTAGACTTGCTGTTAAATCATCAGGCTTCAGGTAAGTTAAACTCAGTTATTAATGCAACTATGTAGAATAAACCATACAATTGTATAATTTTAGCGGTATTCGGTGGATGTCGGTTTATCCTCAACATTACGTTGAACCGGTTGTACAAAAAAATAAACAGAACGAGCAAAAAAATGAGTTGGCCAAGCTCCATCATGTGCCAATCAAGGCGGCCGTCAACAAGGCTTCGGATACAGTCTTCCATGACGATACGAAGGAAAAGATGGTGAATTATATAACAAAAAAGGGAAATAGTGCTTTGGCTAGATCGCTTCTGTCAAAGACGTTGGAACTTATCAAACGCACCCAAACGGAGCACATGAATCTGGCTAAGGGCGACGACAAGGATAAGATCAACACCAATGCGGAAACGCTGCTGAAGCAAGCAGTTGAGAATTGCCGACCGTTGCTCCAAGTAACTGCCATTAAACGAGGTGGAGTCAACTACCAAGTGCCTGTGCCCATAACGACAAAACGGTCGTACTTTCTGGCAATGAAATGGCTCTTGGAAGCAGCCCGTGAGAAGGAGCGCAAAGTGTCCCTTCCGGAGAAGCTCGCCTGGGAGATTCTGGACGCTGCCCATGGACAGGGAAGGGTAGTAAAACGAAAAGATGATTTGCACAGACAATGTGAAAGCAACCGCGCATACGCACACTACCGATGGAGCTAAATTTAGCTTATAACGTTCCCGTTTAATTTTTAATTTTTTGATCATTTATTTATTCTCAATATTCATCGAGATTAAATTTGTAGCGATATATGTTGATATTCAGTAGAATCTGAGGAATTGATTTAGCCATATTTGTCGGTTAATCTATTTGTTTGAAACTGAAGGGTTCTACAGATTTTACATGAAAAATAAATATATTTAAACTATTAAAAGATAGTATTATGGTTTTTTAGGTCCGAGAAACCACAATTTTAAATAATTTCTCATATTTGGAAATTTTAAATACATAAATAGGCAATAATTTCAATATAATTGGATTTGATAAAAATGGTAAAAAAAAAAATCGTAAAAACAAGAAAATCTATTGAAGTCCATACGTCATCGTTATATGATCCGACTTAACAGGCAAGTATTATGTCCTTGTATTTTAATTTAGGATCTGATTTTAACATTCACTTAATTCCAAAATATAAGACGAAACGGCTGGAATTGGGCCAGCTTATTTTTTAAGTAAAAACTTATTCTGAATATTATGTCTTCTTAACATACCAGTAAAAATATGCGGTCCTATTAAAGAAATTGAATTTAATTAAGGTCGTATTTTAAATAAATTATCTGTAAAGCGGACAAAATAGTTTTGCCATTTAGGTATCGATAAAACTCAACATTTTAGCAACAGGTTTGGTTGAGTTTGTTTTTAAAAATAGATATATATTTTTTAACATTCGAAAAAGGATTTAGTTATTAATTAAGAGATTATCCCACTAATAGTTTAATTTATGTGTATCCAAAATTTATTAAACGTTTTTGTTTTCAGATTGAAAAATACCAAATATAAGAAATACTAAAACTTTCGAAATTTACAAAATTTTAGATTTAAAATATTTAAATTTTTAATTTAATCGACTTAATTAAATAACGTTTGAAACTCGTTTACTCCTAAATATTTATTTGTACTTTATAAATATTCGCAAGCAAGTGGGGAGGTGGTGGACACTAATTTATCGAAATACCTATCAAGTGCTATCGAAACGCAACGCTACAGATGACGCACGAAGAGAACAAAGATGGCGATCCCGAGCACACGAAAATTAAAACGAGCTGAAATTTGATAAATAAAGAATTTTTGTACTTATAGTTTAATTTCGCAAAAACGCAGCGGAGTAAATCAATTAACTAAAGTGTCGCGCGTACTTACAATGTGTAAACGAAAAATTTATCGCAAAACAGTTCGTTTTTAGCTGTGCATTTCAATATAATCCCACAACACACATAATCTTACTAGTTGAAGTTGACTGGACATTATACAAAAAAGAGAAAAGACAAGAAATTGGGTAAATTTACCAATCGCAATCAAGTATAAGGATTCTTGGTATTAATACAACAAAAAATGTATATGTAATACATAGGCTGTGGCTCGACGTCAACACTCTCGCTGCAACAAAAGGAATTGCATACATAGAATTTACAGTGGATATTAGGGTGAGTACTTTTCACAAAAATTTTAAAGTGAACTACAGGTCCCAGGGTATGTTTTATGTTTTTTGTTTTTATTTTAATTGTTTGTTGCTGCAGTTGGCTATGCATTTGCGTATGTGTGTATGCATATACCAATGTGTATACAAAGTTATGCACGAATTTATTTCACTCTTTATTGTATGTGGATACCATTTTCATGATTCTGCATACATACACATGTATGTATGTATGCATGTACGAATGCTCGTAAACAAAGTAACTGCTTATGTATAATGCATAGGTGTAACATCACATGAATTAAGTTACTTTCGTCAGGTGTGCCTGTGTGTGTTTGCTTTATTTATATGCGATATAAATTTAATAATTATTTTTAAGTCTTTTGCATTGGATTCACAAGTTGTATCCGATGTATGTACATACATAGGTGTAAACCTCATGTACATGTATGTATCGTGTACATATACGCCTTTTATGAGGGAAAAATATTAAAAATATCAGGTGTAGGAATATAAATATAAACATATCTTATGTTATTATTTTTTTTATTTCGCGGCGGAATATTTTTTTATGCTTAAAAATATTTTATATAATTATAACGTGCAATCATGAAAGTATGTACTTATTATGGTGTCAAAATAGTACATCTATTTCATCTGTTAAAATATACATGCAATTTGTAAACTATCTTTTTATTTAAATAATTATAAAACAGTACTTGGTGTGGTGTAAATTTGTATAAAACATTTTTCTAGCTAGTTTTTCTGTTAAAAATCAACGAATTTTTGTATTATTTACATACATACATTAAAACATAGTTTTTTTTATACTTTGAATGGAATATCGAACATTCTTTTAATTTAATACATAAAAGCCAAGGAAAGCTTTAAAACCGCATCTTTGAGCAACATTTTTGTTTTTTTAATAGTGTACACTGAAGAAGTAATTTTTAGAATCTTAGAAATTAAGCAGATAAATTTCTAAAATTCGAAAATACGTATTTCGCAGGGCTGAAATAAATACTTAATGTTTAATAGTTTATTAAATATTGTATAACTAAAAATATTACTTACATTTTACTTACATCGATTCCTATTAATTTCAGATCTATTGCTGAAATGGCGACCAGTGACGACGAGCCGATGCACTTGTATGAGGTGTTCCAGAACTGCTTCAACAAGATAGCCAACAAGCAACCTACGGGAACAGTTGGAGCGGATCGCAGCGGCGGCGGGGGATACCATTCGCCTTATGGCGGCCTCGGCGTAGAGAATGGGATGTACCCCAGTGACTTTAGCTCAATGCACGATGCAGGAAACGGGGGAAACAACAATCGCTTCGCCAATGCCTCGACCGTCGATCAGTATTTTGATTCGGCCGCCGCGGTGGCCGCTGGCAGCGGAGGAGGTGGAGGACCATGGTGTCAGTCAGGTCAAATGGTGGGCAGCGGCAACAATAGCTATATGGGCCAGGCAGCTGCTTACCAGAACAGCGGTCCGCTATCGTCGCACGCCCTAGACCAGCAACAGCAGCAGCAGCAAGTGCACCAGGCGGAAGGACTTGGAATGGGTGCCGACGGCATGCTTTGTCCAGTGTCCACAGCATTGCCGCCGATGAGCTCCTTCCGCGCCAGCTCTGCCGGAGGGCAGCAGCAGCAGCAGCAGGCTCCAGTTAACGTGAATTCCCCAGCCGTGTTCAACTCGCCGCAAGCCCACAATCACAACCACAACCACACAGTACAAGCACAGCACAGTGCACTGTCCACGGCTGGACCGCTTGGCCATCACTCGCTCAACCACACCACGCCGCATCCACATTCCTCCCTAACACATCCGCATCCGCACGCCCTGCCCCACGCTCACGCCCACGTCCTGCCCCACGCCCATGGCCATCACAGTCAGCAGAACAGTCCTGCGGTGCAGAGTTCGGATGCGTTCAGTGGTGGTGGCGGCGCTGGGGCCAGCGTGAAGGTGGCCGGAGCTGGTAACTCTTCGGCAGCGGCCTTGAGACAACAGCAGATGTACATGCCGGCGGATCAAAGTATTAGTAGTTTCGGCTCAAACCCCTCCACGCCTGTTAACTCGCCGCCACCCTTGACTCAATCGGTGGTCGTCGGAGAGCCGTCCGTTTCTGGAACTGCTGGCTGGGGTCATTCGGTGCTAAATGGCAGTGGCGGTGGCGGCGCCAGCTCGAGCTATGCCAACGATATGGTTCCTGTCTCCAGTCTACACACAATGGCCTCAGTGTTCCAGGGAGTGCGTATGGAGGAGCGTCTGGATGATGCTCTAAATGTGCTGCGGAATCACTGCGAACCGGAGATGCTGGCCGGCGTCAATCAGTCGTTGGCCTCAATCGACAACATGGATGCGGCGTTGGCTTCCTTTGTGCCGAACTCGCCGCCATCGTCGCATTTGGGCAGCGGCAGCGGAAATGCCGGTTCTAATGCGGCCTTAGTGCACGAGGTGCTGGCCTTGGGCGCAGCTGCTGCGGGTCAAGCCGGAGGCAGTCTGGCCAGTCTGAAGCTAGATCGCAGCGGAGCTGCGTCCACGTCGTCGAAACAAGCGAAAAAGCGGAAGGAGCACACGGCCATTAGTAATGCGACGGCGGCAGTGGTCCCAGCGGGCGTCTCCACCACCACCTCAAGTCTGACCAGTTTGGACATCTCTTCGGACACGAAGCCCACTAGCTCCATTGAGTCCTCAAATTCGGGACAAATGGGGCAGCATTCGGGATCGAAAGGATCAAAAAGACCGCGCCGCTACTGCTCGTCGGCGGAGGATGACGACGACGCCGAGCCGGCGGTGAAGGCGATTCGGGAGAAGGAGCGACGGCAGGCGAATAATGCACGTGAGAGGATTCGGATTCGGGATATCAATGAAGCGCTGAAGGAGCTGGGACGGATGTGTATGACGCACCTGAAGTCGGACAAGCCGCAGACGAAGCTGGGTATTTTAAATATGGCCGTTGAAGTGATTATGACGCTGGAACAGCAGGTACGCGAGCGTAATCTGAATCCGAAGGCGGCATGCTTGAAGCGACGCGAGGAAGAGAAGGCCGAGGATGGGCCGAAGCTAAGTGCACAGCAGCATCACATGATACCGCAACCGCAGCCGGGAGGAGGAGGAGGCGGCGGCCCTGGGAGCAGTTATCACAGCCAGCCTGCGCAGACCATCAGTAGCATGACCATATCCCTACCCGTCAACCAGGCCGCCAGCGGTGTCCTGCCACCACACTTACAGCAACAGCAGCAGCAGCAGCAATCGCAGCTCGGGCACGTCCAGCTTCCGCAATAGCATGCACCATGCAGGAGCCATCCATCGTCGTCGTCGTCCCTCTCTTCCATAAAAACCGAATGTATTGAGGCCAAGTACTCGGCAGCAAGCTTGGAACTGGTGGAGAATCAGGTTTTAAGCAATATGTTCTGGCGTTGTCGTCGTCCTCCCAAATTGCAGCCACAACAAAAATCCCATGTACAACACTTTTAAATACACCCACACAACAAAAATATAAAAACTAAAAAATTAAAAAACAACTATAAAAAAAAGAAGAAAAGCGCCCAAATGATTGCCAATCCACAACACATACACACACACACTCTCTATTGCTCTTTTTAACAAAAAAAAAAAAAAAAACGATTGTATATAGCTGTTCCATTATGTTTAATAACCTTGGGAAGATCATTTTCGTTTCTTTAGAATGTTTTTCGATTTTAATATTAATTATTTGTTTATTTTGTGCGATATATATCACCGTAGCCATATTTTTTTATATATACATACAAAATACAATGCATACAACATAACGACATAATTAAGTGAAAACAAAAAATAGTTTTATAATAAAAGAAATGAAAAAAAAAAGAAAAACACAACACACAACACATAGACTTACTTCTATATATTCCCGAGAGAGCTAAGGAATAAATATGTCCATATTAATATATATATTTTATATTGTGTTACAAATGTTCTTCTTGTGTGTGATTACAGAGCGACATTTTGCACATAACGACGGTGAACAGCCACGGAAAATTAATCGTTATCTAAGATCCTTAGCTGATAATTGTTGTAGTTAAAACTTAAGGCTTCAAAGAGACACGCCTTCGTGTGTGTGTGGCATATACTTTAATTAATTATATATACACATATATTTTTCGCTAGAGTTAGGGCAGCCGGAATTAAGAAAAACGAAGCCATCATTATAATATATAAATATTAACTGAGATGAAGAGTGAAGTGAATGCATAGTTAATGTTGTTATTTCCCCGAGAATGCGTGATATGGAAGGCAATGAGTTCTATATCATTCATTCCCACATTTGCCCCGATCTTTTCTTAGCTTTTGGTACATTTTACACCGCTTATAACAACATAACAACTTCATGAAACTAACTTGTACAATTCTTAGACTTCGTGACTTCAATATAATTTCGTTATGAATAAATGGTATAATATCACGTTTATACCTTAATAATATTTGTCTAAAGCTGTCGATTTTATTTGTTTCTTAAATGCAATATGTGTCTCTTGGCTAAAGCGAATAAACCCCTGCCCTGTATTGGGAGTGTCGAGAGTAAAAGTCCGCTATATCTCGAAAAATATATCCCCCTTGAAAATATCGATAATTTTCTCAAAAAAAATTAACTTAACACAAGAAAGGAAGCTGACTTGTATAAAAGTCCTATCAAACTGCTAAGGAAAGTTAATTTCGGAGGGCTATATTTCATATCAATTGATGCCTAAGATAATGCTTATTTAATTGGAACTTATAAGGATTAATTCCCATGAGCTTAAAGCAGCATAGACTCTTGATTTATTTACAAATTGATTTTATTGCCTTGAACTTTGTTCCTAAATGCACAACTATGAAATTATTAATTCGGGCTTAATGTCAACTACTCCTCTACAAGTTGGACACATTCGAATCCAAGACAGACAGCGCTTCGTCCTTCTCCTCCTGCAGCTCCTTGCCAGTTACGCTCAACTTGGTCTTAGCAAAGTCGCTGAGAGTGAGGCCCTCGACGATCTTCCACTGCTTGTTCTTGATCTCTACGGGGAAGGAGAAGATCACATCCTTGGGCGAGCCATAGCTGCCGTCGGAGAAGACGCCCATTGAGGCGAACTTTCCGGGAGCAGTGCCGTTCCACCAGTCGTGCATGTGATCGCAAGCGGCCTTGGCCGCCGACATGGCCGATGACATCTTGCGGGCGGCGATCACCGCAGCTCCTCGCTTTTGCACCGTCTCGACGAAGGCTCCCTGTAGATAGGCCGAATCGCTTACAGCCTCAACCACAGACTTCGTGGCACCGTTAACAGTGACCTTGCCCTGGCCAGCATCGGGATACTGGGTCGAGGAGTGGTTGCCCCAGATGATAATGTTGTTAACAGCGGAAATTGGTACGCCTAACTTGGCGGCGATCTGGGAGGTGGCACGGTTCTGGTCCAACCGGGTCATTGCAGAGAAGTTCTCCCGTGGAATGGATGGGGCATACGAAGAGCACACCAAAGCATTGGTATTAGCCGGATTGCCGACGACCAGCACTTTCACATCCTTTTTGGCAAACTTATCCAGTGCCTGGCCTTGCGTCCTAAAGATCTTCACATTCGCAGATAGCAAATCCTTGCGTTCCATTCCCTCCTTGCGGGGCATGGCGCCCACTAAGAAAGCGGCAGACACATCCTTAAAGCCAACAGCCGGGTCGGTGGTTGGCACAACCTCCACAAGCAGCGGCAAAGCACAGTCGGCCAGCTCCATGACCACACCCTCTAGCACACCGACCATGGGTGGAATATCCAGCAGGTGAAGAATGATGGGCTGCTCCTTGCCAAAGACCTCGCCGCGAGCGACCATGTACAGGAGGGAGTAGGCAATCTGGCCAGCAGCTCCAGTCACAACAACGCGAATTGGTTCAGCCTGGAAAGTGGATTAAAAGGATTCGTTAAAAGTCTATTGAAGTCTATTTTTTACATACAAATAATCCCTGCATACTAATTGCGGCTAAGTATAGACTGCAGCTGGGCTAATTATACATTTTCCATCCAGCCTTTGCCTTCGACTTTACTAGAGTATTTATTTTTAGACAATTGGCACACATTACATTATTTAAATAAAAAGATTTCGCAGTTCAATCAGCACTTTTAGTGCAAATATGATAACTATAACAAACAAATATATACATAGCTATTTGTTTGTTTATTATTAGTTTAGACTAGCTGATACTCTATTATAACTTGAACATTACATTTTATATTATACTTGACCTACAAAGAAAGGGCTTACTTTGTAAACTTGTTAATATAAAATTCTATTCAGGCATATCACCCCATCCTTGTTATGCAATCTTGCTTAATCCTTTGCTAAGAAAGCAACTAAATATAGGGCAGAGTTTGCTGGCAATTAACCATTGTCCATGTTTTTCCAATTTACACACACAAACGCAACTTTGGATATCACGTCCACAATAGCGAAAGAGGCATGGGCGGTGGGGGGAAAAAACAATGCAATTTGCTGATGGATTAAACCGGAACTTCTGGTCTGTTTACAAATTATGATAAGATATGACATTTGTCGTTTGGACTTCGTACACACATATGTACATATGTATGTATGTATATATTGCAAGTCGTTTATATAAGAGTTATCTGAGCTGGAACAAATTATGACAAGGAGCAACAAATTGTTTTATCTTAGTCAATTGCCAATTAGCCTGCATTCAAAATCATTTGATGCTCTTAAAGCACAAATGTACATGTATGTATGAATGTATGAATTTGCGTCAGATTGGCGTTTACAGATTAGCAGGCAGAGAGGTCGAATGAATGTTAAATTTCCAGAAAAAATTTTGCACACATACTTCCATAGCTGCACAATATTATTCAACAAAGTTGTGCGAGTGTACACAGCCTTATGAGTTCAAATGCAAATTTTTAAATTATTAATAATAATTTTATACTATGTATCATCGAATATTAAACCGGTAACGTACCATTTTAAGAATTTCACAGGTGCGGCGGACAAACTTTAAGTGGAAAGTAGAGGTGAAAAAACGTCGATGAAAACATCGATGCACCGAAGTTTTTTGAATTTTTACGTTATCGATGTTTTTACCATCGATGTTTCTGTGCCGTCACTATCAAAAGAAAAAGAGCTGTTTTTTTATTTTGGAATTATATTATATATTATTATTTACAATAAAAAAATTGGGCCCGAATTTTGCGTAATTTCTGCTTAATTTAATAAGGAATATTAATAATTTATATTTTTTTGGTTATAGCTTGTTATTCACCATTTATTTTTTTATTTAGGTTTTTTACCTACATTTTGCTCAGAATCTAGCTAATACGGGTGGTAATAACCTGGCAGCACTGGTGACCTGTTACTTGTCCGAATTAATTTCAAGTCACTACCCGTGACACTTAAACATTGTGAAACAATAATATTTAATCATATATTGTACTTTTATGCTGTGTTATGTTATAAGTAAAAGGAACATTAAAAATACTGGACAGCAGTTTCTTCAGCGTTTAATTTTCAATAAAAACAATTATTATTATTTAAAGAAAAACATTGGAACTAACCGAAGATATATTCATTATTTTGACACTTTCAAAATGGGGAAAAAAATACATAAATGATTTCGAACTGGAATATTTTTGGCAATACGTAGATGATTTTGAGCTGGGACATTTTTGGCAATATATAAATGATTTATTGACAGACTTTTATTGACTGGAAACAAATAAATAGTTCTTTGATTTATAAAATCAAAGAGAAAATGAATTCCATAGTGAGTCTTAAGTCCTATTTACAATAATCTGATTAAATACCAAACTTATTTTTGCTCGTAACTATCGATAGATCGAGTTATGAATGAATATGTATCGAATGTTTCGTGTGAAAAAAGAAGTCTTTAATTTGGCGAATCCATTCGTTTACTTTGCGTTTATTTTTAGCCTTAGTACTTTCGTTTGATACGTTTGCTACCAATAATATTAAAAACGTTCAGAAGTAACAAACTGCAAGTTCAATTCCAAATTGAATATCCATCAAGTATTCAGAGTGAATAAAGAAAACCCTACATCACACCTACAATCATACGTGTTACGTGTACATACATATGTGTATGTATATACTCTCGCTTATGTACATTTATCGTTTTTATTTCCTATTTGCTTATTGTTATTCCCGTATAAATCGGTTTCCTATGCATTTTGTTATGCGTTTCGGGAGTTTTTGCCCAAATTTGTTCACGTAAAGCAGTGAATGTTTCTACATAGTGGTAGTGGCAAAAAAAAATTGTACGTGCTACGTATGTGCATGTACATAGTGCTTATGTGCGCATTTATAGTAGGTTAACATATTACTGATGTACATCTAAGATATGTATATTTTGTTGTTTAACTGATCACACATATTGAAGCGTATCTATATGCCACCGGTTATTAAACTCTAAATAATACTTTCTTTCCTACAAAGAAGAAAGCTGTAATTTGTGCCTGTGAATACATACATACATACAAATTTAAGTACATACGTTAAAATCTTTCTTGATCTCTGTTATGAAAAGGTATCCATATTTAAAAATACACTTGTTTGTATGCGTGCAGACGGCCGTGCATACATACGTGTGCATGTACATATTTGTATATATACAACCAACTGAAACCGTAAACATGAAAGTGGATGTAATCAACATTGGTCCAATCGATGTATCAACCAAGAACAGTTATGAAAATGATTCATTACTCGATCACTCGATCCATGCATTATATTTGCTTCTAATTTTTTTTTCGTTGGAAAATATTGTTATTACTTGGATGAAACACAAGACGCAAGGTTTATCCACAGGTGCCGAGTCTCGTAGACTTGTTTTCATAGGGGTGCCAGGTTCCGTAAACTGGATTTCTTAGTGTGAAAAATATAAATTTCAATGTTTTGGTGAATCATGCTTTGATTTTCCTATAAATTAAGGAGAATATCTTTGCGAGCAGAGGCTTTAGTTTATGTATTATCCACCTTGACGTAGTTGTCACAACTTTAATTCTTTATCTGTATTACATATGTTACAGCTTGGTTCCCATTCTTATCAACCATAAATTAAAATTTAGCACTGGGAATTCGTAAACTACCGTTAAACAACTGAAAAATGAACGGCCTGAACAGCAATGATGACGCCGTCGAGTGTCCCTTGTGCATGGAGCCTCTGGAGGTGGACGATCTGACATTTTTCCCCTGCACCTGTGGCTACCAGGTGGGCATGACACATCCACACAGTCACCTTTTACTCGGAATTAACTTTCTTTGATTTTTGGTACAGATTTGCCGATTTTGTTGGCATAGGATCCGCACGGATGAGAACAAGCTGTGTCCGGCGTGCCGGAAGGAATATCCTGAGAACCCGGCGGACTTTAAGCCGCTAACGCAGGAAGAAGTGAGTTAATGATCTCTTTCATATTTTGCCTGCTTACTAATGCCAAATTCTTCCCCAATGTATTCAGATGATTGCCTTCAAGTCTCAAAAACGCCAAAGGGATCAACAGCGAAAGCAGAAGATTACGGAGAACCGTAAGCACCTGGCAAATGTGCGTGTGGTTCAAAAGAACTTGGTTTTCGTTGTCGGCCTGCCACCGCGACTTGCTGACGCAGACGTAGGTTCAGCTAGTCCCAGAGCTTGGGTTGAATACGTGCTAACATTGTACTTGTGTCTTGCAGATATTAAAAAAACATGAGTATTTTGGTAAATATGGGAAAATTCATAAAGTCGTTATAAATCCAAGTACCACGTATGCCGGGGTCCAGGTAAGAGTTGTAAGATTCAATTATTTATTTACCTGTCTCTATATATTTATAAACACTTACGGTGGTCGATCCACTAATACCCGAGTTGATGAGCCATTTGTTTTTAGGTTGGTTTCCCTGAGAACTTGTCCAGATTGAGATGTTCTCATTGAAACCGAGAAATAATTTATCAAAATTTCTTTTCAATTCCAAATTTGGTTAATTACCTCTGATCGGGTAAGCGAAAATTACTCTTAATATATCTGTATATATGTTGAATTATTTTGTATATTTTATTCAAGGCGAAATTTGGTGAAAAAATCTACAACTTTTTATTTTTAGGGACCAGAACAGGTGGGCTACAACAAAAAAAAAGAAAAGAACACAAGTATTGTATGCGTAATTCTTAATTTAAAAGGGTAATTTATGAGTTACCTCCGAATATGAAATCTGCAAGGGTATCTACAGTTTCGGCTGAGCCGAATCCAACTGCTTCTACCTTGTTTACTTATTTTCGTTTACTTTCGACTTAAAGGGTCCATCTGCCTCGGCCTACGTTACATACGTTCACAACTCGGACGCCTTGCGGGCCATACAGAGCGTCAACAATATTATGATCGACGGGCGACTAATAAAGACTAGCTTGGGAACGACGAAATACTGCAGCCACTTTATGAAGAACCAGCAGTGTCCTAAGGGCGACTGTATGTACTTACACGAGCTGGGTGATCCCGAGGCCAGCTTTACAAAAGAGGTAGCTACTGCCACAGAAATATATTTATGTCAATATATATATATGCCAAATTTGGCCATGCTTCCTGTAGGAAATGCATCAGGGAAAGCACCAGGAGTATGAGAAGCGACTACATGATACTCTTATTGCCTCATCTGGACCGAATACAGCAGGTATTATAAATGGTAACGGCGCTGCTTCTAAAGCAAATGGTAATTTTATCGCAAACTGGCAACTAAATGAACTGATAATAAACCCAAACTAGGCGCAATTCCATCGTCGTCGTCGGCCTCATCCTCGTCATCGTCGTCGGCATCCGGATCGGGCGGGGGATCCGCAGGTGCGAATAATACTAACGGAGGGGGAGCAAATAATGCTCAGCAAAAGGAGGCATGGCCCAGCTTATCGGTGTCGCCCATCAATGGAAGAGAGGCGGCAGTTACGAATTCAAATTCCAGTAGCAAAAGTAAAAGAGAGAAGCTGCGAAACGAGAAGCGACACGAAAAAAATAAATCGAAGAATAAAAATAGTGGTAATGGTAATTCCAATGCCTCTAATAAGGAGAACAATGTTCCCGAAACGAGAGGCAGCACTAGTACCGAGACATTCGCTGAGGCAGCAACCGCGGAAGCACCGCCGCCTGCTACAAAGGCGGAGACAACGCACAGCTCTAGCAATAATCGATCGCGGAAGGATCGGGCTAAGGAGCAGAAGAAGAGCAAGGATACTGGACCAGCGCCCAAGCAGACTGAGCGAGTAGAGCCCAGAGTAGAGAGTGTAGCAACACAAAAGAAGCAACCAGAAGCAACTGATGATAGCTGTGAAGATAGTTTACCACAGAAGAGATTACCAGCGCTAGCGGCATCACCAGCAGCAGCGAACGTTGAAAGATCTCTCAGCTCGTGTAGCGAAAATAGTGAGGGTCACGTCTCCACAGAGAGTAGTGTAAGTGAAAAGAGTGATTTCCCGGAGGAGAAGTGCAATAGTGTGAATTCGGAGAGCCAGCCAGAAAGTGTACTAATCCCGGAGGAGGAGGAGGCCGATAATAGCAAAGAGGCTAGCATCGAGTCAGAGCCGAATGTGTCGTCTGGTTCGACACCAGTGGCTAGCGAGACTATCAGCAGCAGCAGTCCTACTGTTGCACCAAATAGTAGTAGTCAGGAAACAGGCGGCTCATTGCCCGAAGAGCCAGCAGAAGAATCCCTAGACCTGGACGAGAACGGTAGCCGTGTGACTGGTAAGTGTCCAAGATTCACTCGTAACTATCAATTCACTAACCATGCTTTCAATTACAGATGCTCTGTCTAAGCTCAATATATTCGATGATGCGCCCAGCTTTTTCTCATCGTCATCATTCCAGCAAGCGCCCTTAATCAAGAATAAGCTAGATTTGGAGATGAGACAGTCTCATTTGCCGGACTTGGTCAATGGTAAGAGCGGGAATAACTGAATTCCCAGTATTTATGTATATGTTTTATACATACGTTTGTATTTTGTTCAGTAACATATTGTTATATTTTCTTTTCAAAACCTACATAGATATTGATGGAATCCAAAAGGCATCAAATGCTAATGGTAATTATTTCTCTTTACTCTATAACCTATTCGTAAAGTAGGAATCCACACAGCAAGAACTTATTTTATAGACTTTGGTATTTGACTATAATTATGTATTTAAATATTCACAGAATGGGAAGAAGCCTTCAAAAATGTGATGTTACGCAACACGAGGCATGTAGAGGAGCAACTTCTGCAGCAGCAGCATCTGCAACAGCAGCAGCAGCACCACCATCAGCAAGTATTGCATCAACAGGAAGAGTTCCTTCGCATGCACGAGCTACAAAAGCGCAACAACTTTGCGAATAATTTATCGCAGATTAATGGTCCTGCAAATGGTGAGTTTTACTTCTTATTCTCCTCTTTACAGGTATAAAACTTATTCTATGAACAAATATTTGTTTTCAGATTTCCTTAGCCACTTTCAGGGCAACTCTCTTGATTTAAATCGAGCTCAGGCCCATGCTCTCCTACAGCAACAATTGCTACAACAGCAGCAGCATCAGCAGGCAGGCGATAATCTGTTTGGCGGCAATATGTCCAAGTTCTTTGATTTCCATAAAACACAACAGCAATCGTCGGCGCACCATCCGTATCTTAATGGACACAACACGCCGCAAATGAATGGCAATGAACCACAGCGAGTGGCTGCATTCATGGAGAACAATCGACTGAATTCTTCGCTTTTTGTGGAAAATGGTTTGAAGACTGTTTGTTTCTTAACTTCTTAAGATGTTCTAAAGATCTGTCATATTTTCAGGACTCATTAACTCACAACAGCAACCTCAGAAACAGAGGCTGATGGGAATGTTTGAAAATCTGGTGAGTTTCCTTAAACATATTTGCTATGATATATTTGATAATATTAAACTTACATTAATTTTAATTTCAAGCCCCCAAATTCGCAATCTCAACAAAATCGTTTTACTCAGCCAAACTCCATAGTCGACGATGACTTAGGTAAGCAGGGTTTTATAACTATCAATTGTACAGACTTTGCTTAACTTTATCCCTCCCAACAGGTTTCGATCCCTTCATTGAGACACAAAAGGGACTCGCTGAGCTAATGGAGAATGAGGTTGTTCAACAACAGAGTATTAACACGGAGAATGCCGCCGGCCCAAAGTTGCCACTACAACAGCCCCAAGTGGCCCCGCCACTCCATCAGCATCAGCATCATCAGATGGTGGACAATATGCAGCGAGCACGCATGCCGCCGCCGGGCTTCAATCATGTGAATACCTTAGGTTTGGCCGGAGGGCCATCTAGGCTGCAGCAGCACACGAGTAAAATGATGCCCTTCATGAATATGGCGCAGCAAGGGCAGCATCAAATGCCGATGGCTGCCAATTGGAATCACCTAGCGGCCATGCACCAAAATCCGGGACAGAGTGTGGGCGGTGGAGATTCACAATTACCACATCCAATGGCACACAATAAGGGTGAGTTATAAACTATATTACAGTATATTACTTTTAATTAATATGATACGTTCCACCACACAGTTTACAACAACAGTGATTGGACAACAATGGATCCGGCAATACTTTCGTTTCGACAGTTTTCATCATTTCCCCAAAACCAGATTCCACCACATCCTCAACAGCAGCAGGACATGTTTTTGCAGCATTTGGCTCAACAGCAGCAACAAAATTCCCAAAGTGATACGTTAACCCCTCAAAAATTAATTTGCCAGCTACAATTTAAAATGAATCCTTTGTTCTTTGTCCTAGGTTTCAACAATCAACCACAGCAGCAGCAATTGGCAATGCCCAACAACATGGCGGCGATGGCCAATACCTTGCTGAACGGACAGTCGCAACAGCCGCCACAACAACAGGTCAATGCCAATGTACAGGGCATGCTTGAGTTCTTAAAAAGCCGTCAATTCGTTTAGCTACAATATACAATTATTACATTTGTTTACCTGTACTCTTTATTAAATATTTCTTAAAAAGTAAATATAGGCAAAATAAAATTCGAATATAATGAAATTACATACATGATACAAAAAAAGCAACACACACTCTTTGGATAGTCAGTGCCTATTTTTTCGCAATGTGTCCTTACTTCTGGATCCTAGAAAGAGGCACACACATAATAGCCACAGTGCAGAGGATTCTGCTTAGAAATATACAAAACAGTTCATTCCAATTGCTTGAGCAAAGATAACTTTGTGTGAATGAAATAATCGAGACTGGGCATCATTTTGTAAAAGTTTCATGTATAAAAATGTCAACCTTTTAATAATAAATAATTGACTTTAATTGGTTGAGGGGAATTTATTACTACTAGCACGACGGTTGTCGTCGTCTGTACAAAAACTATTTCCTATTGTTTTTAGCAGCATGTGGGAGGCGATTCCCTTGTTGCCCCCCAGCCCCTCCCAGGCGCATTGCATTATTACCAGCACCTCCTCCGTAGCCTTGGCCACTTCGATTGCCGGCATTGTTCCGGTTGCCACCGCCTGGTCGACCTCCGCCGCCACCGCCACGTTGATTTTGCGATGAGTTGCCGCCGCGGTTCTTATTCATCTCCGTTCGGTTCCTCGACTTTGCTTGCGCGTCCTCTTTTACCATGTCGATGACTTCGTCGGGAATACGCAAATACTTGATGGTACTGCCACGGATATAGCACTCCGGCATGCGCCAAAAACGATCGCCATCCTGGATAAAGATATTTTGTTAATCACATCGACATTCATGATTATGACCCTTTACCTTCGAGGTGCAAATTACGTCGCGCAGATTGATGTTCATCCAGGAGTCGCAACTGACCAAGTGACCATTGTAAGTTTCACCATTTTTCAGCTCCACTAACTAGAAACCAAAATGTAAATTTATGAGTGTAAATTAAGGTTTTTGCTCGCTTCATTTTACCATAGGATGGCTCTGCGCCGTTTTCAACAGTGAAAGTGGTAACTAGAATAAATTTTATTTAATAACATATTTTATTTACCGCAAAAATAATGTCTTACCATTTTGTTAACCTAATCGATTAATAAAGCGATAAAAAGCTAGAAATGGGAGGGGAAAGACTTCTCGATTGAAACGACGGAAAGGGAACACGAAATATAAATATAGAAAACTACAACTTTAAAAAATTAGGATATTTTATTTTAATGAATACCAAAACATCACAAACAGATGAATTAGAATTTCTTATAACAAGACATTTTATCAATAAGAAAACAACTTAAAAATTAGTCTATGTATGGATTTATTTTAAAACAGATCGGGTTTGCAATGCCTGCAATTCGTTTAAGAGCAAGGCGATGTTGTAGCGTACTTGTTGAAACATTGATAACGGTAATTCCAGAGTTCTAAATTCTTTGTTTTGAAGTTTAAAGTGAAGAACTATAGTTGGCTCATCCATGTGAACAGTGCTAAAAAGTATAAATTTGTTGTACAAAAAATTAGATAAAAAGAGTTTTATTTACTTTAGAGATAAAGATATGTTAATTCTCCACTGCATCTTTGAAATCTTGGGACGGTCCATTTTCGTTTCGGAAAAGTTTTTACACAGAATTTCACGATGGTTAAGGAGAACTTTGCATATATCATCAACGTATTCTTCTGTAAAGCTAATATATAAGGAAATAGTAAGGGTTTGTTTTTGTTTAGAATAAATTGTGCAACAATTTTAGATCATAGTTATATGTTATGTACTTAAATATATGTAAATAAAAAGAATTACGTACTTCAAATCATCCATTAAACACTTTCGCAGCTCATGATGTTTGACTACGCCTTTTGGATATCTCAAAAATATTTGCATCATTAGGAAAACCATTGTAAAGAGTTCACAAAAGTTCGGGGGAATTTTATGACCTGCATTTGATACTTTGTTTATTGCAAGTGAAAGCACCTCGGAAGACGACTTTTTTGTCTCAATGAAGTGCACAGAAACTTGAATAAGGACACGTAGCATAGATTTGGAGAGTTGCGGTACGAAGGGAATGTACGGTTTAACACTCCTCAAAAGATTATATCTGAACATTGACGACATTTTATGAATTCATTATTTTCGTTTCATTGGTTATCAACATAAACAAACTAGTGATGACCCAATTCCGATACATACAAAATCGATGTTCTCGAATGGAACGATAGTTCATCATTTCAATTTCTATTCCATTTCGCATAACAATCATCCTTTTTGGAACAAACTTAAAAAGTAGTTATAAATAATCATAACCACCCATAAAAGGCCAATTAAATCTATAATGGACCCAATTACCAGTGCAATAAGTAATTACCACCTGCAATTCACGCTGTCAATCAAAAGAAATCACTTGCCATATAAAAAGATAAAATGCTTGACGAAAATTACCATTGAATATGAGGTTCGCACTCGGTTTGTTTATTCTCTTTTTCGCTATAAGTAAAGTAAGCCTTAATATGGAAATATCAGTCTTAACCAATTTTATTGTAAATTTGGTAAATACCAAGCATATAATTTTGTTTTCATGCTCAGTTAAGGGTAAGAATTATATATATATTTTCATTAAATAAATACCACCTAATTAGGATTTAATATTTAAATAAAACCAATTAGATTTCCAAGAAGCGCCTGCCGCCTTAATGGCTCTAAATCAATTAGTGAGCGTCGTTCATATTAACCAATATTATTTTTTACCTTCAATACTGACAAGAGAAAGTTACGCGCGCACTGCTGTTGTGGTAAACGGTAGATGTAACGGAACATCTGAGCTCCTTTCTGAAGCCTCAGAAAATAGATGCTTTAATAAAACCTATCAATGGTTTCTCTGGGGCGTAGACCTTGAAGTTCATTCGTTGTTTCCATTACAACTGAACTATGTTGGGCCAAACGCTCAAATAACATATGTTAATAAAACAGATGATGGATATGCATATTGGGATATCCACTCAAAAGGACGACATTTACGATCCGCATTAGAAGTTAATTTGATAGGAACTTTAAAAAATGGTAAAATGAACATGGTTCGTGATATTTTTTATTTACAAAGCATAGATTTCGTGGTCAATTTAACGGAATAACACTACGAGGAGCTAGCGTTGTAAGTATTTTATTACAGCCGATTCGAATAATAAAAAATAAATATTATTTCGTATCGTAGATCGACAAAGATGATATTATTTCAAATGAACAAATTGAATCAATTCTCTCACGACCTACCAAAGATTCCGGAGTCGCGGCATTCATAAAATACCACTATGAGCTTTTGACTCTTTTGCGAGAACGTTTTAATTTCACCGTTAATTTTCGAAATTCTAGAGGTTGGGCGGGACGTTTGGGAAATACAACTTTCCGGCTTGGTCTGTTGGGAATAGTAATGCGCAATGAGGCTGATATTGCAGCATCTGGAGCCTTCAATCGGATTAATCGGTTTGCCGAGTTTGATATAATACATCAAAGTTGGAAATTTGAGACGGCGTTTCTGTACCGTTATACCCCAGACCTAGATACACATGGGTCAAGCGGAAACTTCTTATCCCCATTCAGTGATAGAGTTTGGGTTTTCTCCTTGTTAACTGTTTCAGCTTTTAACATAATATGGATAATATTTGAGATAGTTGATAAAAAGTTTCAACAAAGGAGAGCGGTTTTAAAACTTGAACCTCTACTTAATGCGGATAAAGATAAATTTGACATTAAAACTACTTGCGTAGAAAGGATTCTCCAGACATTTGGTGCTATGTGTCAACAGGGTTTGGACCCAACTCCTAGAGACCGTTCCGTGCGATTCCTCGTAATTACATTATTTCTGTTTTCCCTGGTAATGTACAATTATTACACATCTTCTGTGGTGGGAGGATTGCTGAGCTCTTCAGATCAAGGACCTGCAACAGTGGATGAGATAACCTCTAGTCCATTAAAAATTTCGTTTGAAGATATCGGATACTACAAAGTTTTATTTAGAGTGAGTACTTTTTAGTTTCTTATTTTTTTTATTATGAAATTAATATTATACAAATTCAAAGGAAAGTAAAAATGCTTCTATAACGAGATTAATAGAAAAGAAACTTTCATCATCAAGATCTCCTAATGAATTGGGGATATTTTCTCATATTGAAGAAGCTATACCATATCTCAAGGCCGGCGGTTTCGCTTTTCATTGTGAAGTAGTGGACGCATATCCAGTTATTGCAGAGTTTTTTGATGCTAAGGAGATTTGCGATTTGCGTGATGTTTCTGGACTAATGGAAGTTGAAATTTTAAATTGGATTTTCCCCAAAAACAGCCAGTATGCAGAAATTTTTCGAACAGCGTAAGTTAAATACAACAAATAGAAATTAAATTAAATAATAATATTTTAGTATGTGCAATGCGCAGGAGAAGGGTTTTGTGGAACGAATCCTTCGACGGCGACAAACCAAAAACCCGCTTGTCAGTCATTGTATACTGTGTATCCAGTAAGTCTAGCTGGTGTCTTCCCTGCTTTCATTATTTTGATTTGTAAGAATTCTGAAAATCTATCTTAATTTAAAAGTTGACCATATATATTTATTATACAGGTGGATGGGCGGCTTCTCTCCTATTATTGAGTCTAGAAGTGTTATATAACTTTATAATCACAAAGAAACTATAAAAATATTTTTAAAATGATTACTTATACAGAAAAAAAATATATATACAACAAATATTTAATAAATATATTAGGCGGTGCACAAAATTCAATCTGAATTTTGTTTCATTCCACGCGTTTCTATATAGGCACTAATTCACCAACACTCTCAACTCCAAATGCAACCCTGCCGACGAATTTTTCAACTTCCTGTCACGCTATATGTCGGGTTCTTTCTTTCCTTTGATTCTGTTGCCGAAGTAAGGTAAGTTTTTGGGGTTGCTTAATTTTAAGTGTTGTTTAAGTGAAATAAAATACGCGAATACAAGCTTAAAGCAGTCTTTAACGTCTGTCTGTAACGAGTGCTGTATATGGCTAATTTTTAATGCAGTACGAACAAAATATCAGTGCACATGTAACATTGGCAAGCGACTCATTGCTTAAATATTCGCGTTGAAGAAAAAAGAAAAATAGTGTGAAATTTAAATTTATCCATTAAGGTAAGTGAAGTGCCGCGCAAATTGTTCTCTGTGGCTAGCTTATAAGGCTTGGTTAATCCACAGGGAACATATTTCGCCATCTGCAACTGCATATGAAATTAATGTGTTCATGTATTTCAGAACTGGCCTGCAGAACTAAATAACCAATCATGCCGCAGAATGAGTATATGGAGCGCCATCGCAAGCTGTATGGCCGGCGATTGGATTATGAAGAGCGCAAACGCAAGAAGGAAGCGCGTCTTCCCAAGGACAGAGCACGCAAGGCTCGCAAGTTGCGCGGCATCAAAGCCAAGCTCTTCAACAAGGAGCGGCGCAACGAAAAGATTCAGATCAAGAAGAAGATCCAAGCGCACGAGGAGAAGAAGGTGAAGAAGCAGGAGGAGAAGGTGGAAGATGGAGCTCTGCCGCATTACCTGCTCGACCGTGGCATCCAGTCCAGTGCCAAGGTCCTCTCGAACATGATCAAGCAAAAGAGAAAGGAGAAGGCCGGAAAATGGGACGTTCCCATCCCCAAAGTTCGCGCCCAATCGGATGCTGAAGTCTTCAAGGTGTTGAAGACCGGCAAGACGAAGCGAAAGGCATGGAAGCGCATGGTCACCAAAGTCACCTTCGTGGGGGAGAACTTTACCCGCAAGCCGCCCAAGTTTGAGCGCTTCATCCGACCCATGGGTCTGCGCATGAAAAAGGCCCATGTGACGCATCCGGAACTGAAGGCCACCTTCAATTTGCCCATCATCGGAGTGAAGAAGAACCCTAGCTCCCCCATGTTTACGTCGCTGGGAGTAATCACTAAGGGTACGGTTATCGAGGTCAACATCTCTGAGCTTGGATTGGTGACGCAAACTGGAAAAGTGGTCTGGGGCAAATATGCTCAGGTCACGAATAATCCGGAAAATGATGGAGTTATCAATGCAGTGTTGCTTGTATAAACCGAAAACATCAATATTCCTGCTGCCTACTTTAAGATGCTTGATTTAATAAAACAAACAAAATACAAACGATTGTATTGCTGAATTAAACATACTGGGCCTGACTATTGAAAATGCTTCTATACTCTAAATATCTATAACTATGTTTTGATTGTCTTTTCTTGCAGTTTTGGTGACTGGAACACAAGATGCAGATCTTCGTGAAGACCCTCACGGGCAAGACCATCACTCTTGAGGTCGAACCGTCGGACACTATCGAAAATGTCAAAGCCAAGATTCAGGACAAAGAAGGAATTCCTCCAGATCAGCAGCGTCTGATCTTTGCTGGCAAGCAGCTGGAAGATGGCCGCACCCTCTCTGACTATAACATTCAGAAGGAGTCCACCTTGCATTTGGTGCTCCGCCTTCGTGGTGGCGCCAAGAAGCGCAAGAAGAAGAACTACTCCACCCCCAAGAAGATCAAGCACAAGAGGAAGAAGGTCAAGCTAGCTGTCCTGAAATACTACAAGGTACACACCACGAATCGTCTTCTGATCTGTTCTTGGAATTCTTGAGTCTTGGTCTTGCGCTCTTTGACTTGAGATTTGGATATTTCAGAGTGACTTAACCAGAGCCCAATAATTTGCTTTTTTGTGCGAATAATTAACGATCTTATTCTTTGTATCTATAGGTTGACGAGAACGGCAAGATCCACCGTCTGCGTCGCGAGTGCCCCGGTGAGAACTGCGGCGCTGGCGTCTTCATGGCTGCCCACGAAGATCGTCATTACTGCGGCAAGTGCAACTTGACCTTTGTGTTCAGCAAGCCAGAGGAAAAGTAAATTTGTACGTTTCCAGTAAAACCAATAAAGCTGGTGATTGAATAATTAATTCAATAACAGAATTTCATTGTTTTTTATAATTTCAAAAAAAAAAAAAAAAAAAACTTAAACGGGGGTCATAGTGGTAAAAATAAATAAAATCAAAAGATTTTGCTCTTCTCCAACAAACTGCGAACATGCTACTAAAATTTAGTTTAAGCATAGCTTAAAACGTATCGTTTAAGAGAAGGGTATTTAGTATTTAGTTTTCGGGAAATTAAATATACACTTGCAGGGTATTATAATTTTAGGCAAAAGGTTGAAACTCAATGAAGGAGTCATTTTCGACCATATAAATCATATATATTCTTGATCAGCACCAAAAGCTGAATCGATCTAGCTAGTACGGCTAAAAATTATTTTTTTCAAATTTTATAAGGGGTACAAAATTGTGAAAAAATTACACAAATTAAATTTTAAATTGAATATGTAGATTTTTAACAGTAAGTATCTATGACCAGTAAGTAACTTAGATTAGTAAATAACTATAATCAGTAATTATCAATGAACATTAAGTAACTATGAACAGTAGGTAAGTATGATCAGTAAATAACTATGATCAGCAATTAACTATAAGCAGTGAGGAACTCAGAGCATTAAGTAATTTTGAACAGTAAGTATCTATGACCAGTAACTATGTTCAGTAAGTATCTATGACTAGTAAGTATGTATTATCAGTTACTAACTTTGAACACCAATAAACAATGACTTGCAACTTTTGTAACACAACACATTTCTGAGACGTGGCCAGCAGCAGTCACTTCGTTCTGGGGATGTTTGAACCAGTTGGGAATCATATTATATGATGATTAACTATGAACAGTAAGTATCTATGACCAGTAATTAACTATGAGCAGTTACTAACTTTGAACACTAATAAACAATGACTTGCAACTTTTGTATCACAACACATTTCTGAGACGTGGCCGGCAGCAGTCACTTCGTTCCGGGATGTTAGAACAAGTTGGAAATCATATGCACAGATGTGCGAGATTTATAGAGAACTTTGGTTAGAATACATTGATCGATTATTAGCAAAAAGTCTTGAAATCATGAATAATTTTATTGTGAAAATATAATTTTTAAATACATTACGTAAAAGCAAATGCGTTACTTGACCTTCGGGAAATGCATTTATTTGTTTGATTGAATAACGATTCAAACGTTGACCGCATCAACGTTCAGACTCTTCGACAAGAATGTCAAAATATCGGTGGCTTCCTCAATCCTCTTGGACGTGGGCTTGCCGGCGCCATGGCCCGCCTTCTGATAAACCCGAAGGAGTACCGGATTCTTTTGGAACTCAGAGTCACGAACAGCATCCTGGAGAGCAGCAATAAACTTGAGAGAGTGCAACGGACTGACGCGATCGTCGTGGTCGGCCGTGAGAATCAGAGTAGATGGATATTCCTTATCAGAACTTCTTGGCGTATGCACATTATGCAGCGGCGAGAACTTGTACAGATTCTCGAAATGCTCCTTCTCGGACGGGTTGCCATAGTCCGAGCACCACGCATGTCCGATGGTGAACTTGTGGAATCGTAACATATCCATTACTCTATAATAAATAATAATTTTATATACATATTTGGGGTTGACATATTAACATACCCGACTTGGGCCACAGCTGCTCCGAACAAATCCGGCCGCTGATTGATGCAGGAGCCCACAAGTAGTCCTCCATTGGAGCCACCTTGAATGGCTAGACGATCCTTGGTCGTGTACTTATGTGCAATCAAATACTCGGCAGCCGTTTGGAAGTCATCGAAGACGTTTTGCTTATTGAGAAGCCGACCGCCATTGTGCCACTTCTCGCCATATTCGCCTCCGCCGCGCAGATTAGGATAGGCAAGGACACCATCAAAAGTGTCTATAAACATTAGGCTGCAAATGATTAATGGGTTATAAATTAATTAACGACAACATTTAAGCGCAACTCAACCCCGAGAGTCCAAATGATGGCAGCATGCTGATGTTAAAGCCTCCGTAGCCATAAAGCAGACATGGTCGCGGCTCAATTGTATCGCGTTTTTTGCGAATAATAAACATGGGCACCTTGGTGCCGTCCTTGCTGCTGTAAAAGATCTGTTCTACAGTATAGTCTTCCCGCCGGAAGCCCTCCAGATTGAGTTTAATTTCGCGAAACAGAGTGGGCGCCTGGTCAGGCGTCTTGAAGTCATAACGATAAATGGAGCCGGGGTTCAAAAACGATGAAAAGTTGTAGAATATCTCAGAGTATCGCTTCTCCCCGGATGTTCCGACAATAGTGCCAATATCCAAATCAAAAACTCGCACGAGACTGCCGTCAGTTAGGGAATTAACTTGCAAAACGCTCTGAAAACGGGAAAAAAACGAGTGACGGTATATAAAAAAAACGGTTATGCTTAACTAATTACCTTGACATCCCTTATGTAGCAAACGAGCAACTTGTCGCCGTCCACGCACTTCACCCAGTCTAAAACATCCGATTTATGCTCCTGTTCGAAATATAAAAAGGTTAATACTATACAAAATAATAGGTGTTATTTGTTGAAGAAACTCACAGCTATTAGCGTTTCCCACTTGTCTTCTTGGTGATTCTCAAAATCTATAACAATAACTCGATAATTTGGTGCATTTTTATTGGTACGGAAGTAGACCTTGGAGCCTTCGTTGGTGATATACTGAAAATCAAGCGTTAGAATATGCTTAAATACACGCAATAAATTATAAACTTACATCATAGTCCGCCTCGAATTTTTCAACCACTTTTGTAACACTCAGTTTGGAGTTGATTTCCTCACCCGGCTTAAGGTTAGCATAAAAAACAATGTTGTCTCTGCAATCTTTGACAATGGCCAAAATCAAATACTTTCCACAATCAGACACAGTGGATTGTCTGCAATAACAAATTTGTTTAATAGATGTTAGGAAAATGTCCTAGTATAAGTCTTACATGCGCCATGAGGGCTCTTCGGGGAACTCCACCACAAGTGTATCCTTGTCTTGACTCTCGCCAACGCGATGATAGTACAACTTTTGATTTTCGTTTTGTTTAGTCTCGGATCCATCAGTTTTACCATCTTGATCAGGATATCTCTACAAAAGGGAACAATTTAATGTAATTCTTACAGAGTTGGGGTTTCCTTACGCCATAGAAAAATCCCTTATTGTCTTTGGTCCACGATATCTCGGAGAACTTAACCTTCTCCAGGACCTCGCCCAAGTCTTTGCCCGTCTCCGCATCTCGGATAAAAATCTTTATCCAATCAGAGCCACTCTCACTGAGTCCATAGGCCATGTATTTGCCGTCGTCGGAGAACTCCTTTTGGCTCAAGGCCACGGTACCATCATCGGACAGGGTATTCGGATCCAGAAACACTTGGCTCTCGCCGTCCAGCGTTTTTTGCTGATATAAGACACTCTGATTTTGGAGGCCGGTGTTTTGTAATAATAATAAAATTCGCCAAATCGCATCGGCGAGCCATATTTCGGATAGTTCCACAGCTTGGTGAGTTTTGCGTTAATTTTCTTCCACTGTTCACCATTTTCCAGGAACGGCTGGCTTATGTTGTTCTGGGCGTTGACAAATGCCTCCGTTTCCGCCGAGTCAGGATCCTCGAGCCAGCGATAGACGTCTTTGATTTCGGTCCCGTGGAAGTCTTCCGACACAGTCTCATCCTTTCGCGCAACTGGATAATACGCAATCAGGCTCTTTGGCAAAGCCGAAAGTGGATGGTCATCGGCGGTGCTTGACATGGCTCTAATACGGGTGCCTTGCATATATATGTATAAATATCTCTTTTGTAATAGAGCACATTTAACTGGCCGGCATAAATAATTGTTGAATACTTACAGTTTAAAGGCAAACTTCGATGAAGATGATTTCGAGGCAGTGCTTTTGGTAAAATTATTTGGCAAAATCGGCGAACCAGAGGGCCTTGAAAAATATGCATTTGCAAAATTATCGACTTCGCCTATCTCGATAAACAGAAGGGGTATTCTTCTACTGAGCAATTCTATCTGAAAATCATTTTATCGCACTGGGTCACATTAAATATGCTCGGCACGACTATTTATATTTTTTTGAAAGAATTTTTAAAAAGCAGATGGAATAAACATTTGACTCTATGGCTGAGTGACACTTTGAGTTGGATAAGTTAGGCGCTTTAAAAATGACAATAAAAGTTTAATTTTCTTACATGGCGATTTGAAAATATATTTTTCTATCTTTAAAAAAAAATGTAAAATTAAAATAATTATTTTTACAAGTATATTATTTATGAAATGATACTAATTAATTGATATTTTTTTTACTTTTTTAATTAGGAGCCAGCAAGAATGACCCTAACATGTAACACTGAAGGTGACAACTGTTGATCAAAGTTATCGAAATGTAAATGCTATGTTAGACCATATGTTTGAGTGACGGATTATAAACACAACGAAAACTAAATTATTGGTCAACCAATGATTTAAATTGGCAAAAACCACTGTTTTTATTTGTTTTTACTTTTTGAGAAGCGAGGAGACACTTTATTTGTTTGGTATGTAGCATAATTACCATTTTTCTTTCATAATTTTCACAGCGAAATAGGTAATTTTCAGCATTTCATTTTCATATGTATTTTTTTTTTCTCTAGCTCATTACGGTGCGTATGTATGTTTGCATACATAAACAAACATTGTGTAGAAAATGTATGTACACATATATGTACAATAAGTATATGTCACTAAATTGGCATTTTCAGCTAATTGCATTGATTTGTAATATAATTAAATGAAACACCTGCTTATGTCATATGTAGGTACATATCTGTGGGTGTATCCTATGTGTATGTACACATGATCGTGAGCTGTTTCGCTGTGATGCTTTAAAAACTAGTTTGTCTTTCCCCAAAGAAGCTTATCTCATTTTTATTTAAAATATGTCCATAACATTGAATAATTTAAGACTTTTATAGGAAGCGTATTTATCTGTATTTATCTTCCTTAATACATTTTATGTTCTACAAGTTTCCGTTTATTTACGTATTTATTTATAGATAAGCACCATGAATTCGGAAGAAGATCGTGTAAATGCGGACAGCGCAGTACGAGTTGCTGTAAGGTGAGCGAGAGTAATGTGAATTTATAAGAAACGGATTCCGCTAATCAATTTAGTTGAATATTTCAGAATCCGACCTCAAATTCCAAGGGAGGTAATCGATATGTGCCGGATTTGTACGACAGTAACGATTGGGGAGCCCCAGATCTTCCTGGGATCAGACAAAGCCTTTACCTTTGACTATGTGTTTGATAGCAACTCGAATCAGGTTGGAATCATTTTTTTTTCTATCTTTTGATTTATATACAATAATATTTATCTCCAAAAACAGTGTGATATATATGCGGAATGTGTGGAGCGATTAGTGGAGAGCACACTACATGGCTATAATGCGACAGTGCTGGCCTACGGGCAAACGGGATCGGGAAAGACTTATACCATGGGCACAGGCTTTGACCTTGAGTCCGAATCGCCCGAAACGTCCGTTTCACTTGGCATTATTCCACGCGCTGTTCGCCACATCTTCAGTGGCATCGAGCGACTAGAATCCTCGGACAGTTCAGAACTAACAGGAGAAGCTGGTAGCAGTCCGCCACACTTCAGTTTGGCCGTTCAATATATCGAGCTGTATAATGAGGATGTATTCGATCTACTGGATCCATTTAATAAGAATTCTAACTTTAAGATACATGAAGATGCCACCGGACAGATAACCATATCGGGAGCGTCTATCAAGCCCATTTCACAGCCACAGGATGCCTTAAAGTATGCTTGTAAAAATAATATGCATAATGATTATTAATATTATTTGAAACGATTGCAGATACCTTCAGCAAGGAGCTTTGGCTCGCACCACGGCCTCAACAAAGATGAACGATCAGTCATCGCGATCCCATGCGCTGTTCACGATCTTTGTGCGTAGGCAGCGTGTACTTTCCTCCGTCGTAAATCCGGCGGAGGATAACGATCTGGAAACTCTCACTTCAAAGTTCCATTTCGTTGATCTTGCGGGCTCAGAGCGACTCAAGAGGACACAGGCCACGGGCGATAGGGCACGTGAGGGCATATCCATCAACTGTGGGCTGCTGGCCCTAGGTAATTGTATTTCCGCTCTAGGGGACAAGTCCAAGCGAGCCTTGCATGTTCCATATCGAGACTCTAAGCTGACACGCCTGCTACAAGACTCTTTGGGTGGAAATAGTAAGACTCTAATGATAGCTTGTGTTTCTCCAAGCGATCGCGACTTTATGGAAACATTAAACACCTTAAAGTATGCAAACCGAGCGCGAAATATTAAGAACAAGGTTAAAATCAATCAGGATCAAAGTTCTCGAACTATATCCCAGCTGCGCAGAGAAATCGCCACCTTACAGATGGAGTTATTGGAATATAAGCAGGTAAATTTTCTCTTTATACTATTATTGCTCCAATTATACGAGTCTGACTATTGCAGGGAAAGCTTGTATTGGATTGCGAGGGAAACACAACTATATCGGATACATTTAATGAGAATACCATGCTTCTGTCGGATAATAAGCGGCTACAGCAGCGGCTGAAGGCAATGCAGGAAACCATTAATCGCTTGACGGAACGCAATGCCCGATTGCAGCTTGAAATGGATTCCAGAAAGTGGTCAAGTGATGATAATTCAGATGTAGAAACAACCGAACTGATGGGCAAATACTTATTGGAAATTGAGCAACTTCAGGCTAAACTAATGGAGTCTGAGGAAATTCAACGCCAAATGGTGCCCCGAACCGTTAAGCCGCCTGTTTTTGATGGTTTGTATAAACTAAAATATCGATATTATAAAGTCAAAAACAAACATCTGTCTTATTTTGTTTGCACACACCAAAATCCACAGGAGACATCATAAGCAAAGCCAAACGAGGCTTGGAAAGGGAAAGAGAGCTATTAATGTCGCGTTCATTGCCTGGAAATCAACAGCAGAACATCAGCTTGGACGATGCAGAAGTTTGTAGTAGCGATTCGGAAGGTAAAAATATCGAAATACTGGCCTAATTACCTAATACTAATATATTTTATGTATTCAAAGATGAGCGGACAGCCAGAGACATGAGAGAGATTGATTATGATATTGAGACAAAATCGAAATTGATCGAACAGTTGGAGCTGAGCGAGGAGAGAATGAAGTGTATGCAATTGCAATACGAAGAACAATTGACGATTCTGAAATATAAAATATCGAATACGGAAAAAGAACGCGACGAAATGTTAACAAATATGAGTACGTATTTCCCATTTAATGATTTTTTCAAAAACATAAAGTCGTTTTCTTTTGGTGTAGGTGCCTCTGTTTCAGTTCCATCAAAGGACAGTTTAAAAAGAGTAAAGTTGGATTATGAAGGCAGAATTTCTCAAATGCAGCACGAATTAAAAAGGTTACAGAAAACGCAGCGGGAACACCAACAGCAACAGAGACAGCTTAAGTCCAACGTTGTGCGGATGAACACGTTACGCAGCGAGGTGGCTGAACTCAAGTTTGCGAAAGTAAGTAAAATCGAAGGAAACGCAAAAACTCAACATAACTTACTTATTTTAAACATTTATAATTTTAGGTAAAATTAATGAAAAAAATGTCAGCACAAACAAGTCGTCATAAAGAGGAGGACAACCGAAAAACAAAAGAAATCGCTCAATTATTGAAAGAACAGCGTCGTCAGCAAAACGCCTTTACATCTTTGGAAGCCAAGGTGAATGCCAAGGACCAAATCCTGAAGCGAAAAACTGAAGAGGTTATTGCTCTGCGCAAAAGTCAACGTGGAAAGCCAGGACAAAGAGCGCTTAAAGTATTTTCCAAAACTGCCGCCCTTGACGGATTAACGTCTCGTACCACTCGCCATCATTGGGAGAATCTGTATCGCGCAATATCCCATGAAGCCCGAAACAGGCAGATGGTCATGCAGTGGGAAAGGGAGCTAAATCGTTTAGTCACTGAGCGAGACAATTTTTGTCACGAGCTCAGAATATTAGAACTTAACAAGGGAGGAGCCGATGATGATCTCAACGAAAGGGAGAATTTGAAAATCAACATTTCCTACCTTGAACAGAATATTGAGCATGTGCAGAAAGCAATAATGGAAGTGGAAGACACAAAGGACACTGGACCTAGTGAGGCGAATAAGATTCAGAGTCTTTTGGATTCGATTACGACTGTCCCCGAGGCTGTGTACATTCTGGAGAAGCTGGCCGACAATTCCATCGTAATGACGTGCAACTTGGCAATTGCTCAATCTCATTTACAAGAGCACCAATCGCTCCTAAATGAAGCCCAACAGGAGAGTAGCATACAACAGCAAATAATACAACATTTTCTAGCCCAGAACAGCAATGTGCATATATCTGAGATATTCGATTCGTTAAGTCTCAAAAGCAGTAACCTTTTACATACTGCGAATCCGAGTTCTCAAAAGTCATTAGTTAGTAATGCAACCTACGACATACCGCAAGACGACAAGCTATCAGACTCTTCAAATGTGGAAATGCGCAGGACGTCGAGTAGAAGCCCTTCACCATTTGGAAACACAGACGCGTAAGACAAAACATTACTTTCAGATATCAAGTATTCTTTTTACTGCATTTGTAATATTTTTAATCATTATAGGTCCGATAAAAGCCCCAAAGTTCGTAGACGTACAGCGAAACGGCAAGATCTTTTATTTGGCGACACTGAGTTTCCAAATCTGGTAAAATTATAAATTATTATTATAGTTATCACTTCTATTTAAAGAACACAATGATAACTCAACAGGCTAATAATAAAATGACGTGATCGTGGATGCGAAGATGATGTCATGGACGAGAACTTCGCGTGAAATTTAAGTAAAACATCAATCGAACAAATATTTTTTAAGCCGGGCTGCTATTAAAAAACGTTAGAAGACTTGATAAACGGAACTCTATGTGTGTACAGAGTCTGACTTGATTTAATCAAGTTTAATGGAGAAATTCCTCAGGCACATATAACGACAATTAAGCTTCTGTCTTCAGAAGTTAATTTGTACATTTATATGATCCTTCCCAGCCATTTATAAAATAGACAATAAAATAATATATTAATAAATTATTATAATGTGCAAGTTTGTAAATAAACAGAACAATAAAAATAAGGTGTTTTAAATAATAAATCTTAATCAACGACTAACTCGAAATGGTTTTTTTAACCCCGTTTTTGGGATCCTAGTTTTGAATTAAGCGGGTAAGTCCGCCAAAAATGACGAACGTAATGGGAATGTGGTATATTAAAAATGCATTTTTTGTGTTCCTATATATTTCGTGATTGTACCGCTCTCTTGACTTTAATCGATTTATCGTTTTTGACCGGCATTTCTGGACCACTTGGCTTGCTTTTTGCGAATACTTTGTAAAATCTCAAATAACTTTGTTTTCTTAAACTGTAAGCAATGAGCGAAACAAATGGATCCGCTGTGCGCATGCCTTGGTAAATCTACAAACTGATGGTTTAAATAGGGTCAAACATAAATGTTTTCCTTTCCCAAGGGTGGAGAAATATCGTCCCAGTGGCTTAGACGACTTAATATCGCACGAGGAGATCATATCAACAAGTAAGTACACCTAACAAATTAGAACACATTAATGAAAATACTATTTATCTATGTGATTGCAGTTACTCGTTTTATTAGCCGCAAGCAACTGCCGCACTTGCTTTTCTATGGACCTCCTGGCACGGGCAAGACGAGCACCATATTGGCGTGCGCTCGTCAACTCTACACACCGCAGCAGTTCAAATCGATGGTCCTGGAGCTCAATGCCTCGGATGACAGAGGAATTGGTATAGTTCGCGGTCAAATCCTTAACTTTGCCTCCACTCGCACCATTTTCTGTGACACCTATAAGCTAATCATATTGGACGAGGCGGATGCCATGACCAACGATGCTCAGAATGCCTTGCGTCGCATCATCGAGAAGTATACGGAGAACGTGCGCTTTTGTGTTATATGCAATTATTTGAGCAAAATTATACCGGCGCTGCAGTCGCGTTGCACGCGCTTTCGCTTCGCCCCGCTATCTCCGGAGCAGATGATGCCGCGCCTTGAAAAGATCATTGAGGCAGAAGCGTAAGTTTTATCCAATGCATCATATTTATCCGTATACTTTACTGAATTATTTGTAGTGTTGAAGTAACTGAGGATGGCAAGCGGGCCTTGCTAACTCTAGCTAAGGGCGACATGCGAAAAGTTCTGAATGTTTTACAGAGCACCACGATGGCATTTGACAAGGTCACCGAAGATAATGTATACATGTGTGTGGGCTATCCATCTAAGCAGGATGTTGAACGGATTTTAAAGGCCTTGCTCGCTGGTGCTAGCCTAGAGCAATCTTATCAAGGTACAAGAAAAGTTTAGTTTTCAATGAATTATGTTTTTAATATTTTATTTCTATGCAGCGATCGAAGATGCCAAGCACAGTAGAGGCCTTGCTTTGGAAGACGTTATCACAGAGCTGCATCTTATTGTTATGAGGCGTAAGTAATGCCGACAAACGGGAAAACACCTTAATGTCTAGTGCTAACCTATTACACTTCATAGTTGAGCTGCCAATGTCAACAATGAACACTCTTATTATAAAGCTAGCCCAAATCGAGGAACGCCTGGCCAAAGGATGTACAGAATCGGTCCAGACAGCAGCATTATTGGCCGCTTTTACCATTTGTCGGGATATGGTGGCCATGGAGAAGTAAGGGTTACATTCCTAATTTTATACAATAGCTTATGCTATCCTCATCGTTAATGTTAACAATTCTAAGAAAATCCTGTAGATTTGGATGTGCGAGAAGAATAACTAATATAATTTTATTCTAATTTATACAAACATTATAATCGCACAAGTTCACTTTCTGCACAGGAAGTCTAGTAGCTTTATCTTTAAACGTAGGTTAACTATTAGTTTTAACTATAAATCAGTTTCATTAAAATAAACTAATTAAATCTCATTTTGTTCTGGTTAGTTAACTTAACTCTTTAGGTGCTTTTAAGCATCTCCTAAAAAAAATAATTTTTCAAACATTAAATCGATATATTATTATATATTATTTTTTAATATAAATAAATAAATATATTATTTAATTAAAGATTTATATTTTGACATGTCAAAATAGTTTAAATAAACTGCCGTTGCGTGATCCGATTCCATTGTTCCGTAACAAACGGGACCCTCGCGGCGCCGCTACCTTAACGAGCTTTAGAAATAACAGCGAATATGTATATGTGTTAAACAAAATATCGCAGTATCGTTAATTAAATGTGAATCACTGATACTGTTTCAAAACGGCCCAGGAATTAAACAATTGTTTTTTTTATTGTTACTTCGAAACACTTTGAGTACATTTCGTTGGGCGTAGCAGGCTATAGGTCCCACCCAAAAAAGAAAAAACAATGGCTGCCGAAATAAAACCAGCTCAGCGGACCAACAATGATCGCTTCAACACATCCAAAAAGCCGGAATTGCTGAGTAAGCTGGAGGGCAGTAGCGACGATGTGAACGCCGCTATCCTAATACCCGGCGAAAACGGCGTAATTAGTGTTTCCGATGACAAGTGCGTATTATCTACCTGCTCTGTTCCTTTGCACATCAGAATATAAATAATTATATGTATTTATTTTTACGGTCAAGAACTGTGCGCGTTTGGCTGAAACGCGACTCAGGCCAGTACTGGCCGAGCATTTGCCAGTATATGCCTTCGGGGTGCACTGCCATCGAGTACGTCCCGGAGTCGCGTCACCTGTATATTGGCCAGGAGAACGGCACAGTGACCCAGTATACGCTCTCTGAAGACTGCAATCGACTGTCGTTTTTACGGGATTACTTGTCCCATCAGGCCCGAGTCGTGGCCGTGGTCTTCTCCAGAACCCACAAGTGGATATTATCAGCGGGCAAAGATAAGCAGTTTGCCTACCATTGTACTGAAACCGGAAAACGGGTGGGCGGATACAACTTTGAGACAGCATGCACATCGCTCCAGTAAGTGTGATAAAGCGTGTTGATTTTATAGTGCGTCCCCTAATAACTTTAATCCCCATTCCCATTTTAGGTTTGATGCACTAGCTAAATATGCCTTTATTGGCGATCATGCGGGTCAAATAACTATGCTGCGTTGCGAGGTCCAAGGAGTGCAACTGATTACGACTTTTAAGGGACACACAGGTACACTCAGAACCATTAATTATTAGATCATGCAATTGATTTAACACTGTTGCGAACATTTCAGCGGAAATCCGATGCTTGAGATGGGTTGAAGGCCCTCAGTTGCTGTTTAGTGGTGCTTGCGATCAGTCTGTCATAGTTTGGGATGTGGGCGGCAAGCGTGGCACCATTTACGAGCTGCAGGGACATAGGTAGATGCCTAAGACGGTGTTATTTGCAATTTATAATAATTTTTGTGTCTCTACTTACTCAGCAACAAGGTTTCTGCTCTGGCGTACGCCAACCAAACCCAACAGCTGATAAGCTGCGGCGAGGATTCGGTCGTCGTTTTTTGGGAAATGAATGCCATGCGAAAAGAAGTTCCTGAGTGGGTGGAATCCAACAACTGTCAGCTTTGCTCTAGGCCCTTCTTCTGGAACTTCCGCTCCATGATGGACCAGAAGCAGCTAGGAATACGCCAACATCATTGTCGTCATTGCGGCAAAGCCGTCTGTGACAACTGCTCGACCAATCGTATTAACATACCCATCATGGGCTTTGAGTTTGACGTCCGTTGCTGTGATCCGTGCTACAAACAACTACAGACCGTCGAGCGTCCCTCGCTAGCGTCGTTTAACGATGCCAAGCACTCCATTGTATACATGGATCTCGACGAGGACCGCAAGCGACTGCTGACGGTGGGCCAGGATAGGCTCATCAAGATCTGGGATCTTTCCAACATTTGGGCATAATACACGCATTAAATCCAAGTCGACGTACCAAAGGTATAATCATCCAAGATGCGGAGCAGAGGGTGTGGAATAGCCCCAGGACAGGTTCTCACGAATACATATATTTAATGTAAAGCAATATTCATTGTATGTATGTACGTAAATGCTTGCATTAAACACTGAAATACAGAAATCCATCGAATGTGTATTGTTTTTTTTTATTAACCAAATGTGAATTTATTTAATATCCACCCCTTCCCGGTGGCGGTGCGCCTCGGATCATGCTCGGCGGAGGACCACGCATGGGTGGAGGAGCACCGCGTCCCATGCTTCCCGGCATCGAGGGCATACCGCCAGGAATCATGCCTGGCGGTGGAGCACCCATCATCGGGGCACGAGGCACTCCTCGGCCCATTGGCGCCATGTGCTGCTGGGCAGGTCCGCCCACACCTCTAACTGGTCCCTGCAGGCCCGCGGGCACAGCGGACATATTAATCGGCACACCACGACCGGCCACACGACCCAATCCCGGTCCTGGAGCGGCTCCGGGGATGGGAACACGGGGCAGGCCCTCCTCTGGCGGCGGCGGTCCCTCGACGGTGAGGGAGACAATGTTTTCTCCACGCAGCAGTACAAAGCCCAGCACTCGCTTCTCCTCCCGCTCGGGTACCTTCGAGTTCTTGGAGCGAATCTTGCGGAACTCTTCGCAGTCACCCAAAATCAGATTCATGTGTTTGTCGAAGGCCTTGAAGGTGCCGATAAAGGTGCGCGAGTCCTGGAGCACGATTCGCACCCGGTAATTCAGGTGCTGAATCATTTTATTATTCTTGCCGATGGTCTGAAATAAGGAAGCGCTAGCTTAGTTTGCGAAATATACACAATTTGCCGGGGTGCCTTAAAACGCACATTTTCAAAAGGCCGGCATTTATTTCATTCTCAAGCCATGCACGTATGTATGTCACAACGATTTTGCTCACCATTTTGTACGAGTTCTGTAATAATCCAGTAAAAATAAATAAAATTACAGAAATTACACGGCGTTTTCAGAATGGCGGTGTTAGAGGTGCGAAAACATCGATGCATCGAATTTTCTAAACCATCGATGTTTTTTACAGTCGATGTTGCCGTCACTATCAAAAAAAGAAGAGCAAACATCGATGTTTCATCGTTTTGCGAATGCGTATGGCTAAAAACATCGATAGATGATAATATCGATAGTTGAAAACATCGATTTGTTGCCAGCTCTGCGGCGTGTAAACTTAGTTCGATAGTTTTAATCGATATACCGTACAGTCTGGCAGGGCTGTGTCGAGAGTCTGGCAGCGCTGGTGACAGATAATAGTGATAGCACCGATACTCACGAACCGGCACTTGTCGTGCTCACGTTGTAACATGCCAAATTGTTGTTAAATTTGTGTTTTAAGTTGAATAAAATTAAGTTAAAGTATACAAAATCGTAAAGTAATAAAAACCCAAAGATCTTGAATATTGGTAAACAACATATATTAACTGAGAGGCGGTTTTTCATTTTGTGCTCGATAGTCTGAAATAAGATGGGCTGGCAGCTAAAGGAGTCGTTCTTATTATTTTAGAAATATCGCATCGATGATTTTTTTTTTACATAAAAAGAAATAATTATATAAAATATCAATTTAAAATGTCGATATATTGATATATTTATTTATTTAATTGCTGTGTCAATACTAGGATACTTATTACTGACCGTTTCACTGCTTTATCAAATTGGGTACTTTGTTACCGATGGTCTAGATGATGTTTTTATTGCTTAAATATTGAAATATTAAATATTAAATATTTTCCACTATATTGTTGATTCCAATTTAATTAAAAAACAATAGATTATTTAATAAAAAAAAAACAATTAGGGGAACAAAGACCTTACAATGCGAGTATATCTCTCAATTCTTTTCATTTTGAAATAGAGATTTACGTGTGAAATCCACGATTACATAAAATTAAATGTTTTATTAGATGTTTAATTCTTTACAATTTAAGATTTTCCTTCAACTTCCTATAATATTTTATTATAGTTTCATAGACGTGTAAAATGTTAAGTATCGGCTCGGAATTCAGAGCGACCAGGTACAAAATGTCAAAAAATACTAAAAATATGTTTTTTATATTTTGGTATTTTGAAATATACTTTCGACACAGCCAACATCGACCCAACCGCACCCGACAGAGTTATGTTAATTTACATCCACCCGACAGCCAATTTTACATTTTACATGAGAATTCGACCCCAAAAGTGAAATTCGACCCTAAGTACATATCTGTAAGCGCGTAAAACGGTCCTACATACGTATAAACGTAAATGTTAGACAGAATTCAGAGTGACCAACAGGAAATATCAAGAAATATCAAAAAAAGAATCGACAACACTGACGGCCACGTCGGGCCCATTTTTCCTCCCAGAATTCTTTTTGAAAAAGCAAAGCCAAAGTTTTACGTTGGCAAAATCGGCGATAGCAAATTGGTAACGTATACAGCTAACGAGCCGCGAGTTGCGGTAGTGTCGCCTAAGGGCCCTTGTTGCTAGCGTCGCCTTAGACACGTCTTTTTGCAGGGTTCTAAGTCGTCGAGAGGTGCAGCGGTTGCAGCAGGAAAACACTAAACGGAGACAGCCAGATCGACGACGTGCAGAATGAACATCTTTCGGTTCGCTGGGGACTTGTCCCACGTCTTCGCCATAATTATATTGCTCCTGAAAATATGGAAGACGCGCTCGTGCGCCGGCATATCCGGCAAATCGCAGATTCTGTTCGCGGTGGTGTACTTGACCCGCTACCTCGATCTGTTCACCACGTACGTGAGCCTGTACAACTCGGTGATGAAGGTGCTGTTTCTGGCCACGTCCGGTGCCACGGTCTACCTGATGTACGTCAAGTTTAAGGCGACCTACGATCACAACCACGACTCGTTCCGCATCGAGTTCCTCCTGGTGCCGTGCGCTCTCCTCTCGCTGGTGATCAATCACGAGTTTACGGTCATGGAGGTGCTGTGGACCTTCTCCATCTATCTGGAATCGGTGGCCATTCTGCCGCAGCTGTTTTTGGTGAGCAAAACCGGAGAGGCCGAATCCATCACCAGTCACTACCTCTTCGCCCTCGGATCCTACCGCGCGCTCTACTTGCTCAACTGGGTGTACCGGTACATGGTTGAGTCACACTACGACCTCATCGCGATCTTTGCCGGCATCGTCCAGACCATTCTTTACTGCGATTTCTTCTACTTGTACATTACCAAAGTTCTTAAGGGCAAGAAGCTGCAGTTGCCGGCATAAGTGCATTATCCATAATCCACATCATCAGTCCGAGGCATTAACAAGCAAGTGAATATACAGATGGAACGGGGCGAGAGCAGCAGCCAGGCGGTTGACAAAGCGTATTTAGTTCATATATTACAGATGATAAATCAAGCTCGATAAGAGCTCTCCTTAAGTTGTAATTATTTTATGAGAAATAAACCGAAACTCGGAAGTCAAAACTGTCTTGCAATGCACCAACATACATTGAAAATGTTAAATTCTCCGTTTTCCGGCGCAATCCCGAACTTAGCATCCCAGAAAAAAGCATTTCCGGACGCAATAACATTAAATATTTGTAGAGTCGACGGGAACTTTATCCAAAAAACAATATACACACAAGAGGTCATAGATATTCTTGAATAATTTAGACTTTAAATAATATCTATTAAATAGGTTCTAAGCTGACTGTATCCTAATAAAAATCCGAGTAAGCTAAGTCGATGATAACACACATTCTAGACCAGTATCAACCAGCAAAAACTAAAACTAACTTCAGTTGTCACAAATTTTAACGAATTTTAAAACAATGTATTACATTCTTTCCCACACCCTTTTCCTATATAAACAGAATAAAGAATAAATTTAATTGATAGATGATCACTTACCATAACGAATAAAAGCAAAACCTTATGTGGCATAAACAATACTTTTAAAACCTTGAAACTATTACAAGATAATCGTAGTGAAGTACATAAAAATGTTTTCTTTTATTTATTATAGCTGACAAGATACTACCAGAAGCGATTTTTTGAATCGTTCTTTGGTTTCTCTAGCACTAAATAAAGCATTTTGAGAAAACTTAATTTATAATTTGTGGTTTATTATAGGGTTATTATTAGTCATTCAAAATGTGGGTTACAATTTGTTGGATGTTTTTACAACAAAAAAAGGGGTTAATTTTATTTCATTTGCTTTTGTAGAACGCTCCGGAATCTTTTGACTTTTGTTTTAATGGTATTAACATTGTTATTTTTAAATAATAGTAAAGTATTGGTATCGATATCTCCTAGAACACTCTGGTCACTCTTTTATGGAAATCCTGCACAAAATCAAAACAAAATGGGAAAAGGCGGAATTTTAAATTTGTTAATGCTCCAAAGACAAGCTGCAAGGACATTTTTTCAGTTTGGCAAAGCCAAGGGGTATGACGTATCTTCAAGTCCGACTGAAAAATTTTACTAATACTATTATACTTTCAGAGATACGGGCAAATATGTACCAATTGTTGTGCCCGGCAAGGTTTCTCCAGAGCGTAGCGTTCCAGAGGACATCAATAAGCCGCCGTACTATTTCAAGGACATGCCGCCGGGTAATACGCTTGGGAAACCGGAAATAAAGAATGCAGATCAGATCGAAGCCATGCGTCGCAGCGGCAAACTGGCGGCGCAGGTATTACGTGAATGCGGCAAACTGGCCAAGGTGGGCACAACTACCGACGAGATTGACGCCTTCGCGCACGAACGGATTATAGCCGCCAGCGCCTATCCCTCGCCGCTAAGGTATGCCGGCTTCCCCAAGTCCATCTGCACCTCGATCAACAATGTGGCCTGCCACGGTATTCCGGATGACCGGCGGCTGGCCAACGGTGATATTATCAATATCGATGTAACAGTTTACCTAAACGGCTGCCATGGCGACTGTTCAGAGACCTTTCTGGTGGGCGAGGTGGATGAGCAGGGTCGCTTTCTGGTGGAGGCCACCAAATCCTGCCTGGATCAGTGCATTTCGCTGTGTGGTCCCGGCGTTGAATTCAATAAGATTGGGCAGTTTATAGACCGTTACTCTGCGGAACACGGGCTTGAATCGGTGGCCGTCTTCATTGGCCATGGCATCGGCAGCTACTTCCACGGTCCGCCAGAAATATACCATTATCGTAAGATTAAGGAAATTTTTGTTTTGCTTCCCCAAGCTATCATCCCTTATCTTGCAGACAATGAAGTTCGTGGGAAAATGCAGCCCGGCATGACTTTTACCATAGAGCCCATATTGTCCTTGGGCGGATCAGAAGTTGAGGTGCTGGAGGATGGCTGGACGGCGGTTTGCTTGGACGGCGCCCGAAGCGCCCAGTTTGAGCACACTATTGTAGTTACCGAGACGGGAACCGAGATACTCACAAGGGCTTAGGTCAATGGCATCTACGATACATGTACAGGATGAATTTTTATTCTCGACATTGACTATGTTGTTTCTGTGATTCGCATAAAGTGTAAAAGTTTGTGTGTCCAGATATATGGGGCAGTCTTGTGCAGTTGTGTGCCGTATTTTTTTCTTCGTTGGTTGGTGCTCTTTATTTGCCCTGTAAGAAGCTGCTCCTGTTCCATTTAGCTGCATATAGCGTTACTCTTCTGCACCGGCTTCTGTATGGGAAGGAACAGCTTGAATTCGGGCGGTAGTTCGTCCTCCGAGTACAGGCGGTCGGAGAAGTATACTCGACGGATGCGACAGTTGGCGTGTATCTGGACGCGAAGTGTCTCCACATAGTTTGTGCCGTAGGCACGACGAGTGAAGTCGGACAAATTAAACTGGATCTGGTTCCAACCCTCATCTAAACGCATGGGCATTGTGCAAATAAATGGCTTGACGCGAGTGGTCGACTGGTAGTTGCTGGCCCTGAATCTGCGTCGCACGTTTTTGTCATCCAGAACCTTGTACGAAGAAAGAGGAAAGGGAAATTACACTATGGGAAACGCAAAAGCGACTTCCGCAGCTTACCTGCACTTCAAATGTGAAGTATTTCTTCATGTTCTTGATGATCATCACCAAAAACGGCAGCTTGATACCGAGTGTCTTCTTCGGATCGGCCGGGCATGTGATAAACGTGGTGCTGACATTCGTACCGACAATTTCTAGGACGAGACTCTGTATGTCGTTATCGGTGATGCGCTTGATGTGTCCATTGCGCACCTTCTTGTCCCACAGCTGCAGCGGCTTCGACCCAATACTGTACAGAATCGATAGGAATCCTGATTGGAAAGTATTTTTGAACATCTCGCGACTGCTGCAGTGTTCGACCAGCCGATTTAACTCGCAGTATTAATGAAGCCTTCGTTGCCAATTTATATAGGGCCAGCTTAAAATGGCCAACAAAATTTTGCAAAGCCAGAACGTGTACAAGCTACAACATGAAATTCCAAATTTTCATGTCAATAAATTTGTTTAGCATGGCCTCCTGTTTGTTGTCATAACAATGGCCATCGTTCGTTTATGCGATATTTGAAATTGCGAAAACGGCGCGAAGAGTTTCTCTTACGTGAGGAACAATGGAGTAGGCACAGTTATGTGCAGTTTAGTGAGTAACCTGATTATAACCAATTTTATAACGCCGGCATATTTTTATATTAAAATACTATTAAGGATCTCTTTCGTATGGTCCTTTTCTTGAAGCTCTGATTCTAAAAAAAAGGAAAACGAAAGACATAAATGGAACATTGGAATACGACCGATACGTCGGCTATCGATATGTTATTGAGCCAAGTGTCACCACTAGTTGAAGTGAGCATAAAAAAATAGACAGCTAAATAAAACAAATGGCTTCAACATCGAGGTAAAAACATTTCACCACCTTGTAATTGGCACCTTTTTTTGTAATGGTTTCCTCCCGCAGACTCGACAACAACAAGGTGTGCTGCTACGCACACCCCGAATCTCCTCTCATCGAGGACTACAGGGCAGGAGACATGATTTGCTCGGAGTGTGGTCTCGTCGTTGGCGACCGCGTAATTGATGTCGGATCAGAATGGCGAACCTTCAGCAATGAGAAGAGTGGCGTCGATCCCAGTCGTGTCGGTGGCCCAGAGAATCCTTTGCTGAGCGGTGGCGATCTGTCCACCATCATTGGCCCGGGCACAGGCTCAGCCTCCTTTGATGCCTTTGGTGCACCCAAATATCAAAACAGACGTACAATGAGCAGCTCAGATCGCTCGCTGATATCAGCATTTAAGGAGATTTCCTCGATGGCCGATCGCATTAATTTGCCAAAAACAATTGTCGATCGCGCCAATAACTTGTTCAAACAGGTAAGTTGGTTTTAAAAGGTCTAGGGTATGTGATTTAATGTTGTTTCTTTTGTAGGTTCATGATGGCAAGAACCTGAAGGGCCGATCCAACGATGCCAAAGCATCTGCTTGTCTGTATATAGCTTGCCGCCAGGAAGGAGTACCTCGTACCTTTAAGGAAATCTGTGCTGTTAGCAAGATCAGCAAAAAAGAGATTGGCAGATGCTTCAAATTGACGCTGAAGGCCCTGGAAACCAGTGTGGATTTGATTACAACAGCTGACTTTATGTGTCGCTTTTGCGCCAATTTGGGTAAGTGCCACTAACTCTGTGCTCTGCGATACGTTAAATTCTAACGAATACTTTGTTGATTTAGACCTTCCGAACATGGTTCAACGCGCTGCCACGCACATCGCCAAAAAAGCAGTCGAAATGGATATTGTTCCGGGCCGTTCGCCCATATCCGTGGCCGCAGCTGCCATTTATATGGCCTCACAGGCATCGGAGCATAAGAGAAGTCAGAAGGAGATCGGTGATATAGCCGGCGTGGCTGATGTCACCATCAGACAGTCCTACAAACTAATGTATCCCCATGCCGCCAAGCTATTCCCCGAAGACTTCAAGTTCACTACACCAATTGATCAACTGCCGCAAATGTGAACATTTTTTTCCCGTTCCCGATGCTCATTACTAACGCTAACGTTAAGGGGGTAACAAGAAGAACCGTTCTTAATTTAATCACAAAAAATTTACGATTTTATTAAATAAAAAGTTAGCATAACGATAAATAATCAGAGACCAAGCTGAACATAACTCACTTTCGCTGCTGCTGAGTTGAACCCATAAAGTTTTCGAAATTTATTTCCATATATGTATATCATAATAGCTCGCGTCTTTATCTATATATATATATATATGTGTATATATATATATCTTGGTGTAGGCGTTTTGATTATAAGTAAGCTACTAATCCAGAAATAATAATTGCAAACTACGTTTATACGCTTCATATTTGCAAATTTGATTTTGTTTACTTAGAACTTTCTGTTTATACATAGCCTTTAATTATGTGATAGAAATATGATTGAAATAAAAGAGAACTCTACCATAACTTTTCACACGTTCATTTGCAAATATTTAGTGCGTTAAAAACGTAGAGAACTAAGCAGACACAAAGCAAAACGTTTGAAATAAAGATATAAGCGTGTGCTAATAGTAAATGACGAATTATCAGTCGCCAACAACAATAGTTATTGCTGAGTTTAAACAGTGTAGATTTATATAGATAACTAGTCAATAGACAGCGAGCACTTTTCGTCATCGCTGTGGCCCACACACTCCAACGCCGGCCGATGCTCAGAGTCCCACATTCCGGGGCCACACCGCTTGCACAGGCCACTTAAAGTGCACGGTATCTTTGGCAACTGTCGGTATTGGTGGAGCAGACCGCGCGCCTTGCGCAGGATCAGCTGCCCGTCCATGTACATGGCTAGTGAGCTAAAGTGCAGCAGCATCTCGTCCGGCCGCAAATTCTGGGCTATCACATCATCGGCATAGACGGCAATGATCGCCAGGCAAAGGAACAGGTGGAAGTAGTCGGTCAGGTAGTTTGACCAGCACGCCTCCCACATCCGAATGACGACGGCTTCGGTGAACTCTCGCTTGAAGCAGAGTAGGAGCCATCGGTGACAGAAGAGTAGCTCCATGGAGTCGTTGTGCTGGCCCAGGTGTTCGTAGAAGCGCGGCAGCATCACCCTGATCAGCTCGCGCAGATAACTAAGGTTGTGGTCCACATCCCGGTCGGTTGGAGTGCACACGAAGAACGCTCGCTGCATCAGTCCCACGAAGCACCAGAAAGTCTCCGACTCATTCTGCACCTCGCATAGCACTGGGGCTAAGAGATCACTCATACCCTGAAAGACATTATAATGTGACATGCCTTCCAGTGGAACGGTTTCAATTTGGAGCAGGAATTCCTCTTGTACGTACCTGAGAATAGGACATCCCAGTATTGTAGACAGCAAAGTTAAGCAGAATATTTTTCATAACCTCAGTGTTGGGGTTATCGTCACCACAGAAAAAGGGATTCGTGCGATCCGTCCGCACCACATCCTTCTCAACCACACACTGAACTGTCTTCCAAAAATGAATCTGCTGTTCTGGAGACATGGAGTACAGGCGTTTTCGCGTAATCTCCTCGTACTCCTGCCGTTTAATGTCCATCAATACAGCTCTATCCTCGAAGGTGGAGGAGAATGAATAACATTTCAAGAGGAAAGGCCACACGGTCTTGCGCAAGCTCTTCTCGAGGCCGCCGAAGAACACACACTTTCGAAGCAGTAGATCGTCCTCAATCTGTCCCTTCTCGTTGAGAAGTGTTCCATAAAAGAAGTTGGTGGTTATCTTCTTGACATCCCCTCATCCGGGTGCATCTCAGATTTTTTAACCTCCGGCCGACAGACCATGAAATGCCTGTATGGCAAATCAAACTTGTCCTGGCCCGTTTCCGATGTGATGTTGTGTAGGAAGCAGTGCCATTGATGCAGAACCTGGGCCAAATGGTCCAAGCCGCCGTAGTGAAAATGGAGTATTTTGTACTGCGATTCCCGGGAGGCAATCACCAGCTGACCGGATGTGCAGTTGTCATCGTTGAAGAAGAGACGTAGCGAACGCATTTGGCTCAGGTCCACGGAAAAGTGCCGGCACTTTAGAGCAGATTTTTGGCGATCAGCCGGTGTGGAGTTACCACTGTCCGGGAACTCCAAGTTATGCTGAAAGGCTAGGAGCTCCGGAGTGGTCCACTTGGGGTTCTCGGCTGCTGGTCCCTCCCCAACTCCATTAGGATTTGGTCCACTCGCACAATCGCCGCAGCCATTTCCATCTGTCGTCCGAATGGTTATGCAGTTGAACGACTGCGATATATTACTGTTTTCGATCTGAGGATTTGAAATCGTTATGTTCACCGATGTGATGGGGTTATTCTTCAGCAGCGCAGTCAAGTCGTCTATGGATGCGGCCTGACCTCCGAGCAAAGGTTGCAGCTCATTCTTTAGCTCCTGCATTTCCGCCGCGTTATCATCTTCCTCTCGGATGTCCTGCTCTTGGATCGTCTGGGGTATGGTCACGTGACAATATCCGTTTCGAGATTCCGGCGACGACTGGGCTCTCGATTTACACTGATCATCAGTGCTCAGGTTGGTGTATTTACATAGCGAAGAATTCGGTATCCAGGTGAGGAGCAAAGTTGGACGCTTCGCGCTATTATACTGGTCTACAAAGGTCTTTGTGGTGCACGTCAGGTATCCCGGATTGTGCAATATATCGGACTCATCCCGCGCTATGGTTGGTGGATGAATGCAAACGTTATTCTTGCAGAAGAGTATTTCGTTGTCCTCGTAAGAGATATCGATTTTTTTGTCCAACCTTTCGTCACCTAGTATGTAGCTAGATGCCTTCTTGATAATACTTCCAATGGGCATTTTTAAATGATTCTTGAGCGGGATTGGTAGTTGTTCAACGTAAAAACGATTCCTTTTCGAATTAATATGTGTTTTCAGTCGGGGCTGGGAACGGGTCCTGCTCTGGTTAGCTTTTGATTTTGTTGTTAAATCTGGTTTGGTAATGGCCGTTGGTTACCATTATTCTGGGTGTTATGTTTGATGCATCGATGCGACTATTTTATTTTTGCTCCATCCAAAGGATTAACTAAATGCAAAAGGTAAATTTTGCCGTCAGCGAATTCGCAGAAAACAGGATGACATTGGAGGAAAAGAATTTGGTAGGGAATTAAGCGCAGGCGCAGTTGGGAAAAAAAAGGGGTTTCGATATTTAAGGCAAAAAATTTTAAAAAATTCATTTAAGTAGAATATAAGTTTTTAAAATATAGTTCTTCTATATTATTTAAAATAAGAAAGGCTTAAGAACAATTTAACTTAAAGGAAATACCTGAAAACGGATACATTTTTTACCTAATAACTAATAAGTGTAAATATAATACATAAATTAAATGAATTATATAATACATAAATAAAATTAAATGTAATTATAAAATGCATTTAAAAAACGACACAAACGTAAATTTAAAAAACGTAATAATTTAAAATTGAAACATTTTGGAATTGAAACATGAAGAATCGGTTGGCCGATATTTTTCTGCCCATCTCTAAGGTAAATAGAATCAATAAACGTGAAAATATTTACATTTCTTTTTTGCCGATTTCAAGTAACTAATATGGCAAGCAAGCGGAAACACACTTCAGTTGAGAAAGATGCATCTTATAAAAAACACACTCTGGACTCGGATGAAGAAGATTCAGACGACTACGAGCGGTAGGATTATAAACTACATTTGTTTTGATTGTTGTTGTTTTACTTCTTATTTTGTACACAGGGAATATCTTAATGATAGCGATATTGAAGGCGGCGAGGAAGGAGTGGCTAAGGAGGTCGACGATGTTAAGGTGACGCCTTTTAATATGAAGGAAGAGTTGGAGGAAGGCCACTTTGACAAAGATGGCCACTACCATTGGAACAAGGAGACGGAGGCGAAGGACAATTGGTTGGACAACATCGACTGGGTTAAGGTAGGTGGTACTATTGCATGGTATTTGCAATGTATTTCAAACACTTATTGATTTGCAGATTGGCAAGCAAAAGAATGCCTTCGATCCCGCCAAAGAAGACCAGAATTCCAACTCTTCTGATGATGATGCACTAGTGCCCGCGGACAAGGCCTTTAATCTGTCAATGAATCTAATGAAAATGTTGGAATTTATGAAGGCAGGAGAGACTGTTAAGATGACTTTGCAAAGGCTTGGAAGTCAACGCCCCATCCTGACCACGCTTCAGCGAATTAAGCAGAAAAAGGCAGGCATTGTGGATACAAAGACGCAGGAAATCTCCCAACTCACCGAGCTGGCCAACGAGATTCTCTCGAAGACTGGCAACATGGATATCTACGAAGAGACCTTTGAAAACATTAAGTCCAAGCTAGCCGACCTGCCGGGTAGCAGCAAATCGAAACCAGCCGATGATATTGACATGTACGCAGATGATTTTGAAGCCAAGGAGTCCGAGCGATCAAAGGCCCCAACAGAGGCCGCCCCTTCATCTAGCCCTCCGGAGCTGGCGTGGGAATTCAAATGGTCACAGAACGAGACTGAAATACAAGGCCCTTTCACTACAGAAAAAATGTTGAAATGGTCCAAAGAGAATTACTTTAAAAATGGAGTCTATGTGCGAAAATGTGGTGAAAACACAAACTTCTACTCCAGCAATCGGATAGATTTTGATTTATATTTGTAAATTGTAATGTACATAAATCGTTTCCTGCATTTTTTTGCAGCTAAATAAAATAAGTCATTTTGCGGAATTATTTAATTGTAAAAAAAGAAAGGAAGTTCGAAAGTTAAACTGCTATAACTAAGTCAAAAATGCATGAATTTCAATTTGGAAAGCTTTTCTCTGCTAGATTTTATAGGGTTAAAACATCTGCAAATTTAGTTTAAAATTTTTTTAATTTCATTTTTTTGTTTAATTTTTGACAATTTTAACAATGTTGGCCCTTATAAAATTAAAAAAAAATTCGTAAATTTATTTTTCTACCAGACATAGCTAGGTCGACTCGGCTTTTGATGCTGATCAATACTGTACTGTACTGTTTATAGGGTCGGAAATGATTCCTTCACTGCGTTGCAAGCTTATTAAATAAATTATAAAAGTCAGACGGGTAAATAAATTAAAATGTTAAAGTTTAATATACTATCGCTCTTCGGAACCCGATACCCGATACCGATACCAAGTGGCGATAGCCACCAGCTTTCGTGCTTCTGCAACTGTAGGCAATCGATTAACACGGCCGAAAATTGTTTTATGTTTAATTAAAGGCAGCTTTGATAATGCAAGTTATATTTCGTGGAGTGGTGAGCGTCAAGTAAAGTGCAGCACCCTAATCCGATTGCCTGATAGGACTTCGCCCACTGTGGACGCAAAACCAATTGCCCAGCCGCTGGAAAAGAACCAGATACCTAGTATTTCGTCAGGGCCTCGGTGCATCGAAAAGAAAAATAGAATTCTGGCCTAGTCGCAACAATTGCCAGCATGACGACCAAGCACACATATTCTACCACTAATTTCTCGGACCAGCAACTGAAGGAGCAGGGCAACTGTCTGTTTGCAGCCCGAAAATATGACGACGCAATAAACTGCTACTCAAAGGCCATCGTAAGTGGCGTGTAATAGTAGTGTATAGCAATGTACATAATGTTTACATTGGCTGCAAACTCTATGCTCCCTATGTGCGATTTTGCAGATAAAGAACCCCACAAATGCTACCTACTTCACGAACCGCGCCTTGTGCCACCTGAAACTGAAGCGATGGGAGCTGTGCTGCCAGGACTGTCGGCGCGCCTTAGACATTGATGCAAACCTGTTGAAGGGGCACTTCTTCCTAGGTCAAGGACTCATGGAAATCGACAGTTTTGACGAGGCCATAAAGCACCTGCAACGCGGTTAGATAATATGACCTGAAAGTAATTTAGAAACTAAAATAATCGATATTAATTGCAGCTTATGATCTGTCGAAGGAGCAGAAACAAAACTTTGGAGACGACATTACATTGCAGTTGCGATTGGCTCGCAAAAAACGTTGGAATGTCTTGGAGGAGAAGCGGATACATCAGGAAATTGAACTGCAGAGTTATTTGAACAGGTAACAATTGTTTACAAATTCTAAATATTATGATACGGTGTATGTTTATTGGTATTACTGTTACCGTAAAAGAAGCACTGGAGCTCTCTGAGTATAATTAAGCTATTGTGTTCACAGATTAATAAAAGCTGACATGGAAAATCGGTTGGCACATTTGAAACTAAATGAAAGCTTGCACGAAGAGCAGTTGAAAGATAAACAGCAAGAAATTGAACAAGAATGTGTAAGTACCTATTACTGAAGTGCGGAAAATAAAATAAATTGTATTTATTCTAGGACGACCATGTTAAGGAACTAAACAATATCTTTTCAAAAGTTGATGAACGTCGAAGGGTAAGTAGGAAAATTAGCCATTGTGCAGTGAGTAATTTAATTTACGATTGATTTAAATATTGAAAACAAGTAATGAAATACACAAATAAAATAAAACTAACTTGCATGTTTCAGAAACGCGACGTTCCCGACTTTCTATGTGGCAAAATAAGCTTTGAGATATTAACGGATCCTGTGATAACACCATCTGGAATTACCTATGAGCGTAAGGACATTGAAGAGCATTTACAGCGGGTTGGCCATTTTGATCCTGTTACACGCGTCAAACTCACCCAGGATCAATTAATACCAAATTTTTCAATGAAGGAAGTCGTTGACTCTTTTATTGCCGAGAACGAATGGTCTTTAGACTACTAAGTGAAAAATGACAAACATAAAAGAAACCCTATCATTGTAATTGATCTAGCTGTTAGAACCCAGTTCCCATTGTCTAAAAACATTATAATTAGTGATAATAAAAGCGGATATGCCACTGGTTGATTGTAGTTGTCTTGTAAAGTAAGAATTTACTTTATATTTTATTATTACCGGAATTATTTTATTTTCCTTTCCCACATATATTTTTTTAACGTGTATCTTTATAGATAAGCTATAAAAATGTATTAAAAAAATTTTAATTGTTTCGGACAAGAATAATTCCGTTCCGTAAAAGTGGCGCTATCTTGTCAAAAACAATCGATAACAAAACTACAAAAACAAAACCGATAGGGGCACAATCAAAATAATTTGTAAACAATTTTCATTACATTCTGATTAGCTATCCAATTTTGCATTAATTTGCTTAAATTTACAATGGACTATTCTCAAAACCAGTCCCAGTTGTCAATCGATAACTCGGATCAAGATTTTCGAATCCTTTCCTTGCAAGAGCTGATCGAAAAGAATATTGAGATAGGTAAGTAGCCGGCACAGCCACTATAAGACCGCCGACCCAATATCAATTATTATCTGCTTGCTTTGTTTTCTTTATAGAGCAACAAATTGAAAGTAGCTCATTTGGCGAATCGTTAGAGGCAATTGACCATATTATACAAAGAGCCGACGAAATTATCAAGGGGCAGGAGGATCGCCGCGTCCACTCTACGGAACTTGTTCTGGACACGGAGCTGCTGAGTCGCAATCACAAAGTTGTTGGCAAGGCCATTCAATATAACACTAACATTACGGATCGCATTGTCCAAAATGCAATTGTAAGAATAAGACTTTAGGAAATGTTAACTAATAAATTGTGTAATACTAGTATAAACGATCCACAGAATCAGCTGGTTTTCAAGGAGAACGAAGAGGACTGGGAGTCTGTTTGTGCCTTGGCCGTTCAATTCGGTAATCCTCATTTCACCAGCGACAGCATGCTGCCCTTCATAGACGTAGCGCCCAAGGAGCACATTCCCAAACAGCGTACTCAGCGTAAACAGAAATCACAGGTAAGTAGGAGATATTATGCTCTGATTTTATAAGTAAAGTACTACTCTTTCAGGTTGAGGAAAAGCGCCCGAAAAAAAGTGATAAATTGGAGCGTAAGGACGAAGGTTCTGCTTCAGTCAACAATGCTTTAAGACAAATCAAACATTTATATAGAGAAGCCAATGAGCCGATTCCATACTTCAAGTTAATTTGCAACCCAAACAATTTTATGGAAACTGTGCAAAATGCATTACAAGTTTCCTTTCTGGTCAAGGAGAATATGATTGGAATTAAAAATGGCAGCGATGACGGTTTACCTCTTGTTTATGTCGTTGACAATCATAAAGCCCTCGCCGATAAGGACCCATCACAGGCAATTTGTTCCCTAGATGTTTCCTTTTGTGAAGTATGTACCATAATCTTTTTGTAAACATTAAAAAGACATTTAATCCTTATGTTTTGCTTTTACAGAAAATGATTAATCATTACAAAATTCAAGAGCCGATGCTGAAAAGACTGAATGATAGTTAGTTAGTTATAGTTTTCTATTTTTGTTTTAAGAAATTAAATCTATGACTTCTAATCGTTTTTTTAATAAAGATGTTCGGTGTAAATGTATTGTTTTCATAAACTAGTAGGATGTTTTGTACTTGTGCCCTTTTGCAGAAGTGTTCAATGACTATTTATCAGCAATTGAAACATGTTTAATCTTAATAGAATATGTTAAATTAATAAAGTTAAAGTGTAGATGTGCTTTAAAAAATCAAGGGCAATCACTATCAGATTATCCTCGCTACCGAATCACTATCCCTGTAGATGTAAACAGTGGGGAGGCCCCAGACAGAATGAGGACGGTGCGGCGCAGTGCCTGCATTTATAGTCTCCAAGTAAAGAGAACAGAGAAAGAGAATGCTAGAGAGAAAGCAATATCTGGCAGTGAGAGATAGAGAGATACACAGAGACATACGGCATCAGATAGAAACAAAGAGAGCGAAAGAGACAGAGAGTTAGAGATATATATAGAGAGACAGAGAAATAAAGAGAGAGAGAGAAAACTATTCACTGCCATTACAATATTATATTATTACAAGAACGGAAGATTTTGACACCCTTACAAATATAAATACAATATAAATTATATTTATTTATATCTACATATGTATAGGTTGATTCTAGCATCAAATGTGCGAAATAGAAAGCTCTACCAAATATATTACTTTCCACATTTGGGTTATGGAATGCGCTCCACATTAATTTAAAAATCACTCCTAAGCTAGAAAAAAGTGTTTTTTTTTGGCGGCTGCACAGTGTTGCCATTAATTGAATTCCGTTAACTTAATTACACAAAGAAGAAATTAAGATTAATTAAGATTTATTGCGCCGAATAGCTTAGGGTTAATTGCATTTGTGTGGTCGACGGAGTTTAAAAGGCTTGGTGTTTAATAAAAGCTTGATAATGATAGCAGTAGTAGTGCAATGCATCTATCTATTGAAACTTTTGATATATTGTACTTACACTTGCTGGAAGCACCAGTGACCTAGCTCTACAGATTTATACACAGATTGTTGAGATGTGGCGAAAAGACTAGAGCTTAAAACTGAGCGAAGTTAGATGCAATCATTATATAAATAAATAAAACAAAAATGAAGATTTATTACTCCGTATCAGCACACACCAACGAAAACGACCCAATTAATAGAGCCCCAATCTTGAAAATACATAATTAATGATGATGCAGAAGCGAAGTTTAAATATAACTTTGCCAAGTTTAACTTTTTATAAGGGAAATAGAAAAAGAAGTTGTGTGCTTTATTATTAGTATTATTAAAAAGGGTTAAAAGGATGGTTTAAATTATAAATAAATTGTAGAAAATGCTAGAGAAGGGATCAGGGCTAGGTCTAGAATCAGGTGTGCTAGCTATGCATTTATTTTTCAATCAGTTCCCTTTTTGTCATGGACCCCATTACTTTATAAAAATTTAAAGTGATACAGCAATTTTGTATTTACAAACGTATACCAAAAGTTAACAGCGTTATTGTAATATAAATTATTACCAATTATGGATTTTTTACCTATGGGTCCAACTTTTGCTACATTATTATACCCTTTCAGGGTTTTTAATTTCAGTCAGAAGCTTGCAAAGCAGTGAAGGAGTCGTTTCTGACCCTATAAATCATATATATTCTTGATCAGCATCAACAGCTGAATCGATCTAACTATCTCTGGTTGGAAAAAAATTTTGGAAATTTTTTTCGGTTTTTGCAAAAAAAGATAAGGGGTTAGTTACGTCGTTAAAATTGTCAAAAATTGGAATTTTTTAACATTTTAAATTGAGTATGCAGCTTTTTTGTCCTATTAAAAACTAGCATAGGAAAGGTTTCCGAATTGAAATTAATAAATTTTTGGCTTAGTTATGACTTTCTTCAAATTTGATTTATAAACAACATTGTCCTATAAAATATATATATTTATCGACTCTATGAATGGTATTATAAGTTTAGTCAGAAGCTTGTAAAACTGTGAAGGAGTCATTTACGACCCCATAAATCATATATGTATATTCTTGATCAGCATGAACAACCGAATCGATGTAGCTATGTTTGGGGCAAATTTTGTTTGTATTATTTTTTTTTCAAAATTTTTAGTCGTTAACATTGTTAAAATTTTACCAAAAGTTGAATTTTTTTTAAATTTAAAAATTAGTATGCAGATTTGTTAATCCTATTAACACTAACATAGAAAACCTTTCCGAATTACATTTTTTGCATTTTTGGCTTAGTTATGATACCAACAGAAAAGCTTTGCAAATTAAGATTTTGAATTTAATTTAATCAAAATTCTTATATTGACTTTGATAATTCTAACTAGCAATAAAAAATTTAATAATAAGCTAATTGGAAAATATCACCCGTAAAATTATAAACAGATGGACTCGTCCCATAGATTTCCCCAAAGATCAAACATCTTCAGGACTATATAAATTTCTCACTTGTTTGTGAGGAAGAGCTTAATTCCGGGCTCTGGGCTCTGCTAAATTATAACCAATTTCGGCTCCATAAATTTCATTGGATTACTTTTGCATTAAAGCGTTTGCGTAATGTTCGAATGTACATTTGTTCTCGCATTGATGATGTTTAGCTGAAAGCTACATAAAGTTACATTCATGCATACATATGCATAGACATCACCCACATTGTTGTAACTCACCCGCGCTAGAGTCGCACAGTTGCGGTCAATTTCACAAGGTTGAAGAAAAAATATAAATATTTAATGTACATTAAATTACGGTTTTCTTTAGACATTATTGTTATGTAAGTATATTATGTGATGTGATTAACTATTACTTCAATATAGTATCATTGATATTAATACTGTAACACTAACCGGAAGTCAGTAGAAAGCATTAGAACTGTAGGCTAATAAATAAGAAAAAGGAATCCAATTTTAAGTTTAATCAAATTGTAAATTAAAAATTTCTGTACACCTAGAACACATTATTAAATCTTCTTAAATGTTTCTAAACTTTGTTATCGTTTTTCATTTTCTGAAAGCTCCCATTTTGGCTCGTGCTGTACACACGCACATATCTGTACGTACGCACATTTGGCTCCAGACTTTTGGTTTTGGGTGGCGTTGGCAAGCGACGCGTCGAGGCAATGCCACCCCGCCGCTCCTCCGGGAGCTCCAGAGACCTCTGGTGGCACTCAATCGGATCGCCAGAGCTGCGCTGATGCTTGCGGCGCGCTCTGCCTTCAACACTTCTGTGTTCGCAAAGCCGCTTTCCCGAAATTTTCAATTCGGATTTCAGTTCGGATTTGAGTAGCACACGATGAAGACGACCGGGACAGCTTCAGTTAATCCAGAATAAATATAGTGCAGTGATACACGTCGGTTGCAACATTCAACAAAATCATGCGAAATATTAACACGGATATTAATTAATTAAAGTTAAAGCCAATTCAAGTTCCTGGGATTTGTGAAATTTATCCCATGCCCCCACTCAATAATTTGTGAACTTTAAATCGCATCCCCGATGTTCTTAAAAATGTGTCTTAGGAATTGTTTTCAAAGATATAATTACGTTTAATTGCACTTACCGGACGTAAGAGTAATAAAAGAAGAAAATTTTTAAGTGAACCTTATAAGAGCCGAAATAAAAAGGTATTTTGATGGATGACCTTTTGAATGACGCTCCACATCCTTTTGTTGTCTCTCACAATTAAGTTTGAAGTTTGAAGTCAGATGTCGGGCTGTGAATAAAGGCTTAATTGCTTTTTCAGAAAAGTGTGTAGATTTGAGTTTTCTTTTTCGAAATGTGCGTGTGCCGTGTGTGTGTTTTGGGACAAATCAATTTACCTCTCTCACATATTGAGCCATTACCCGCACCGATCACTCAAGTACTGAATGCATAATGAAAGAAAGCCCACTGTTGACGGAGGAGGTTTCCATTCCCATAACCCTAAATTACATTATTTTGCATGCCTTAAACGTGGCCACGTAATTGCAGTCATTTAGCTTTAGGATCGAACGGATAATAATACCCCCGGCCTCGGAGATGTCCAAATCTGATCCGAATGGTGACACAGATACCAGTATTTCACGCCACATTCATAATTATGTATCTATGGCGCTATCTATGTATCCTATTTAAACAAATCCATATGTTCGCAGGCATAAATTTCAAAATATTCTCCCCCTTTTTATTTTTGCTAATTGCGGAAGTTTCACATAATATTGTTAGCTCGCAAGTGTGAATGACGAAATACAAGACGGCGCGAAGAATATGACATATGTATCAAAATATTTTCGGTTGGCTTCCTATGCGCGGCTGATTGAAGATTTTCCAAACACTTCAGTTTAATGCAAGTTCTTCATAATATCCGCGCACTCTTTGAATTGAGTGCCTCGGCCTGGAGTTCAGTGGCGTGCTGAAGTGCTAATGCCATCCATTGCACCACCACGTTTTGTGGTATATGTTTATATGGGCAAATGCAGTTTCATATGCATAGATATAGGCCCAATATGGGCCTATTGACACAGATAAGTATGGAAGAGTACATTGTGACATTAAGAATTTCTATACCCCATACGCGTACAGTTCTCAAATAGGGTATATTGCCTTTTTACCCCGATCTGTGTCACTGGCAAAAAGCACTTTCGACTTTCCACTCAAACTCGATGGGGCCAAAGAAAAGCCTAAATCGTAAAGCCCTAGATGGTTCTATTAAAATGTCTTAATCTGTTTTTATTAAGTGAAAAAGAAACTCAAATATGAATCCTTTCAAACAGATTTTGTAAGACTTAGCTTATTTAAAAAACTTTCCTTCTCTATGCAAAAATAGACTTAACAAAATCGATTTTATAATCGACAGAATCAAAGCCTATCTCAGCATTGTTAAACTGTATTTTTTAGCTTGATATCACCTTTATTTAAATATATATAATATTACTTTTTCGCATACGTATACGCAATATGTGTGAGCAAGCACATATAGTAAGTATATACATTTTTGTATCGTATGTACGATCATAGAGTTCCAAAAAGTAGAGTGGGTGTGGAGGCATCTAATGAAATACGCCCTTCCCATTTTCGTTCACGGATGTTGTGGTGTATGCTGCCCGAAAGTACATCCATTCCAGTCGAATAGTCACGGTCGGTTTACTCGTAATCAATGGATATATACATATAATGGAACTTGAGTTCCTCTGTGCGAGTTTGCTAATACAAAGCCTCAGAATGCGTACAGGCGAAAAACATTGAAGATCGCCCAAAACGATTAGAGAACATACATATTTAACAAAAATAAATGATATGTGTGTAAATACATGTACATGGAATGTGTCCCAAAAGTTTGGGAATTTTTCCCCAATATAAAAAAAAACATTGCTGGCATTTTTGTAGACTAATATTATAGTCAGACTCTTAATGACTTCTGTGATTCTCCAGGGATTCTGCTTTATTTTATATTTCTAGGTTTGAAAATGGCAAAACTCTTCGTAATATTCAGGTAAGAACAGTTTTTTCACAACTCAATTATTTCAATTTTTTTATCAATCTAACTTTAAGTTGTTTATGGAATTTTTCCAAAGTAAAAACAAAAACATGAACCCAAAAAAAAGTGGGAGGAGCGGCGATCTCTTTCAGCTGCATTTAATCAAGATTTTTGTTCTTTTGCCGCCGCCGAACAGTGACTCGTTTTCAGAAAAGATTTTGTAATTTGTGGAGCTCATAAGCTAATTTTTCAGGCAACAAAATAAAAAGTATTTTTGTTAAAAGGAAACAACCTAATTTGTTTTCTAATTAAGAACTCACTTACACTAACTGAAAATGATTGCATTACTTTTAAATGGTTTAAAACATCTATTAAGCGTGTTAAATTTAAAATCTTTTGTAAAAACTATCTTAATTTATATGTTTTCTGTATTGTTTTACTTTCAGTATTCTTATCATCCTTGCATCAATACCCGATACTCGTTTCGTAAAGGCGGAGTTATCCACTAAAGAACGAATTAAGGTTAGTAGCTTTATTTTTGATTTAGAAATAAATATAAAAGAAAATCGGTGAGCCTAAGCGACGGAATTTTTAAAACTTCCTTTGCAACTTAAAAAGATTCTTATCGTTATATTAAAACCCGCACTTAAATAATTTATAGCTTATAAATTATGATTGCCGATTGTAATATTGTAAAGCGTCTTGTAAAAAATCTTGGGTCAGAGGACCGGCTATAAAGCTCTTGGCAAATTCGTCCCGCTCCGCCGACATTGATAAGCTATGAATTCGAAAACTATATACCAGATGACGTATTACATATTTTATGGCTTGCTAATCTAGTTTTTATGTCGTTAATTCTTTTATTTGTATGCCATTGTAATTACCATAAATATTTCTTGATAGTAGAAGTCCCTGCTAATGGCGCCTGAGGTTTTCGAAATTTCCAATTATATACAACTCTAATTATAATCGCTCTAAGCTTAAACATTTCCAGTGACTCAAACACTTGCTAAAGAATTTTGTTTGCCTATACAATAATTTGGGGCTATATAATTATTCAAATATTTCTTTTATTGACATTAATCACGATTTCAATTTTTCGCGTTTCATGTTAATTGAAGATAGGCCTAGGATGACGCAACTGTTTCAATTAATTTTGTCTTTTCCAACTGGGAACTTTTAATGGGTTATAAATTAATATTACACTGTCTGGATTTACACATTAATAATATACTTTCCCTATACTTATATATAGAAACATCAAGAGTGGCTGAAAGAGCATCGAAAGCCAAAGGCGCGAAAGGTGCAACCGACCAACTCATATTATGAACTGGCCAACTTGTGGCACACACGAAAGAATATATCCCTTAAACAGAAACCGAGTAACAAGAACGATTACCTGGAAAACGAGACGATTAGTAAAGTATCAAACCAAACCGATCTTATAGTATTAAAGCCAACGATATTATTAATAAATGGTACAAATCGCAATGATGTCTTACCATCTACCCCCAATCCGGAGACAACAACATTGGCAACAGCATTGAAACCAACTGAAAGCAGCAATATTGAGACGACAAAACAAACTCCAAGTGTCGTAGAGGAGGTCTTCTCCTCCCCAAATCCGATGAGAGTAATGACCACAAAGAAGCTGAGGAAGAAAGTGTATCCATATCCACGGTGGGATAAGTGGAGTACCTGGAGCGAATGTTCGCGCAGTTGTGGCGGAGGCGTGAGGTATCAAATGCGAAAATGCATTAACCGGTGAGTTGTGACACTGTAATGTATTGTTTTAATTTTTTATCAGAGATTTAACAGGACCACTCGGGCATTAGTCTTAATAAAATCACCTAAATTAGGACCTAGGAACAACATTTCCCTTTTAAATGTATTGTACTTAAAGGTGTTTATATTTTGCAGATCTATTTTTATAGATATTTTTATTTTACTTTTATATACTTTTTCTTTATATTTTTAATTTACTTTTAATGTATTTTGATTACAGAAACCCCACAACAAATAATCAGCTTACGAGTAATGCCTGTGTGGGTTACTTTAAGCGTTATCAGCTTTGTAATGATGTTCCCTGTGATGGACAATCTCCGGATTTTCGAGCTTCTCAGTGTACGAGTTACAACGATATAGAGTTTCATGGTCACCGATATACGTGGGAACCGTATATAAAGGGTTGGTTCTATATATTATTAACCTTTTAAGAATTAGAATGTATCATGTTTTGATGTTTTATTTATAGTAACGTTCGAAATAAGTTACATATTTATATATTTTTTATTGTTAGATGATGCTGAATGTGAACTAAACTGTATGCCATCTGGAATGAAATCGTTTGCCACACTTAATGAATCCGTAATCGATGGCACGCCCTGCCGACATCCAGCGGAATACTACAGATCGCACCTTTGGAGCCGTGCTGTGTGTGTTGATGGTGCTTGCAAGGTGATTAAATATATCCAAAGTAAATCATTTGGTTTGCCCAATATCAGAGCATTATTCAGATTACATTTTATTTGATTTCCAAGAACTATAAAAGCCCCATTTACTTAGTTAAAGTATTTTTTTGTAGTTAGAAAATTGTGTTTAAATCCGTTACGTTTTAATATATTCAAAGCCTGATAAATACAAGTTCATCTTCATCATTATCATAATAGTAATCATAAACTTTTGTAGCCTTAATTTATTTAAATTTTTAAATATTTGTTTTCAAACCTTAAGTTTTCATAGCAACCCACGAATTAAAAATATCAATTATCCATTTCCATACGCAGCAACTAAAGCAACGATCGCATATTAAAAAGCACTAATGGTTTTTCTCATTCTACAATATTATTAAAGCTTTTTTAAGTACAAGAATCGCAGCGAATTCTTAGTATCGATCGAGCATTGAATCATAACGCACACGAAATTCGCAGTGATCCGTAAAAGTACAGAATTTAAAGGATTCTAAATTTTCTTTGAAGACTTTAGTTACGTTTTTGGACATCCTTTTTATCCTTTGTTTTTTGCTATAAACTAAATCAAGTAAACTTTTGGAATAACTTGGCAAAAGCAGTTATAGATTTTCTCGTGTTTCAGTTCATTTTCCATATGATTTTGTAAAAAATTAATCCTAATATTAAACAAGTTTCTAGTCATTGGTTTTGTTCTTTATTTTCCTATTATGACTTTAAAAATTGAAAATCTATTTTATTAATTGCTTCAGTGTTCAGTATTTCAAATGTTTTAATCTTACCAAACGTAATATTTAAAATTGGTTCTTGAGAACGGGATTAGGTCAACAAATCAAATGGGAAATAATTTTCGTGAAAGTAAAAACTGGAACGCGTCCAATGAGCTTAATTTCAATGAATTATTTTAGTAAACACACATTGCCGCTCAGTTGTGCGTACGAAAACAATTTTTTATCGAACATATGCCCTCTTAATACCACTGAATGTATATTTGGTACACTCGTTTTATTTTGTTTATCTTGATCTCTTAATAAGTGGCTAATAAATAATGTTTTTGCAAAGCCCAAAGAATTTCACACAGATCGCTTTACCGTGAACTTAGTATAGATTATATATAGAAAATGTTTACTTGTTTATAATAGCTGGAAAGTCCTTCACATTATTTAATAGAACTAAGCCGGTTTAATATTTTATCATTAGGAATAAGGAGAAACTTAATTATTTCAAGGTAGACACATGTTGAGAATCATAGTATTACTATGGCTGGTAAGTAAAAATGGGTTATTCAGCTGAAATTCAATTTAGTAAAACGTAATTGGTTCTGATTTTCTTACCACAAAAATCGAAACTAATTGTAGGCCGTCCATGCCAGTGGTGACATTGATGGATTGTATGCCCATAGCGGCTCCGTGAGCTGTGGAGGATTGTTGTGTCGACCTGTCACGGGAATCTTCACGCGAGATCCCCTGCCGGATCATGCCTATGTACACGTCACAACCCTACCTGTCGGTGCCTCCAATATTTCGATTACGGAACTTAAAAATAGCATCAACTTGCTAGGTAATGCTTTGCTCAGATATTTGATTAAGAAAATATATATATTTCATGTTGTAAAACCCCTTTTTATTTTGCGGTCCAAGTCCTGCGAACTTCCAAGGACGACTCTATATTTAATGGCGAGAATGCGGTTTCGGAGAGTGGATCCTATGAAGGCGTTGGTGCCACCTTCGACTACCATCGAATCGATGGAGCACATGATAGCAATGGAGTTACCGAATGGATAACAAGTATTGGACCCATTAGGGAGTCGCTGCAACTTATGGTATTTCAAATTCATTCAGATATAATTATAATTATTGTATTATTCGAAATCCATATTAAGGTTTACACCAAAACGTCCAACAATACTGGCATCAAGTACGAGTACATGCTACCAATTATTTCCGAATCGGAGGAGAACGAAATGTCCCTGGAGAGCAGTGACGGGCTGTTGAGGTCCGGCACGGAGGACACCAGCTCATCGAGCAGCTCCCGAGGCACTGGTCGCAAACGTATCTTTAATTGGAAGGTAATTGGCTTCAGTGGCTGCACCAAGTCCTGTGGCGGCGGCACCCAGACACCCATCATCCGGTGCATTCGCAAGAACCCCATGCGCTACTACTCCCAGCGCCGTTGCATGCACTCCGTGAAGCCCGTGCTGAACGAGAACCTGCTGCACTGCAACACGCAACCCTGCCCGGCCTACTGGCGCTTCGACGAGTGGGGCGAGTGCCGGTGCCTGAGCAGCGGTGCATTCCGGCGACGCGAGGTGAGCTGCGTCCAAGAGCTGGCCTCCGGACTGGTCATCCATGTGGATAAGGCTGCCTGCATGGAGGACCAGCCGCCCACACAGAAGCAGTGTGAGTGTCCCAAGAGTAGTCGTCGTCGCAACCTTGCCCGATATCGCCTGCAGGGCAATAGTAACTTCGACTCGGCGAACTCAAGTACCCAGGTGAAGCGGAGCAAGATCGATGGAACGACGGCTGTGAATGCCATCTGGTTGATGTCCGAATGGAATCAGTACTGCTCGGTGACGTGTGGATCCGGGATCGAGTATCGCACCGTCTTCTGTGACCGCTCCAAGGCTGGGGAAGAGCGCTGCGATCCGAGTGCCACGCCCGAGAGTCGGCGGCCCTGCGAGAAGCCCAGTTGCGAGGTGGGGGATTGGTTCACAGGTCCATGGTCTTCGTGCAATGGTGATTGCTTCGATCTGACCAGGAGCCGGCAGGTCCTGTGCATTCAAAATCAACTGATTACCGAGGACAAGGAATGCAAGCCGGAGCTGAAGCCGCAAGCCATTGAGAAGTGTTCGCACGAAGAGGTGGAATACTGCGCTGCCCGCTGGCACTACTCGGAGTGGTCAGAGGTGGGTATTAGCTTTAATGATTATTAATTATTTTGAATTTAAATATTTTCTAACAGTGTACCAAGCCTTGTGGCGGTGGTACCCAGCGGCGCAGTGTCAAATGCCTGGAGTACGACCTCAAGCTGAACGCTCTGCGGGAATCAACGCAATGTCGGTATGCGAGCAGGGATCCTATATATCGCAACTGCAATGTGGAAAAATGCGAAGAAGGTGGGTTCCATAACATTTTCCTTTCAGAATCTATATGTTCTTTTTTACAGAAGTGAAAAAAATCGAAGCTGTACCCACCTGTACGGATAAGTTCGCCAACTGCCAGTGGGCTGCCCAAGCCAAGCTGTGCGGCTATGATTATTATCGCGAGAACTGCTGTACTTCGTGTACTTCTTGAGTCATCCTTAAGGATCATACTTAACTTATAAACTGAATCATTTACGTATATAAATTTGTGGTTAATTTCAATATATCTGTATATGTATTTCTGACACTAAAGCTCAACGTAAAGCTTGCAGGGAATTGCAAAAATCAAATATATTCAGTCAAGAACAAAGAACAATTCAATAATACAATTACACTTCTCATTAAAACATACTAAAATACACTAGATGGAGACTAAAAAGTAATAGTTAGACAAATTATATACATAATCTTATGAATAACAATTAAGAAACGAAAGTGAAGGCTTTACTTTTCGTCGTTTAAGAATAAATAAATCATTTACTACACAAAGAGTTTTGTTTCATACAGCTTCAAAGGGTTGATGTGCAATGAATTTTAATTATCAATTAAAGAGTAAATATTTTAATTAGTGTCTTAACAGTTAAAATACATCAACCAGCGTGCTCTATTCAGAGGGTGTAACCCAATACTTGCCAGATTAACCTTATGGTAAAGAAATATAGAATTTCCACCAGACCCAAGACACTGAATCCCAGAAAGAGACCAGCCGTTGAGCCAATTGAAACTGAAAAGCGGCCATTAAATAGATCCGTTAATTAATTATAGTTGAGAATGTGACTTCGTTAAAAAATAATTTAAGAACTAATTTAAAAGGGGTTTTTCCTTTTGCTCCTTTACATACCCATAAGATCAGTCATGGAAAATATAACTTGACGCTTGAGTCGAAGTTGTGGCCAGGTTTTAATAGTTATAGCGCTGCCAATACTTCCAAGTAATTGCTTGGAGCCTATCATGGGCTAAACATTTCCAAAGAAATATAATTCAATTGTCAAGTATAATATTTTAATATATACTTACTAGTGCGGATCTTGTAGTTATTACTGCATCCAGGCAGTTCTGTTCACAATAACAGGGGGCTGGCATTTCATGATGGCCACCTTCTTCGTATAGCTTAAGAAAGAAATCTAAAAAAGAGTTTTTTAATATAAAAATTATTTCTTAAAGAGTACATAAATTATTACTTACCAGCATGTCGAGGAAAACAAGACCTCAATGTTTTATAATCACACACAGGCTTGGGATTGGCAACTTGATCGAATTATAAGTTATATTATTACTAACTACTAATTTTAATATATTTTATAAGCTTACTGCGATTGGGATAAAAGTGTGGTATGCATTTACAAATTTTAAAGGCCAAATTAATGCGACACTCTTGCTGACACACATTTCTTGTATAAAATGGAAAGTGAGTGAGATTCGATTCGTGGTGGAAGCGACACTTTCTCATTCGGACAGAGGTCTCTCTAAAGGAATTAATATTTATATTTAGGTACTTGATATAAATAAAACTTACGTTTCTAGATTGTCCTCGGCGATTATCTCTTCGCTAACAGGATCGTAAACCACGCCTTCAGTTGTGTAGCCAAAATTGGTATCTACCTTCATGACTTCGAAGGCAGAATGTATGAAGCTCTTGCAAATATAATATTTATTTAGATATTAAAGTCAAATCGTGGAAAATAGGTTGGATTGATAATTTCAAAAGGATATATACTCACATCAATTGCCTCGCTGCTATAGCTCAACAGAGTGAATCCCACGTCCTTTTCAAAGTACGAACCACTTTGATATTGCAAAAGTTTCCGCGTTGACTCATACTTATTGGGTTCCGGATATTTTCCAAATATTAAATATCGGGAACTATACTCTTCACCCAACCTAGAGTTCCCCAAATAGCACAGTCCGTATTCGGTGAGAACCTGTCGGACATGAATATTAACCTGTCCATCGATGCTGCGAGTTCGTTGCTTTTCTATCGGCTCGTAGGTACTGTCATATGTTAAATTGTAAATTAATTCCATATACTGTTCCGGCTTGAGACTCAATTCCTTAAGTATCTGATCTATCTGATCGCTCTCGGGTATGTTTTGAAAATTAAGATATGTGGAGTTGGCCAAGTTCTCAAGAAAGTCCCATAATAAAGTCTTTTGTGCTCCCTTAACGCCGTTTACCCTTAAATATAAATATTAATGAAGAGAATTTATATAATGCTTAAACTATTTGCAATTACCGACAATAACTGGCAAAAAAGGAAGCATTCAGACGTTGCATTGGGCATAGGGTTATACTCGGCACTGTGGTATTCCAAAAGTGATAGTTTCGCTATAGGAAATTATTATTTTTATTATTTTATTCAATACTAAAACATGTTTATACCTCTAGGCCCACATGAGTGCTTTTGGTATTATAACGTTGAATAGATGATAGACTCACAATAATACAGAAATATATGGATGCTACTAACAGGATAAACCAAAGTAATCTGAAAATAAAAACATATATTTTTGAGTACATGGTGGATTATTAACTTAACTCACTTTTCAAGAAAGACAAGCATAGTTTGAACTACATATCGAAATCCGTGTATACAGCAATTGTCAAAGTATAAAACAATAAAATTAATAATTGCTCGGGGCCATCGTCGATTCTTAAAGTGCCTGAAAGCCATAATGTTTATAAATTAGTTCAACTTTTTATCGGGAGTTTATATATTTTATTTTATTTTAAAACCTTCCGGAAGTTAATATTTTTATGAATGAAGACTTGAATATATATTGAAAGACTAATCCTAATTTTTAATTTGAAATATGTTATATAGGCATACTATATAGTAAAGAAAAGACAACAAATAAAATCCTTTAGCGTGACAAAGTTCCGTTTGGTTTAAGCTTTATTGAATAAAGTTGTTCTTAGTTTATTTATTATTCAAGAGTATGGTGAGTTTGCGTGTGTATTCAATAGCGAAATTTGATTAATTATAACATACAACTTTTCCCTAAAAATCCATTAGATTCTATACTGTTTTGGTATAGATTTGCCTAAAGTGTCACTATAAAATCTTGCTTTTAAAACTTTGTCTACCAAAATGATGTCGATTATCAACAAAAAACCAATCAATTGGTTTGATAACTTCTGTGCCGAGAGTCGCTCCAAGTTTTTCACTAATGGGCAAGAGTTTAAGATGCCTGCAAACTTTGGTGATACTCTAATAAGTGCCGACAAGTGCTACAATCTTATTAAGAGGAAGATGAAGCGGTCAGAAAGTGAGGAAGAGGATATATTGTGGAATATCCCAATAATTTTGTTAACTCTGGCCTGTATTCTTGTCATCGTAATGGCATTCAGCTTTATAATGCAGTGCCTGTTGTCAAAGTTAAAGAGTTTTAGGATTGTCGGGAATTTCAAATCTGATATTTTCAACTTATAAAAGCAGATGGATGTGAACTCTAAAAACCTGTTCTAGAATTCCAAGTAAAATATAAATATATTTTTACACAATTATATTATATTTGCGAATTAAAAGTCAAGGGTTAAGCCTTTTGTTGGATTATAAAAGTACGAATTTGCATGGATTCCAGGGTTACAACAAATTCCGAAGCATCCTTCGTGGAATCCGCATCCAAGGGCTTGTGCGGAGCATAGAAGTAATCCACGGAAGTGGGACTACTTCCGGTAGAGTCCTGAGTGAACTTGAATCTTTTGACTTCGCTCAACTTCTTATTACCATCCAAAGTCGTCTCCCAAATATGATCTCCGTTGAAGAACACAAAGAGTTCGTATATGTTAAAGCTAACCACGTTTCTTTCAGTATTAAAGTTCTCCACTCGCAATAATAATTCATCCTTCGAATGTTGTTCCAGGGAAAGAAGATCCACCGATCGGGGAAAATCGGAAAAGTCGGGAATCATGTGTCGATTGATCGAGACAGCTTTGTTGGATTTACTGAAGAATTTCCAAAAGGGAAGACTTAATTCGTGCTGGAGCAAGCGCTCTGCTGTCTTGGGATTTGCTGCGGCACCATCGAGAATTAGATAGATTTTTCCCCTGGCAATGAGGCCAGTTCCGTACTGTTCCTCATTAAGAGCTTCTGCCACACCAAAGGAATCATCCACTAACAGCCGGCGATGCAGCATCAGCTCCAGCTCCCCATCTGCCAGACTAGATCCGCCCTGTGATCGGTCGTTTAGGAGGGTAATCCGCTTCTTGTCATCCTGGAGGGCAATTTGAGCTGTCACGGGATAGTAGTTGCCACTAATGACCTCTGACATATCCGGATCGAAGTCCTCCCGCTGGTTCCTCTCCCGCTCTAGCATCTCCCGACCATTGGAGTCGGTGTAGAACATTCCATTCGAGGATATTTCACTTGTGAATCTCGTTACTATCTCCTTGCCAGCCACGTCGTCTATGGGTATCGGACCCACCAGCCACTCGAATTCAACGCGATTTACATCCTCGTAGATGCGTACCACTTGGGATATCCAATCGCTCCAATGCTGATGGACTTCCTTGACCCGAGTGCCGTTGTAGAAGTAAAGGAGAACTTTATCATTCAGGATTTCAATGTCTCCATCCGGTCTGAAGATGTATGCACCCGATGATCGGTTCTTGGCTTCTGAGTTGGTACCTTGAAAGCCTTTGTATACGCCAAAGTGTTGCTGAATATTTTCCCTGACACCGTTCATTTCAATGGTTTTCAAGCCGCCTTTAGCTGTATCGAACACTAGTTTTATTAGCTGAAATTATACATTTTTATGGTTAATGAAATATACGTGCACATTATTAATTAACTTACCGAATTCTGAACAATTAGTTCGTTGGTTTCATCTTTAGCTTCGCTATTGTAATGAAAATCTTTGTTTATGGGGAAATAATCGTGATTTTTAGTTTTGGGAACAGGTAGCACCCTTATATAGAAGTTTGCCAGTTTTTCCACTTTGGCTTTAAAAACCAACTCATGCTGTGTGTCATTGGGACGATGTTGAAGAGCCAAGACTTGCCAGGGAACAGGGACCACTTCTGAAGGTATTTCGTGACCTAGAAATTATAAAGAAATTTATAACATTATAGAAAGAAAGGTTTGCTTAAGGGATGTATTATCCTAATACCTTTTTCATCTGTAACTATATAGTTTTCATTCTTTACAGGAATCCTCACATATTGCGTTGATGCATGTCCCAATGGATTCACTAGAGTCACAATCACATTGTTGGCTGTCTTCTGGGTAAACTCGCAAACACTTATATTAAGTGTCAGGCAACTGGAAAATTCTCCGGATGTTAAGTTAGTCAGAGAGCGGAGTGCATCGCGAGCATTATTCTCGGCTCCAGTTATCGCATCATATAGAATTCGATCGTAGTCGGAGGCAACCGCTTGCTTCTCCGTCCCAGTGACTGCATCGTGGTGCTGCATGATACCCATAGCCTGGTTTAGAGTCTCGAGGTCTGCCAAATGCTGGTTGCTGGTCAAGTTGGCCAGGACACCGAGTTGCTTCACCACCTGCAGGAAGTGATTGCCATCGCGGTGAAAGCGTTTCTGTGTGGGTCGGGATGTGAAGTAACCCGTCCAATAGGAGTGTGAGTCACTGGAGTACGGAAAGAAGTCCTGGGTCTTGTTTGGCCAAGTTTGCTTCAGCTGATGCAACTCGTAGAGATAACAGGAGGGAGTTGAGTAGAAGATATTGATCTGAGATCCCTCCAGTTGGCGGTCGTTGACATACCTGATTATAATATTGATTTCTTATTATTAAGAATATAATTAATCGATCCACTTACTTGATAAGTTTGTCCATGTTATTGAAGTTAATTGCCGCCGCTGAGTACTGAAAGTCATCTCCCATGGGCACCATTATATGATTAGCTCGAAAAGACTTGGCCATGGTTTTAATGTACGCTAAAAAGTCGTTTACTCTCTTATTAACGTTATTATCAAAACTGTCGCCATCGATAATGGGATCATCTGCGCAAATAATATCGAAGCAGAAACCCGGAGGAGCTGAGTAGTGATTGTAGAGGAGTCCGGTGAATATGTTGGAATTCTTTAAATATTCACTCGATTTCCAAATCATTTCCATTTCCAGATCAGCCAGACGCTTCTTTTTATCCACATAATCCATGCGACCAAAAAACTCCCCATTATAACCCATTTGAGCGAATATAGAGGCCATTTCCCGGGAGTGGCCAAAGGGATCGATCTGCCAGCCAATTGTGGGACGTCCGCAATCCCCAAAGATATCTTTTAGGTACCTAAAACGAAATATTAACAATAGTTTATTAAAGGAACTATTTGTTTTAAATAATAATACCCACTTTAGACCCAGATTGAACTGATCTATCACACTTTGGTAGTGCACGGCCGCCTCATCGTTCATGCTCCAAGCTCCTCCGGCGAACTCCAAGCGTCCTTCGGCCACCAATTTCTTCACAGCTTTGTGAACAATCTCAGTTTGTTCGGAGTACCATTTCGCAAAGAAGAATGTCTCAACTTGTATGAATCGACGACTGGAGTCTTTCAGCAGCTCCTCAATTACGGTATCCAGAATGTATTGAACTCCAGCTTGTTGGATTTCATTGTGGGTTCCATAGTAATACTGATCCACTGTTTTTAACCATCCCACGTCGTCGTGGGAATGTGGCACCAAGTGGACATTGATCATATTTGGTTTCGTGGCGGGACATGACTAGAAAGGAGGTGTATAAATAACGAGATTGAGCTTCAACTGGGGTCTTTTATTGAAATGCTGTCATCATCCATGGATCTCAAACACTTAACCACTTTAGAATTTGTTACCTCAAATCCACAGGTAGCCTTGGTTACGGCTAAGTTAATTAAAATCCATATGATAAACACGGGTAGCCGACGGCGACTGAAGAAATATTCCATTTTAATGAACGCTATTGCCGCTGGCTGAGCTCCACGGAGAGGTCTTATCGGTTCGGTTGAGTCGTGTAGAATGAACCCAGGAATGAGGCAACTCCTGAGACCCCAGCAATGTGGCACTCGAAGCGATAAACCTTGTACTGCTGCTGGCGCACTAACTTGAGTGGGATTATCAAATTAAAATCCATTTAGGAGCACCAGCAATGATAACAATTTACAGGGCGTTGCGTGCACTGTAGATAGAAGAGAAATAATAAACACTGTAGACCTTAAGATCGATTTTGCAAAATATAATCTTGAATATATGTATTTACATGGGGTCTTATCAGTATTCTACATATTCGTATTTTGTTTATGTTTTAGTACTAGTCATTGACTTCTGTATTTTGCATTAAAACCCTTATCTTTGGTTGCAATCATTTCGAGTAATTAATTATTCAGATTACGGCTATATGAATTTGTACCTAAATACGCGGGGTCTATATAAAGAGCTGGGCTTAGTAAACAAGTAATGAAAACATTATTATTTTTATAACCAGCTCTTGAAAGGAATTACTAAGTGTGTTGTTCTAGTTTTAGAGATGATGAAAATGTTGCCTGCAGTTAAAATAACATTTTGATTATGATATCATTTGTGGTTAGTTAATTAAGTTTATTTTTTACTCAAGCTTGTCATGGTTAACATTTCCCCATGGAGCAATATCCTTGGAATATCAAAATGATCAGATTTTAGGGGTCGAAAATATGAAATGAGAACCGTGTGGTTTGCATCTATAATTAAAGCGTGGAAAAAATTTACAGAAACTTGTAAAGGTAAACATTTTTTGTGTAAACATGAATTCTATTCTTTTGTAAATGTGCGAAAATAAGTAAATTTAATGCTCTTTGTATGTATTGTATCATAAACATACCTGAAAAATCCTTCGCTCCTAATACATATATGAATATTAGAGCAGTTTATTTCCCTGAAGAACCAGATGAACAACCACGTTAATCAAATGCATTTAATAACTGAAATAAAGAAATTCCCTAGTTGACCTTTAATTTAAGATTAACTGCTTAAATCAAAATTTACCGGTAATTATCATCACAGAAGAAACTAAACTAATTTGGAACGACAGCAAAGTAGCGAAAGTATCGCAAACTTTATTAGCTCTCAAGATTTAACGTCGATTACTGGATATCTGTAGTTCGAGTTAGCGTTATTACCTCCGGTTTCTGAAGTGCACCACCACTCTAAACCCTTTTCCAGATAGCGACAGGCCTTATTTCAACACTATCATGCCCACATGCATTCGGGTGTGGAAGGTTTTCAGAAACCAATTAAGTACTCGACTGGTTTATAGTCTGTGGAAATGATTAAGATGGTCAAAGCCAGAGCCTGGCTGTCGGAACACTACTCTCAAGCGCTCATGTAGAAATTGCCATAAAGCCCGTATCAGTGGGTTCTCATTTGGCACTCGTACATCGAACGCTCTAAGTACAAACATATGTACAAATTCTGCCTCACTTTCTCGCTCCGCCTGTTTGTAAATACATATGTACATATGGCAATAAAGATTCTCAAGTAGGGTTCTCAGGTCTCGAGCTGAGTTTGTTTTCTCCCCTCGAACAGTCTGCCTTGAGAAGCCGATGCGATCGGTGGTTATTCGTTGGGAAATCAGAAAAGTCGTGGGTTCTCCGCTATTAAATACTGACTCTGTGTATTCTATGAAAAATAATCGAATGCAGTATAAATAAAGAAGAATTGCCATAATGTCCGGAAAGATTTCTGCGTGGCTTGCACTTTTGTGTATCTCTGGATTTATACATAATGCAGATTTGCGGAGCATTCAGAAAGAGGGCTCTCAGTGCGGTTATCAGGTGAGTTTTCCAGCATACATACATATGTATATTATAGTAATAAATGCAACCTTATATACACCTTATATACGTATATGGAATATAGCTAAATAAACTCATTGATAAGCCTTTTGTAAATGCCTTTTTGCAATGACGGGCTAAGACCTTTATACTAATTAATTTAAATTGGAAAGCGGAATCTTTTGCACTGATAAGCTTATATAGGTTGTGAGTTTTGCAAGTCTTCCCCAACCTAGTAAAAGGTTCCTCTATTAAATAAGAACTCACATTATAATAAAAATTTCAATTAATTTTCCAGAGCTGCCACCCCACAAAACCCAATATGTTGAATGTGCATCTGGTGGCGCACACTCATGACGATGTCGGCTGGCTAAAGACTGTCGATCAATATTATTATGGCAGTGAAACCCGAATCCAGAAGGCGGGAGTCCAATACATTATCGATTCGGTTGTGGAGGCCTTGCTGAGGGATCCAGAGAAACGCTTCATTTATGTGGAATCCGCATTCTTCTTCAAATGGTGGAAGGAGCAGAAACCCAAGGTGCAGGATGCTGTAAAGATGCTGGTGGACCAGGGAAGACTGGAGTTTATTGGCGGTGCCTGGAGCATGAACGACGAGGCGACGACCCATTACCAGAGTGTGATTGATCAATTTGCTTGGGGATTGAGACTTTTGAATGATACGTTTGGTGAATGTGGACGTCCGCGAGTTGGTTGGCAGATCGATCCCTTTGGTCACTCCAGGGAAATGGCTTCGATGTTTGCCCAAATGGGTTTCGATGGCATGTTCTTTGGGCGATTGGATTATCAGGATAAGGATAACCGTTTAATGACCAAAAATGCTGAAATGATTTGGCATGGATCGGCTAATTTGGGTACGGATTTACTATCCATTTATATGGGTATAGTTTGACGGAGTTTTCTTTTTTGCAGGAGAGGAATCAGATCTGTTCACTGGAGCTCTTTACAATAATTACCAGGCACCGGATGGGTTCTGTTTCGATGTTCTTTGCAGCGATGCCCCCATCATTGATGGCAAACACAGTCCGGATAATAATGTGAAGGAGCGGGTAAGATTTAATTTAAGATGCTTATGTCGCTTAGTGTTTTTGGCATTTGGTTTTGAGCATTTGTTCTGTACCTTGTTTGTGTCCTTACCATCCTCCCGCATCATCAGGTCGACGCATTTTTGGACTTTGCCCAGACCCAATCCCAATACTATCGCACCAATAATGTCATTATCACAATGGGCGGTGATTTTACCTACCAGGCAGCTCAGATTTACTACAAGAACCTTGACAAATTAATACGGTAATTCCCTGTAACCATGTAATCCTCGTTACCCCGCTGACTGTTGAAGAAAGCCCCTAAAAATAGGAATTCCAAATTATGTTCTGTGTGTGTGTGCCGTCCGTCGTTAGCCCTGAATGTCCTGTTAACTGAAATGAACAAACATGCAGGTTGATGCCTTCATTGATTATGTTACCAAAATGGCGGAACACTATCGCACTCCCAACTTGATCCTAACCATGGGCGAAGATTTCCACTATCAGAACGCCGACATGTGGTACAAGAACCTGGATAAGCTGATTAAGTAAGTACTTTAGGGGCTTTCCTAGACAGAGTTCAGCTCGGGGAATGAGCCAAGGGGAAAGGTTTCTAACACCTCCTCTTCCTCAGATATGCCAACGAGCGTCAGGCGAATGGCTCCAAGGTAAATCTACTGTACTCCACACCCTCGTGCTATCTGAAATCTCTGCACGATGCCGGCATTACCTGGCCCGAGAAGAGCGATGACTTCTTCCCATATGCCTCCGATCCACATGCCTACTGGACGGGTTACTTCACCTCGCGACCCACCTTGAAGCGATTCGAGCGTGATGGCAATCACTTCCTCCAAGTTTGCAAGCAACTCAGTGCCTTGGCTCCCAAGAAAGCCGTAGAATTCGGACCTCACTTGAACTTCATGCGCGAGACTCTGGGCATCATGCAGCACCACGATGCCATCACAGGAACAGAGAAGGAGAAGGTGGCCTTGGATTATGCAAAGCGATTGAGTGTTAGCTTCAAGGCCTGTGGTGCCACCACCAGGAATGTGTTGAATCAACTGTCCACGCCGGGAAGTGCTCAGGATCAGGATGCGAAATACAAGTTGGATATGAAGACGTGTCCCTTGCTGAACATCACTTCCTGTCCTGTTTCCGAGGAGAATGATCGATTCACTCTGACGCTGTACAATCCTTTGGCTCATATTGTGAGTGAATATGTGAGGATACCAGTGCCAGACACGAACTATAAAATCATTGATAATAAGGGTGAGTATTGGAAGTTATTAAAGAAGCATTAAATGACTATATTTCACCTTTCAGGAGCTGTTCTGAAAGCCCAGGCTGTGCCCATACCATCCGCCTTGATCAATATTAAGCATAGAGCATCGACTGCCAAGTACGAACTGGTCTTCTTGGCCACCAATATTCCAGCCTTGGGATATAGAACATATTACATAGAAAAGACCGAAAGCTCTGAGGGTTACAAACAGCCTAGGCTGCTGCCCAAGAATAAATCCAGCGTGACAGAAATTGGAAATAGTGTAAGTACCTATTTTAAGACTTATTTTCATTTAAATCTTAAATGTATTCTATTTCTTCAGAACATCAAGTTAGGCTTCGATACCAATGGTTTCCTTTCAGAGGTCACAGCCGATGGTTTAACCAAATTCGTTAGCCAAGATTTCCTCTTCTACGAAGGTGCCGTTGGCAACAATGCCGAGTTCTTAAACCGATCCTCCGGAGCGTACATCTTCCGTCCCAATGAGAACAAGCTGCACTTTGCCACGGAACATGTTGAGATTGAAGTGTACAAGGGTGACTTGGTGCAGGAGGTCCATCAGAAGTTCAACGATTGGATTAGTCAGGTGGTGCGAGTGTATGCCAAGGACTCCTTTGCTGAGTTCGAGTGGCTTGTGGGTCCGATTCCCATTGATGACGGCATTGGCAAGGAGGTTATCACACGCTTTAACTCTGATATCGAATCAAAGGGCCTATTCAACACCGATTCTAATGGTAATTATACTTGTATAATATATATCCTTAAACACTAATTAGTATTTATTGATTCCTAAAGGACGTGAAATGATCAAGAGGCAGATTAATCACCGTGAAACTTGGTCTGTGAAAATCAACGAAGCAGTTGCTGGAAATTACTATCCCATTACGACCAAGATAGACCTGGAGGATGACACGGCTCGCTTGGCTATCCTCACCGATAGAGCCCAGGGAGGCAGCTCCCTGAAGGATGGTTCCCTGGAGCTGATGGTCCATCGTCGTCTATTACGCGATGATGCCTTCGGTGTGGGTGAGGCTCTCAATGAGACGGAGTACGGAGCGGGTTTGATTGCACGGGGCAAGCACCATCTTTTCTTTGGCAAGTCCTCCGATCGCGAAGGTGTCTCACTGAAGGCCTTGGAACGCTTGACCCAACTGGAGAAGCTACTGCCCACATGGAAATTCTTTAGCAATATGGAGGCCTACACTGCCGAAGAGTGGCTTACTTCCTTTACAAATGCTGTGAGTAGCAACTACTAAGCTATAAGTTGAAAATATTTTCTGATTTTTCTCCTTTTTTATTACAGTTCAGCGGCGTATCCCTCGTTCTGCCCAAGCCCGTGCATCTGCTCACCCTGGAACCGTGGCATGAAAACGAGCTACTCGTGCGTTTTGAGCACATTATGGAGAACAATGAGGACGAGCTATACTCCAAGCCTGTTCAGTTCAATGTCAAGAATGTTCTCAGTTCTTTTGAGATCACGGGAATGCGTGAAACCACGCTGGATGGAAATGCCTGGCTGGACGAGACTCGTCGCCTTCAATTTGCTCCGGATCCCGAGCAAGCGGCCTTCAACTCCTATGGCACATTTGATGAGCCCGATGCCAAGAGTATCCACTTGCTGAGTGCCCAGAAACCAATGCTGGGCGTTAAATATGCCGAAGAAGCCTTACCAGCCGGAGAATTGGGTGCCCAGAGCAACCGGGTCAAGAGGGATGTGACCTCTGATCAAGTTAGACAGGCCAAGAGGAACCGGAAGTCCAAGGATGAGGCAGCCAGGGCAGATAGTGGTAGCCAAGAGTTCCTAATCGAACTGAGTCCCATGGAGATACGCACTTTTATTGTGTATTTGAAGAAAGCTTAAAGAAAGCTAAAAGATCTTTTGAAATAAATGAATATTCCTAAATTAAAAGATACTTTTTTTTTAGAGAATACCAAGCTGCAATTTCTTCTCCTCTGCAAAATATATTATATTCGGTGTGGTCTTAAAGGTTACCCCTATCTAATAATCAATGTTTTTTATTGCATGACTCTTGGGCCTTTCGTGCATACATATTTAATTGGGGGTTGAGTGCAAATTAATTTGTAAAGCCCCTTTTTTAATTAAGGAACTAGGGTACCATACTTACATTCGGTTATTTATGCATGTGTGGTGCAGAGACTGCAGTCATTTCTGAATAACAAACAAGAAAAGAAATCATTGATAATTGACCTCGACTAGGGGATGCCCTATGCTTGTGCTTTTACAGCCAAGCAGGCTCTCTTCTAGTCATTTTTTTCAGTAGAAATATAAACTCTTTTATGTCCTAAGTAATGAGTAGCAAAAGTCCAGCTAGTGGCATATACATATATAAAGTATATATGGCAGTGGCCGCTTGTCCGTGGTAATAAAAAATTCAACAATTAGTTTTGAAGTAGAAAGCGGGAATCCCTTTTAATGAAAAAAGTTGGCAGCTTGCAAAGGGCAGGGGGCACACATTGTGCATACTTAGATATCTTATTTTTACCCAGGGACTTTCACGGACTTGGTATTTATACTTTAAATCCAACGAAAGCCAGAGATTGTTATGTTTCCATAAAAATAAAAACGTTAAATATATATTTTTCTAAGAAACTTTTGTAAAATTTACTTTATATCCATTTTTGTTTGCGAATATAATCCTGCTTTACACACTCGTACATTTATATAAACTAATTTCTCTAAAAGTTGTCTATCCCGATTATAGATATAACATTATATATTGCCTTTCACATATCTGATTAGTTCGGATAAGTGCTTGTCTTGTGTATACATATAAATATACCTATTATTTTGTAATAAAAGCTTCGAATTTATTTGCACGTCTTTTCAGCTCTTGTAATTAGCCTATATTGTATATATTTTTGTTTTTTTTTTGTGAATTGATTGTGTGAACTCTTTTCTATAGGATTTATACTACGACCTTGTGTACATAAATATTATTTGTATAATGCATTAAACTGAAGCGCTTGCATCATGCTATCCAATCTTAAAGGCACATCTTTTAATTATGATATATGTATTTATAGATATTGTTGTCGATTTTGGTCTGTTTTTCTAATATATATGTTAAGTAATAGTATGGTGTCCTCATGTCGAGTCCAAGTGGTCCCAATCCGTGCAGGCCCAGTTGGGCAGCTCGGTTTCGTACTCCCAGCCGGGTCCCTGTTTTAAAATATTTTTATAGTTTAGTTTTTTGAAGTGTAAATCAGAAGACCCACCTTGTACTTCCAAGCGTGCAAATACATAATAAGATCCTTCGATTTGGGATCTCTGTAGTGCACTTTGCACTCGTAGCAATGTTCATCAATGGTGATCTTGTTCAGCTTAATTCCTCCTCCTGTGGCACTAACTACAGATTCCATTGAACTCGAACTCTGCAGAGCTGGCGGCATTATCTCTGTGGAAGACTTCTCTGCGGCAATGGGATATTCCTTTACTGGATTTGTGATTTCTGGGGTTTTCACACCCAGATCAGGCTGAGGCTGCGGTTGCTGGGCGTCAAGGCAAGGAGGTGTGGTTTCCCGGGAATTTATACCCGCATCATCGTCGCTATGGTGAACAACTAAAATGAATTGAAAATAAATTAAATTTTATAATTAAATTGTTTCAAAATATTCAAAGATATTTATATTTAATTATAGTAATTAAACCCACCGGAAGTGTGCTCACTGCTGAGACTTTCGCCATCGGTCTCGTCCTTGGAGTTCTTAAACATGGATATATCGGAATCACAATCTATGCCCAGCCAGTTCTCAGCGTTGTGTATATTTATGAGATCTCTTATAAGTTCATCGTCTGTCTTGCCACCAATATCTCCAGAGCGACCCTTTAAAGGACCAAAGACTTCGTGATTGTACAGGGGATCGTTCAGAATGGGATAACCTAAGTTCAAAGCAATCTTTAGTAATAATAATAATCCTCAAGTAGTTTATATTCCCACTCTTACCCAAGTACTGCAAGTGTACCCTTATCTGATGCATTCGTCCAGTGAGTGGCTTACAGAGCACCACACTGGTGGTGCCGTTCTGCGACAGTTTCTGGAAGGTGGTTGTGCAATCTTTACCTTTTGGGGATACTTTGCACACTCCTATCTTGTAGCTAACCACTTCAATGGGCTCCTTGCACTCCACAATGCCGCTGAGAGTTAAATTAAAATTGTAGTTAAAATATTAAGTTAATAAATTGATTAGCTTACTCGGGAAAAACTCCCTCGACCCGGCAGATATACTCCTTTTCCACCTGACGATTGCGTATCTGCTGCTCCATTTGTCGTGCCTTCTTGGGACTGCGCCCGAAGAGGAGAAGGCCAGAGGTCAACCGATCCAGTCGATGGATTGTGCGTAGATTCTTGAGATTGAACTCCTTGGCGAGAATGAAGACCACAGTGTTGTGCCTGTAGCGTCCGCAGGGATGTACCTGAAAAGATGACATTGCAAATTAAGGACTTAAAGAGAGATACTCAATGTAATAGATAACATATGGTAGATAATGCTACGCATTCGTCTTGAAGTAGACTTTCTTGGTCATTGATAACAGAAAGTACAGGTATAATAGTATATGTGTAAAATGGCAGTCGTTTAAGCCACTTACAGGTATCGATGCTGGCTTATTTACAACTACAATGTCCTCATCCATATGCACAATTTTAATTGGTTGACAAGTCACGGGCACCTCGTGTCTGCAAAGATAGCCATGAAACTAGTGTTAGTTATAAAGTATATTTCATCTCTGTGTTCCTGTTGTTACTTAAGAGACCAGAAATTCGATTAAGCTGGAAACTTTAATGGGATTTACTTGTTAAACCCTTTCTTTACAGTTTGAAAATCAAATGATAATAAAATAAAGATGAGACTTGCTTGATATTGAACCCACACAATAATAAATCAATTCTATTTTTTGTGAGTTATGCAAGCAATTTACTTTTTGCAGTATTTAGATTTTTTTATGATGTCATAATATTCAACATGACATGCTACGAGCATTAGTCGACTTTAATGAGGTGGAACATAGATGAATAATTACATTATGAAGAAATTACACAGAAAACTCAATTGCAATTGCAATCACTCGCATCGCCACGGTTAGTTGGCATTGCGGAAAAGCGTTTAATTTTTAATTACCTGTGAACTATATTGGCCAGCAAATCATTATGCTTCAGCCGATAATCAATCGGAACCTTCTCAAAGTTGACTGTCAAAGTGCCAGTTTGGATGCATCGTTCATATTCCTCGGCAGGATGTGCCCGGAACTCCCTCGCAAAGATATCCAATATCTTCTCGCCCACCCAACGGCCCTTCGTAAAGGTTGTGAATGTGAAGTAGTAAGGATAGACCTTTCGAAGACCTACGGATATTCACATTGTTATTTTTCAGATATATTTATACGTATTGGATAAGTCGAGTATTGAGTGACTAACCATTTTCCATATAGTAGGAGGTTTCTTGATATCTCTCATCCGTAAATCCGGGTCTTTTAGCCTTCAATGCTTTTGTCTCGAGCTTAGCCTTCAAAAAGTTATAAATGGGTTTTGATTAAAATGATCTTAGCGTGAGAAGCGAATGTTAAATAAACTGAGTACTGAGACTGCATTGTTTTTATCAATAACTTTGATCTTATTATGTTCCACTTACCTTTTTTAACTCCTTGATTTGATCATTATCATCTGTTTTCCGCTTTTCTGGTATCTTAACTTTTGCGTTTTCAGAGTCCCTTGGAGATATAGTCTGTAAAAAACAAGCAATAACATGTTCCTAATAAATAAACATAATTAAGTTAACTTCAGCCTCTTAATCCCATCCACTCCAATTTTATCCAAAATCTATTTCTATTTTCTCAGGTATTATTATATCTTTGTGGTTTTCCCCATTTTTGTTCCTGTGCTGGGGTCATTCCAATTAGGTCAGATTAGATTAGTGTTTTAGATTACGTAAGTTCATATACAGATCCGTAAATATTGTTCTAGGAACACAGATATATATATTTATAAACAGTTTTGCTTGGGGATATGTACTTGCCGTCGAACGCGTGTATTATTTTTTTTTATTTGGGGCTACTATTTGGCTGACGTTTGTCTTTTATGCGCGGTACTCGGAGAGTAGAAAAGCATATTCCATTATTTTATTTTTGCTTTTCTGATTAATATGGCAGACATAAGTAAGCATAGCGGACCTTGTCTACATAAGGCTTATATATATATAGAGTACCTTGTTAGGTTGAGGAGCATTTCTAGAAATATTTTAGGGTGTTATGATTTTATAACTATAAAGAACTGATATAAAATACAATCTTTTTAAAAGAGGAAAACAAAGTTTATATTCGAAATTGAGATCTTTAAAGCACTCTACAGAATTTGAAGTCAATATACTGATGGGATGTGTTTTCAAACCCAAATCCATTAGGATTAATAGCAGCCTCAAGTACCCGGTATCCGCTAGTCGTATTACTTCATTATGATGGCTTTCTTGTGCTCAACGCTTTCCTTGGCAATGCGCCCAACCAAACGGGTGATGGAAACATGTTGCATGCCCAGAAGACGCCGCGCGGGAGACCCAAAGATTCTGCCAGATGAGATGAGATGTGCCGCCGTCGTCCGGCAGCGGCAGCGGGCACCACACGGGTTCGATTCTCGGCAAAATCCACCGAGTTACAATGGGTCTAAAATGCGTATACACAATATGTATGATGATGATGATGATGATGCCGTGTATGACCATGTACATATTTTAGAAGAAGCGTCTCCGTCTTCGTCTCCAACCCAGAAGAACAATGCACAAAGAAACACTCGAAATATATGAATACGTTTTAAATTTAGATCATTATGAACCGAACGTATATGTGCTAGGCTGTACTAACCTAAAATACACATCAAATACCATCGAGTATCATTATAATATGTCAACGGGGTCTTAGTCTTTATAAAATACAACATTTCGGTATCATAACATGTCAGGGAAAAATGTTTTTTGTCCGAGATTGGGTTTCACAAAAGTGGAATTTCGTTGAATTCTTTCGTTTTTTGAGTGCTTGAGGAATCCAATCATCTTGAGTATTTATGAACGGAAGTATTTTGTAGCACCTTTACTAAGAAATCGGAAATCGGAAACAATTTCATCAGGCTTAAGTTTATTTTTAAATAATCAATACTCTTTGGTAGTTTCTTATACATCATTTTATTGAGCTTTTCCTGTTCAATAAACAAGTCAAGAAAGTAAAGTAATTATATCATGTAATTGCCAATCTTGATTTCATGGAGTGTATGGCGAAGGAGGAACTATTTAAGCATTAGATAATTGTTTATTGTTGTTTATTTTTCACTCTATACACCTCTATATACACCTGGGTATACAAGGCTACTTCTAAAGTGATGTATAAACACACACACTCTCGGCAGGCAGTAAATATTTGTTAAAACCGCATTAGTGCATGCTCATCACTAAAAATAAATCAGTTTTGATTGACATAAAATGTAAAAAAAACACACAAATCTTACTAATGGAAAGTAAAACCCAGCATCATCTGCTTGCTGTGCTGTGTCCTAGATCTCTATTGTTTTTAAATTAAATGGAATATATATTCGTTTCTTTTAGCCCGAATAAAAATAAGTTCCGGCAGATTTAATCAGCCAAAAAATATTACCAATTACCAGAGTCGTGGATTTCCATTGAACACAAATGAATGAATACCACCTCCTCCTCTGCCTCCGCCTCCAACACACACGCTTTCAACGTCTACTCATCCATGAGAACTGAGTATAAACGAAGATGATCAATTAATTGAATCATTCAACAGCGGAGACCTGTTGCCAGCACTCACACTCACACTCACACCCACTGGCACACTCGCCCACCATTATCATAAATGTATTAAAGATTCTGCTATATGTATATCTGACATCTGCATATATCAAGACGTATGCATATACATATATATAAAGCTATATGTGCACGAAATAATGCATATCCAATTATAATCGTCACGGGCATCGCGGAGTATATGGGTTTTCTGGCAGAGACTTCCAAGAAAAGTTTAGGAAAAAGTTCAGACCAATTCATTATCTCTGCGGAACCTTGATCAATAGTTTGTGCTTTGGCTGAGACTTTGGCCAAATTCCCAAGGTGACTCCGAGGTATTTTCTCTGTCGGGAAATTTATGCACAAAATTTTCAGCGACTTTGATATAATTTTTATTCGAATTTTCCAAGCGAATGCCGGCTGCTGCCACTGCGTTGGCCGTTTGGAAAAAATGGTGTCTCATTTTGGCCCCCGGAATATATTTATGAGTCCACAACCGCCCACCCAAAGGCGGTTCTATGGAGAGGAGAGGGGCGAGCCAGCGGCGGGGCGAAGTACAAATCGCGGTCGGCACGCTTTTATCGCCTGCACAGCGCCTTGTGTTGCGCAAGGTGCGAGCAGATCGGCCAACAACTACACTTGTCTGGAAGACAGACACGTGACCACCACTGCCCACGGTTTTATTAATTATCAATTTTCAAGAGCACACAACACACTCTTCGTAGAGTGTTAGTTTCTCGTATTGTTATTATTCTGTCCCGCATTATTATTATTTTCAATGGCACTCTTATGAGAAATTACGTTCTCTGTTCTTGATTTATGTAAACACCTGATACAGGGGAAACTTAAATGCTTAAAGTTTCAGGGCAGAATAAAGAAAACAAAGAATATTGTTTTCTTAATTATTACAAAAACCAGTTTGCACTTAAAAAAAATACATGTTTTATTCAAAGAAAAACAAGAAAGCAAGCTAACTTCAGGAACGGAAATTTGTATCACCTCCAAGAGTAAATTCAGCAGTCAAAAATGCCTTAATTTACCTTCGGAAAGCTTTCCTGTGTTAGTTTTCATTAGGGTAACAAATCTACATACTCAATTTAAAATTAAAAAAAATTAAAATTTTTTGCCAATTTTTTGACCATTTTAACGATTTAACCCCTTATAAAATGATGAAAATTTTGAAAAAAATAAATTTTACCCAAACATAGCTAAATCGATTCAGTTTTTGATGGTGATAAAGAATATATATGATTTATAGGGTCGGAAATGAGTTCTTCATCAAGAAATCCTTTAAAACTGTCCATCATAGGGACTTTAGATTAATATTTTTATATGATTTTATTTTTAAGAAAATCACCCCTTTAAAATTCCATAACTAAGCCAAAAATGCATTAAATTCAAATCGGAAAACAGTCCTATGTTAGTTTTTGTTAGAATAATAAATCTGAATAGTCTGTGAAAAATGTTTATAAAGTTAAAATTTTTGACAATTTTTTGACAATTTTAACCCCTTATAAAATGTTGAAAATTTTGAAAAAAAAAAATTTTACTCAAACATAGCTAGATCGATTCAGATTTTGATACTGATCAAGAATATATGCGATTTATAGGGTCGGAAACGAGTCCTTCACTGTGTGTTAAGCTTCAGACCATAATATTATTACCCTTGCAAGGGTATATCAATTCTTATTTAATGGAAAATATTTAGGGAAACCCCGCTTGATTTCCAGTGTAAATATCTCATTGTAATTAAAATAGTTTAGCGATTTAAATCGACTTTAACTGTATAGACCTAAGCAAGTTTTTTGATTGAGCAAAAAAAAACTAGATTGAAATAAGTAGGTTCAAGCGCCAAGTATGGCAAGTGGTTGACCAATGCAACAGTTTAGAGGAGCTGCAGCCGGAGCAGGTTACCGGAATGGATTGGTCTGGTCTACTGACATTCGCATTTCGTCCAACATATCCCCATAACGGTTCTTGCCTACTTAGCCATAAACGATACCATTTTCCAGTTTTCTTGTCTTGTGCAATAGTTTTTCCACCAAGACAAAGATCAAATAGAAGAATTCTAGACGAGACACACGATGGCATCTTTGCAAGCAACCCATGGAATATTTTTTAAAGGGGGGCTTCTAAATATTCCAGTAAATAATACACTAAAGATATAGGGTATTCAGGAGACACGAGATCCATTTGATTTTCTTATTGTAAAATATTAAACATGGGCCAGAAACTATTATTAAAATGTTTGAAACTATTTAATCTTAAATATTGATGAAAATTCGAATTGCTAACCGTCTTCAAATGAAAGTTTCTGTTTATAGATTAATATTTTATCAATTTCATCAATATTATTAATATCTTTAGTAAACATTTAATTTATAAAAGACAATTTCCTGAAGTAAAGTTAAAAGAACATAATGTTTGGGGCGTTTTAACCCCTGAAACCCCTATTGATTGTAAACAACTGATTCGCGAGGCTTGTCTACCCGTATCATCCGTATGTTGTTCAGATGCAACCAACTTGATTTTCATGGTCATTTCGCTGACTGCCTGCAAGTGTAAAGTTATAGACATTGCCATGTGTAAGTTACCTATGTGCATTAAACAATGGAAACATCTCGCTACTAGTTGCTGACTTGGAGGGGAGTGGGAAGCGGCGAGGCTACATGGCAGAAACCTTGACCAACTCAGACGTCGGGCTGCCGCCTGCCCGCTCACCATTCGGCTTATGAAATCATCGGGTTTCAAAAGATAGCCAACAGTAGCAACCAGAGCTATAGGCTAAAGTAAGTATAGTATAGTACATATATAATAAGGCAAGCTCTTCAACGATGCGGAAAATCTGAAAGCCAAAGCTCCATTTCCAAAACAAATACCGATTAAGACGATTTTATTGTCAAAATATAAGTATGTATATTGCAGTTACAATGTAACATAACCAACATTAAGTAAACACAACACTCGACACAGAAGGCGACTTTCAAATGTGAAATGATTTGTTATATTCAATCTGAAGTGACTGTCTGTCTCTCCGGCTGTGAAGATTGAGCAACACCGTGTTATGAAGTAACATTAACACAGTTGTTGTAGACCAATTACTGTTGGATAGTCTCTTATTTGTTTACTTTCTAGATTATATATTTTAAATGTGAATTACTAAACAGAAATCAAACTGGAAGAACAGAAACTGAGAGATTGGGTAGCTCTGTTTTTACTTTGAAAGATTACATTTAAAGTTGAACTGAGTGAACCCAAACTGAAAGAAAATATCTAGTTAAACTTAAATTATGTAAATTTTATATTCTAGATTTCAAGAGAGAATTTACCATATTAATAAAAAGCCAGCAAGAAAACGTTAAACCAATTATCTTCACCTAAGATTATCAAATATTCTCTTTCAACTTTATATGCTACAAGTCTCAAAGGCTAATGGGAAGAAGGCACAATATTAATTTCCTACTATTTAATTACCAAATAGTCAATGTAAGCACTCCCAACTCTTCCCCAGTGTATCCACACACGTCAATTAAGTGGCTAACCTTCGGTTCGAGTACGGATAGTTCCTATCATTACGAGTTGTGTACAAACATAAGATCTCCTCACCTTTTTATTCAGCGGCGGTAGCTCGGCACTTGGCAAGACCTGGATAGCTTGGAGCGACGATGCCGCCGCCACGGCAGCTGCCGCAGCTGCCTGATTCCGCAGTCCGACGACGCCGGTCAGGCCGAGATTTATGGACGACAGGTGATTCAGCTCCTGGGGATGATGGGGCAGGCAGTTGAGTTGCTGGAGTTGCATGGTGCAGGAAGACGGCGGCGCTGCCCGCGGAGTCATCTGAACGGGCACCTGGACAGGCATCTGCGTTGGTGCCGGCGCTTGCTGCGGCTGGCCCAGACCAGGTGCACCTCCTCCGCCTACGCCAGTGGCCGCTGCCAGCAGTGACTGTTGGGCGGCCTGTGTCAGTGGAACACCACCGAAAGGTGAGTGTCCTCCGCCGGCTGCTGCAGCCGCCGCTGCTGCTGCTGCTGCTGGGGCATAGTAGGCTCCCAGCGGCAGCGAGGAGAACATGGCAGAGTGCATCTGGGCAAGGGGATTCTGGGCAGGATTTAGCTGAGCCGCGTAGCCAGTGGCCTGATGCAGCTGCGGTGCCAGGTTGTACGGGAAGTGGGCTCCGGGAGCGGCACTGGGATGCAAGGCCGGCTGCTGATAGTTGGCCGGTGGAGCGGCGGCTGTGTTCGGCGATAGTTGCTGCTGCTGCTGCTGTTGCTGTTGCTGATGCAGCTGCTGATGCATCTGGGGCTGGGCGGCAAAGATGCCACCGGCGCCGGCGCCCAACTTGTCCAGGAACGGTGACTGCATCTGGAGCATCTTCTGCTGGTGCTGCTGCTGGGCGGCCAGGGACCAGGGCAGATACCAGGCACAGGCTGCCGGCGAATTCTGCATTTTAACTCACTTTGTTTCTCTCACTTTTCCCCGAGTATATATCTCACTTTCGCGAAGGCCGAACTGCAGGTTTGAAAATTGGTTATTATTCCGAAAAAATCACATTAACATCTGTTGGGTAATGATAACTATGCGGATTACACACACATCACGCTCACAGAGATCTTTACCGAGTTATTCGATCGTTTGTTTACATTCGTTGCGCCGTAAATTGTCGGGTTTATAATGCTTTTAAAGTCAATTACAGATCCGTGTGTAGTTATCCGCGTTTGCTTAGAAATAATCGCAGCGATGGTCCACGGTTTTATTTGAAATCTTAAACCGATTTTAAGGTTGCCTAATGTAAATTAAAAAACCAAATAAAATGTTTATTTATTTTTAGTGTGTTTATGAACACCTAGCTAGAAATATATACACAACGATATACAAGTTTAATTCGTTAATTTTTGGTTTCTATTAGCAGATTGCCGTTAACAAATGCCCCGATAGCACTCCGACACACACAAAAGTGAGAATAATATGTATTTATTAGCTTTTTTGCTGCATTAACATTGTCTATAAGGTGATCATTGTGAGCTCTCCGATATTTATGAAAATAATGATACTTTTATTGGTTACTTGAAATTGAATTGAAACAGAATCGCAAACAGATTGCAAATTTCAAAGAAAGAGATAAAAATCACTGGGCCACCATCTGCTGATGTTTCTGGCTCTGATTGCAAGGAGACAAAGTCGTGCGTATAAACCTATATTCCTCCGACCAATGGGGCGTATGTGTAACGAAACATTACGTATACGACCGGGTGGCGCAGTATAGTCTTCGGTAAACCATTAAATCAGGTACACAGATACCCTGTATTGGCACAATTGACGTGGGCACACGTGTAAACGTAAACATCTCTATTTACCCCCGAGGAGCTGGTGCTAAAATAAGTCTTGGGTATTACTAGCTCGTGTGTTCGAAATTTCCGAGTTCCTTAATATATTTAGGAATGTCCGAATATATAGACACCTCCACCTCGCTCGTTTTTGTCATCTGTCTTCTTCTGCGCTGTCTTAGTTCCATTTTATCAACAACAATTGTGTAGTCTTTCGAGTGGTTTTAGTACATTTTTGAAACAAATATTTCTTCTTGCATAACTATATTATGTAGACAATGGCTAGCAAAGAATTCTTTTAAATAAATTCAAGCATCTATATGTACTACCAAAAGTATATGTATATGTGCGCCATGTGTAAAGAAACCCCAGATATCTCAGCAGGATGACAATAGATCACATGGGCTTAAAGCAAGAACAACATTTAGTGAGAGCTACCTTCTATATTTAAAAGAAGAACAAAAAATATATACACGAAACGTGTGTATTATGATGATCATCGGACGGGGCCAAAAAGTAAATCCAATTTGGAGCGGTTTTAGTTAATAATAATGCCGAGCGGGAATGGCCCAACGAATTTCATGCACCAGAACAAAATATTATTAATGGACCGACAGGGGAATATTATGATGTTTATGTGGCAAACTATGTGTTTATTCTAGTTTTTCCTTGATGAAAAATATCATAATAGAAGTGTCATTTTATCGAATGAGTCTGCTTATGGCAAATTAGCCATTCAATTATGTGAACATTCAATAAAACTTGGGGTTCCTTTGATCATCGTTCGGACAACAGACATTATAAAACTTATGTGTTATTTTAGCTATACAGCAGATACGCACAAAAAAGTATTAGGAACATTTTCCATTTCCATAATATTGTGTGTGTAGACTGAGACATTTATCACAATGTTTAGGTTTTTCCATTTTCATATATAACCGTCACAAAAACACTGTTTAACTTTCATTATTGTTTAGTCAGTAGGACTAATTTAGTTCAGTTCACACGCGATTATGTTTTTGAAATATTGTATATATATTTTTTGTTTTCGAAATCTTTGCCCAGCACGCTTGAATACCTGTCCGACGAGAGCATTCACGCCGTCTACTCGAGTCGAAACCAAGAAACCGAATGAGTCAAACCGATTCAAACTTAACTTGCTGCCTGCTGCTCAGTGGCAACAAAAACCTGGCCCTCATACATGTTGCGAGCCAAATAGCTTGTTCCAGATGAAAGTATTTAATAAATAAATACGGATATTTACGGAGCTAACTTATTTGTCATATGTGGTGAACAAAGTTTGATATAGTATTGATATTAAATTAAGGGAGAACTGAACCTAAGTGCACTTAAGTTTTAATTACATTATATTTTTGGTTAATCCCATTCAAAGCAAACAAAACAATCAAGAAAAACACTCTTGTGTGTTTTAAAGCCCTAAAAAATCGATTAATTTATTGCCTTTTCGTATTGATGTCAGCGAAGATTGATTTAATGGCAATTAAACGCCTCAATAATACACTTGATAGTCTTTATTTGTTATTCTTTCAGTTCGAAAAAGAACCCAAGAAATGGTTACAACATTTCAAAATTCACCATATGCTTGCAACAGGCTCGCTTCTGACCCGGTTCGATGTCTCATATAGAAATAAAAATATTAACGAAAACTTGCAGTAATTTAATGTTTAATGCTTATATATTTTTAAACAGGAAAGCTATTTCTTCAGTAAAATAATGCTATATGGACTCTGTTGATTGGTTGTATCAATTTCCTGATATACATGCACAGCCACAGGGACCATTTGACACACTTTCTGAGCTACCACCAAATGCCAAGTGTCCCGCCAGCACGCACCCACTTTTGGCTCAAATAAACTTGGCTATATTTCTAAGACACTGACCGCTTGAAGCATTTTAATATTTTAAATCAACTTCCAAGGCTTTCTCGAACAGAACATCTTGGTATTCATTCACAAAAGAAATATATATGCGCCGCGATGTACTAGCTTTCACATTTCGAAAACAATGAAATCTCCATTTTTGATTGACACATTTAAAAATATATTAAGTATACGTATACGTAGCTGTTGACATGCTTGTTTAAAGAACAAAAAATATATAAGAATTAAGAATATCTGAGATTTAGGTCAGAAGATTGTGATTAGCTTTTGGAAATAAGCAAAAGTTCGAGGGCATTTTAAAAACCAATTCATTAACCAAACACCGATCCTCATCAGTAAAATCTAGTTAGTTAAAAGAACCTTTTAAAATGGAGCCATGATAGTGACATTACGTTTTTTTTTTCAAAATTTTAGCAATTAGCCGAGGCCACACAGCTATTTGCTTTTACTGCCAAAACTGAAAGCATTATGCTGATAAAAATTTTTGGGGCTGCGACTTCTGACTCTCGTGTAGAATTGCGTGTTCGACTGCGTGACTTTCTTTCCCGTAACTCACCCACTTTCACATCCACATCCAGACGGCGGTATAAAGCTCGGCGTTTGGTCGTCGGTAGTCGGTCTCCTTGAAACGCGGTTGGTCACGAAACCGAACAACAAAGAAAAGGCTTGCCCGCCCGGCTTGCCCGTCATTTGAGGCAACATTTAATGGCCACTGGCTATGAGGCTCATCCTGAATAAACAGGGGATGGTGCTGGTGGTGCTCTGTGTGGTGCGGTGTGCTGTGGTGTGGTGTGCGTGTGTTGTATGGGAGCTGAAGTTGACGTTCGTTCGTTTGTGAAAACGAAGAAAGTGATTAAATCAGCACGATATTTTGTAGGTGTGCGCGAGACCACGAGCTCACCCATTAAATTCTCTCCTCGGACAGGCACTGGTATGTGTGTCACCCACACCCACACATACACCTGCACACATTAAGCTACTGTTCTAAATTGACTTTTCGCCTGGACAAAACTAAAAATGACGACATCGCGTTTTCTTTTTGTGTTTTTCGTTTCATAGAAAAAAGCTTTACCTCTAAAACATGCCCATCAACCGCGTGTTTATAAACAACACAAAGATCTTATATATGTAACGCGAATATATAGAAAGGTGTGTTGTGCCGGGCCTCATATTACACCTCCGCATGCAGGTTCATTTCGCACATATGTACCTTTCGCTTATAGGAGCGAACACGTTAATGTAATTAAGCCCTATGACGGCCCAAAAAATTTCGGATAAAACGTAGCTAAGGATATATATTAATGGGGGTATCGTTGTAAACTTATAAATCAACTTTTTACGGCTATAACTACTTAGCAGGATTTCTTGACTTGCACTGAAGAGGAGTAAGTCGATCTTAATTATAGATAATACTAAGTATTATTAAAGTTTTTAGATTTTGTAGGCTTCTTGAAGTCTTTGCCAATAAGTAGGCAACGTAATTGGATGAAATGCGACCGGAAATGGGTGCGTTTCCGGCAAGTTACAAGCATTTGGAGTAGACCATTTTTGGGTTGTTTATGTATAATTTAAATAATAAAATAAATGGTGGAGAAATGAAAATAGTGGAGATAGATAGTTAATCCCATAGAGTACTGATGTGTTTAGAAATAATCTGAAATTATGTTTATGGTATAAAATCTTTTTAGAAAGGTTTACATTTCCAAAGACTTGTATGTATTTTTGAAGCAATATAGTTGTATATGTAAACATTTACTTTTACATTATTAAAAATTTGTTTAATTTAAAACTGTTGAACATAATTAACGTCCATTAATAAGTACCCGTAATGTGAGAGTTTCCAGCCATACGTTGTTCCTATCGATATATCGATAGCAAACAGCTGGCGCTGGGTACCCAGAGCTGACAAATTTGGCCATTATCGCTGTACTTCCTTGTCATTTCCAGCTAGAAATAGTCAAATCTATCTAAAAAGTGTCTCTGACAGCAGCACTGCTCATGTGTAAACAAACCGAAAAAGAAAGAAACAATTATTAATGCGGTTTTTAAAACAGTTTAAAAGCATTCTACAATTGGCAAGTGTTAATGTTAAAATGTAATAAGCCTTCTAACTCGTGCGGCTGTGTTAATCGCTATTTGCAAACACAATTAATTCATAAAAAGCGGTGTTGTGACTAGTGGCCCGCCAAGTGGAAATACACACGTGTTGATTTACTTGTTGTTTTTATTTTAACATTGTTTTCCGGCAGCATCTGAAAGCAAAACAAAGAACTTGTAGCGAACTTTCGTGGTTTCCCAAAATGCTAAACCCCAAAAGCGTGCGAAGTGCCCAGACGCAACATGGCGAGGGCTCATCCGTGGACGTGGAGAACATATTCCTGCACAGATTTATGTTGTCTGTGGAACCGGTCAGCAGTATTGGTGGTCAAGATGCGTCTGCTTCCTCTGCGCCGGAATGTGTATGGTTTCACAGTGACACAGATATTGGATCTGCAGAAAAGGAAGATCCAGAAACTCCGGTAAGTAGTATCAATTAACATTTGTGCCGACCACTGGTCGGAAGGAAGGCTTCTTATTAAACACTATATAATGATAATACACTCACAAAACTCTTTGAATAACAACTTCATAAAACTTAAAGACAGCTTTTCTCCGTTATTCCATGTTATTTAAAATTGAAGCGAATGCTTCTGTTTTTACTATTCCTATTCTGGAGAAATTGCATTATTAATTTAGATTTGTTTACACGTTTTGTCGCGGAAGGAGTTCAGGGAGGCGAGTAGATAGAGCTTTGACCGATTCGCAGCCAGTAAAAGGGCATATTTATCTTGGGGGAATATCGAATGCCCAAAACAATTTAGTCGGGGTCCGTTTCGTTCCAATGTTCGCCAATGTGTTGTGGTTTCCGTGTCCTCACTTATGCAGTATTATTGGTGTCGGGGGAAATTTCAATGCAGCAGCTATCCTCCAATCGCACACTCAAAACTTAATTAAAAAGCTAATCAGGGACACACGCAAATGCAATTTACTGCAATAATTTTAAGAAATAATTAAGAGCGACTTCATTTGAGCAGATTGCTTTAACGTGTAGGTAATTCGATTATGTTTAAGCTGTAGTCCTTGTAAAATTTTATTACTGCATGTTAGGTTCCTTCAAGTGCTTTTATTTGTTTATATTACTATAGAGGGTACGGCTTTGATTCTTTAGCCCATTTAAACTGCATCTTTGGGTCATATTTTAAGTGATTTTAAAACTTCTCTTGACCATTGTTGCATTCTGTAGAAGTTGTTTAATAATTTTAAATATACTTTTAAGGTTTTTGAACCAAAATACTTAAAATTCACTATATCTAAATGTCATAGATTTTTTTGAGGGCCAAAAGATGTTTGACAAACATGTTCGCCCCACAAGTTTGTTTGTTGTTTGAAGCCAACAGGAGTGGTGAGTTTTAGTATTTGAATAATGTATAGAATGTAGCAGAATTTCAGCTTTATATAATTTAGAACAACTTAAATATAACATTTTTGTTGTATAAATAAAAAAGGACAATAAGTGGCAACTACTAGTTATAGTATCATATTTCTATGTTATTTCCTTTTCTACATAGTTTCATAGAGCCACATGCATTTTCACTTTTATTTCCTTAGTTGAAAGTTTCGAGACTCATAAAAATGGATATAAACAGGTGACGGAAGGTGGAACAAATCACACCTGAAGACTTAAACTTCTTTTACGAGACTTTGAGGCACAAAAATGCCCCAATAAAGGAGACTGCTGTAGCTGCAGTCTGCCTGCAGAGTCAACGTTCTCGTCCGGGGCCTGCATAGAAATTTAAAGCCACCCTTAGGCGTCAGTACATTCTTAAAAATTTAGGACTCTGCTTAGAAGAAGATGTGCAACAAAAACCAGATTTTAGACAAAACCCTTAATGGCCCACAAAAACCAAAGGCATACAAGTTTCGGGCTCTTTGTTTGTTGGCAAAACCACCTCACCAGCTTACCACCGTACGTGACAGTGGCAAATGGCTTTAAGGCAGGCATCCCGACCCATCCGCTCCCCCGGCTATTACTCAGCTGCAGTTTATGCCTGATGACTCGGGCACATTCAGATTTCTTTTTCGTGTTAATTAAACCATGTATTTGATCAATAAATCGTAGCACAAGGGTCTGTGCTATTCGGATTTCCATAATAAATACAGGACTGTGGAGGGGAGTGTGTTATGTGTTGTGTTGTGTTTGTCCACGCAAGAAGTTAAGTTATGTTTGGGGACCAACTGGACGGCGGACTTACCTTTCCTGTACTTATATTTCACCGCGGATTTGTCATAATTAGTTCTCTCTCGACGACACGGCGGCCTTTTCGGAGGCCTCCACGGTGGACTTGGGCTGGGTTGGGTTGGGTCGGGTCTCTAGTGTAGTCTCGCAGTGGTTTCCTAACGAGCTACACTTTTGTCAAGTTGGTTGGCTGCTGCTGATGCTGCTACCTGGCTGGTCGTGATGTTTCCGCAATTATTAGTGTCAGTGCCTCCTGCTTTCGAGTGGTATCTAAGTGTGGTCCTCATTGTTTCCACGATGCGCCTTTTGGGCCCCGTCGTTTTTATAATTCTTACAATACCATGTAAACACACACATTAAAAGAAAAAAGAAAGCTGGTGGAGAATAAAGGATAATGGATGCAGTAAGGAAATGGAGGAAATCCCTCTAAGAAGGTCCAAAGAGTTTTTATGATAAAATCTGTGGGTAGTCTCTACAGACCTCAGAGTGTGGGATTTATTAAGCTTTAGTACGGATTATTAGGCATACGATTTCTTAAATCAATATTCTGACTACAAACTCCGATTTAAACTCATCCCACACATGAACATTACTCGTTACCTGTTTTCTTTTTGGTTGTTTTGTTTATATTTACGTACTGGCTGGCGCCTATTTTCTGGTAGACAATTTGCCGACAAGAATACTGCTGGTTCAATGGAAATTTTGTCCTCTTCCGTTACTCTTTTTAAGGAAAAATACACAGAGACTGTGTGAAAATTATGCTTAGGCTGCCAAAAGAAGAAAAGAAGAGATTGTTTGCTAACAAAAGCAACAGAAACAAGGCGGCTTCTAAGTATGTATGATAAGCTAATGGGATTTTTGTCTGTAGAATAGCTTAAATATTCTATCTTATGATTATAAATAAAATTTAAATACGATTTCTTTAATGTTCAATATAATTTTAATTACTTTTTGCAGGTTTCCCTATCAAAACAACCAACGGAAGAACCATCTGCACCGGAAAAACGAAAGGCTGACTCCACAGAGGATGAAGGTAATGCCAAGAAGCCCAAGTTCGACGACGAAAAGGACAGAAAAATCAAGCGACCAGGTTTCAGTGACGAAAGATACGACGAAACATCGTATTACTTTGAAAACGGTAAGCTAACAAGGCTAACAACTCAAGTAATTAGTTAATTAAACTTCTACGATTGATCAGGCCTAAGAAAGGTTTATCCCTACTTCTTCACCTTCACAACATTCGCCAAAGGACGCTGGGTTGATGAGAAAATACTCGATGTCTTTGTTCGTGAATTCCGGGCTGCTCCGCCAGAAGAATACGAACGAAGTTTGGAGGCTGGTAAACTGACTGTTAATAACGAGAAGGTTCCCAAGGACTATAAAATCAAGCATAACGATCTGCTGGCCAATGTCGTTCACAGGTAAGTGTGTGTAAAGAGAGCTTTCATTTAAATATTTCCACATTTACTACACATTTTATAGACACGAAGTCCCTGTTACTTCACAGCCCATCAAAATAGTGTACATGGATAAGGATATTGTGGTAGTAAATAAGCCGCCATCGATACCAGTGAGTATCTATTTGTTAATTATTTATTATAACATTTGCAATTATAGAATGCATAACTAAGTCAAAAATGCATTAATTTCAATTCGGAAACCTTTCCTATGCTAGTTTCTATTAGGGCAATAAATCTGCATACTCAGTTTAAAATGTTAAAAAATTACAATTTTTGATAATTTTAACGATGTAACCCCTTATCTTTTTCTGCAAATATCGAAAAAATTTTAAAAATTTTATTTCAACCGGAGATAGTTAGATCGATTCAGCTGTTGATGCTGATCAAGAATATATATGATTTATGGGGTCGGAAATGACCCCTTCACAGTTTTACACGCTTCTGACTAAACTTTAAATACCATTCTTTGAGTCGATATTCATCTATGTTTTATAAGACAATTTTGTCTATGAATCAAATTTTAAAAAACTCATAACTAAGCCAAAAATGCATTAAATTCAAATTTATATTTATATAAACATTTCCTTTTGATATAAATTCCTGATATATGCTGGTTTCTTGAAGGTTCATCCTTGCGGTCGTTATAGACACAACACTGTGGTTTTCATACTGGCCAAGGAGTACAACCTGAAGAACCTGAGAACCATACACCGATTGGATAGGCTCACTTCTGGTTTGCTTCTATTTGGACGCACCGCCGACAAGGCCCGGGAATTAGAGCAGCAAATTCGAACGAGACAAGTGAAAAAGGAATATGTGTGTAGAGTACAGGGACGTTTTCCAGAGTAAGTCGTAAAAGGTTCTTTATTGGAATAACATCGAAAAGTACTTATATACTCAATCCCTTTAGTGGAATCGTTGAATGCAGTGAACCCATAGACGTGGTTAGCTACAAAATCGGAGTTTGTAGGGTCTCACCCAAGGGTAAGGACTGTAAAACCACATTTCAAAGAATTGGCGAGGATGGCGACTGCAGCATTGTTCATTGCAAACCTCTCACAGGACGAATGCATCAAATCCGAGTGCATTTACAATATTTGGGTAAGTAAAGCCTCCACTAGAGTCTGTCTTTGTTTCTAGTAAAATATTTTCCTGACAGGTTATCCCATATCCAACGATCCCTTGTACAACCATGAAGTGTTTGGTCCTTTAAAGGGTAAGGGAGGCGACATTGGTGGAATTAGCGACGAACAGCTGATCAATAATTTAATCAGCATACATAATGCTGAGAATTGGTTAGGCGTTGACGGAGAAATCCAGGCAGATGTAGCGAGTACCACAAATAATAAAGTACAAAAGGAAATCAAGGCTGAGTCTGTGATAGCAGCTTCAGTAAAAGAACACAATGTTGATGTAAGTAATTAATACGTTTTATCGATTATAAATAATATTGATGGTGTTCTTTAATAGGCTTCTACACAAACGTGTCATGAGGAACCAGACAGATCTTATGATCTCAAAAAGTCCACTTCAGATCCCCATTGTCACGAGTGCAAACTTAATTATAGGGAACCCGAAGAAAAAGATCTGATAATGTACTTGCATGCTTGGAAATACAAGGTAAAATTAAAAGTTGTATTAATTTTTAAATATTTCTATTAATAATGATTAAAACATATCATTACAGGGCCTCAACTGGGAGTACAAGACAGAGCTTCCTGACTGGGCTTGTAAAACACAAATTAATTACGAAGAGTTGTGAATCAATAAAAGTTTTCCTAATTTTTTACTTCTCTTCCTATCATTGCCTTACTTGACACTATATAAATAAGGTTCAGAAAATGGCTTTACTTAGCTTAATTCTAGTTTTACCCTTAGTGTTTGCTCAAAATCATCAGTTGCAAAATAATTCAGTTGTGAATTTAAAACCCCTTCACCTTGATAGACCTATAAATATTAAAGATTCTGACAGTGTTTTTGGTTTTCAAAATAATAAAATCAAAAATGGAAATGAAAACCCAGAAATCTGCCAATTTGGGAAAGTTTTAAAACTGGAATTGTACAATTTTCACTCAACTATAGCCCATGGCAATTACTTTGTCAAGTTTTATTCACCAAGCTGTGTGTACTGTAACCTATTTCGTCCTATATGGGAAGAACTCGCATCCGACTTCTTAAATGAAACAAAAGTGTGCATAGCGGAGTATAATTGTAAGGCAGAAATAAAAATATGTAAGGACTTCTCTGTGACAAGTGTTCCTACCCTAATACTGTTTAAGGACGGTGAGAATGTGGAAACGTATAAAGGAAGCAAGGACAAAATGGAACTACGAAATTTTGTTATCAGTCGGAATAATTTGAAAATCTTGGAAAACAGTTCAGGAGCTCAAAAATACGTTCTTATTTACAGTAAATGTCTGTGGTTAATATATATTATATTAAATTACTATTTACAATAAATAATAAATAAAGAAAAGTCTTGTTTAAATTTGCGCACTCTCTGACTCCTATCGATAAATCGATAACTCTGTTAGGTCCAAGAATTGCACGAAGTGCCATCACTGTTGGACATCTGGCGCAAATGCAAAAAACAATTCAAGAACTTTGGCAAATAAATTTATTCCAAAATGATACACGACTTGTTGCTGGCTTGTTTGAGCAGCAGCCAAGAAGCGGAAGGTGTAAAGCAGTTTTTGGTAAGCTTAAAACATAAAGAATTTATCTTTACCGATACCAAATTGCGGTTTCTTGCAGGACACCACAGCTGTTGAGCACTTCATCCATCCTTGCGAGACGGAAATCTTTATGGACATTCTCAACATCATAAATGTGTATCACGAAGTGGTTGAGTTTACACAAATGTACAATACACAGCCTATTTCCAGCGAGGAATTAATTAGCAATGCAGATTCCGAAGGTATAGGAACATATGGTTAGTCTCTGTCAGTTTCAAGTAAAAGCTAGCTTTTTGTAGATCTTTCGCATGGCTTTTACATGCTGAACTTTGTCAAGGGCATCGAGAATGCTTTGGAGGAGCCATACCAGGAGATCGTTCGACTTGAGGCGGATTGTCGCAAAACCAAGCGCAACTCGCTTTCCTATGTGTGCAATGCCCTGCGGACCAAGCTGCCGATGCTGATGTTGATGCGGAAGCTAATCATGGAAGTTAAAGTGATGAAGCTGCGAGGGTGTGCCATGCTGCACAACCTGCACCAGCAGTCCGAACACGGAGATCCACAGCTTGAGAGAATGATTCACAAGCAAGTTTCAAATACTAAATGCAGTCTGAATGGATTAATCTTACTTCATATCCCTTTTAGAGTTATTAAGCCTGTTAAGCATGCCTTTTTCTCGAGCCTGGCTCACTGGATGCTCTTTGGCGTGATCGACGATATACACTCGGAGTTTTTCATTAATTTTATTCCCACGGGATCTGAACATGGCAGCATTTGCAGCAAATCAACGCAAAGCTTTATTTTGGTAACAGTTTTTCTCCATCATTTTACCTAAATAAAATAATTATTTTCTAGAGTGGCGAGCAAACAACTGAGGACTACATCTGGCAATATGAAATTAATATGAAGCAGTTGCCCGGCTTTCTGTCCATCATAAGTGCCGAGAAGGTTCTCTTCGTGGGGCAAACTGTGCTCGTCTTCAAAATGGGACGAAATCCCAAGAGCAAGAACAAAGTGGATCAAATGGCAGCGGAACTAAATGAAATGTCACGCGAGGATATCTATGAACTGTGGAGTGGCCGCGAGTCGGAGTTCTTCAAGACGATCCAAGACCTCAGCAACGACGATAAGATCAATGTATTTCGCGTCGAGCAAGTTGTGAACGATATCAAGAAATATGTGAGCAGACGACTCTCGGAAATTGCAGTAAACGAAGTGGATTTGGAGCGTCAAATGGTATTGCTAAAAGATTTCTATCTGCTGGGTCGCGGAGAGTTTTTCTTGGAGTTTTTCTCGCAATTGCATGGCAACTTTGATGTCAATACGGAAATGCGATCTAGAAACTATACCAGAGCGTTTGAGGTGAGCTTAAAGACTAGTTTTTTTTTAACTTAAGTGGTTATCTTTAATAAATTCCTTGCAGCTGGCCGCAACTGGATTGCGAATAACAGATGACCTGGAAAACTTCTCCCTCACAACTCTCAGAAACAGCGAGGAGCCCGATGAGAGCTACGACTTTCAGGTGCTGCAATCTATGCACTTGAAATATATTTATGAATGGCCCCTGAATTTGTTGTTTTCGCCGAAAGCCATCGAGCGATACAATAAAATCTTTCGCTTCTTGCTTATAATCCGCGGTCTTCAGTACCAAATGCAACGAGTTTGGGCCAAGCAGACGTGGACTGTAAAGGCCGAAACCGGTGGCACCAACATCAGGGTCATGAATCTCCGCAATCACTTGCTCTTCTTTCTGAACAATTTGCAGTATTATATCCAGGTGGATGTGCTTGAAAGTGAGTAGCTTGCACCTTTATGTACATTCATTACATATCTACTTACAGGTCAGTTCGAGATATTCATGAATGTGATAAAGAGTAGAGCGGATTTCGAGGAAATACAAAGAGCGCATACGGTCTTCCTGGCGAACGTACTGTCGCAATGTTTCCTGCTTTCGGACACAAAAGACGCTCATCTGAATATCACCGCTTGCCAAACCCAGGCTAATCCCATTTACGGCACCATTCTGAAGCTCTTTAGCATATGCGAGAAATTCATACACATGACGCAGGCAACGGACAAAGCAGATGATATCACAGAGGAGGTCGAGCGTCTTGGAAAGGAGTAAGCATTAATTCGATTTTGTTATGTATTTATTATAAGGCTCCAAGTATTTTACGTAACTGATAAATAAAACTTTGTTTTTACAGATTTGGTGTACAAATTGCAAGCCTTATTCAACTGCTTGTGGACATAAAGACTTCATCTTGCTTGGGTCCGCTCTCCCAGCTGTTGCTGCGATTGGACTTTAACCATTGGTTTAGCAAGCAGCACTGCCAGCCTGGTCAAAGGTAATAAATAAATAGCCTAAAGCTGCAGGCGTTTAATGTCCTCTATGCGAAAGTCGCTTCTGCAAAAATACAATTAATGAAAGTGTTAAAAGATAGGATATGGAAAGTGAATAAATTGTTAACCTTAAGGTTAGAAATGTGCGAACTTCGTTGGGCGTCAGGTGCCATGTTGACATTTCCTTGTTATTCTCGGGACTCCAGTACTCGGAGAGCTCTGAAATCTTGTCCAGATTTAAAAGTGTGGCTATTTGTGAGATCCGCGTCATTTTATCCCGTACAGACCAGGACGTGGCCCCTGTTAGATAACTTCCCAAGGCACGGACCTCTTGATCCAGCACCAGGCCGCCCAGCTATGATGAGAGATAAATATATTATATATTAAGATGATTCCCGATCGAAATACTTACCCTATTGAAGCTTATTTTCTTTATAGCCCTTTCCAATTGGATTGTTACTTCGGTGGCTAGAATACTGACTAGGGCGTCGTAGTTCCTGGGACTCAGGGAGCTCTTGAAGGAATTGAGCAGCCCATCCAATTGCACAATGAAAAACTGAACAAAAGTCTCGCCAGCCTCGTAAGCAGCCAGTTCTTCCTGCCAAATAAGGAAGCTTCAATAGATGCTTCTATTAATATAGAATCACCTCACCTCATTCAAATTGTGACTATAATTCAAGAACTGATTGATCCAGGGATTCAGTCGCGGCTTGATAACGCTGGATCGGAGTTGCTGCATTCCAAAATCAACAGTGGCCTTCAGGGTATCTCGCACAGCCTTTAGTTCTGTAAGGCAGCTATCCAGCAATTGTCGCTCCACCGGCGAGGTTTGTGGAAATGTTCCACCGATTTCCTGCTCCATCGTTTGCCACAGAGTCTCGATATACTCTGTGGAGATGTCGGCATTGTTAAGCTGGACGAGGAAATTGCCCCGAACTCGATCGGCGTCGCTGGAATGTAATTTGCCCTGCTGCAAAGTTGTCTGAATGGCATTATAGGCTTGAGCCAGGTCAATGTAGCCCGATGGATAGCCGTTTTTAAGGGGAGCCTTAAGCGCCGCTACGAAGTCACCGTCTAGACAGGCTGCCACATTATTGATGACAGCACAGGTTCCGTTGATGGACTGAGTAGTCAGGGCTCGGCGAATGGATTTGCGTAATATAAAGAAGACGTCGTCCACCATGGAAGAGCACTGCTGCCCGGGCTCATAGGCATCCAAGCCGATGGCCTTGAGGACGCTTTCCTCCATGAAATATCTAAAAATACATAAAGAATTTAAATTAGAACGTAACTATTTAATATCTTTGCGAAACAATTACCTTTCAAGGAGCAAATAGGTGCTCAGAATCTCTTGCATTTGCCGGCGCAAGTCCGAGTTCTTCATTATCTTTTCATAGCGCTCCATTATTTCCATTTGTTCTTTTTCGGGCACACAAGTCTCTATATGAACCTGTAAGAGCCTTTAAAGTAACTCCTGACCATAAAAGCTACTATTCTTGAACTCACCTGCAAGCGACGCCGCATGAATCTAAAGTACAGCTCTACTCGAGCATGCATCACAGTGATTTCAGCGATGATGGCATCGATTTCCTTGGGATTCAGCTTGTCCACGGATCCACCAGAGGGTTTTCGATAATGTCCCAAAGCCTGAATACTGTTGCTACTGACGCTGCCGCCGCCTGCAGCGCTCCTCTGTGTCGATTCATTTACTTGCTTGCTACGGTACTGAATCTGTCGGTTTTTGTTGAACTCCATTAACAGGTTCTTGACTTCAGCATCGCATTCGTGCTGCAGTATGGCTACCATGTCAATCAGAGAGGCAGAACTAAGGGTATCAATAAAAATTAATGGATATCAACCTTATCGGCAAGTAACACCTACGCTTGGCCATAGAATGCTTCAATTATGGGCTGATTAACCTCGACGACTCGTGCGAAATTCTCCAAAATGGCAGTCAAACGATCAGCATATGCCAACTGCATCCTGGATTCAGCTTTGGCTATATCCTGGGCATTCCGCAGCTCCTTCTGCGCCTTAGCCGACAGCTTCTGGCAAATGTATGTGGAAAACTTCTCAATGCCAATGCGATGGCAGCCTATAAGCGGAAATATCTTAAAGAATCTCTCCACCGAAGCCAAATCATCGCTCTTGACGGCCTCGTCGAATCGCTTTGCGATGAGCACCCGTGTCTTTTCCGTGGCATCCTCCAGTGTCTTGACCGCATCGCTCACCGAAGTTATAGAGCCCTGGACATCGTCAGCGGTGCGCCGCAGAAGCTGCTGATCCATTGCCAGGAAGCGAGCAATGTGCGTGGCACTCTTCTCGTAGTCTTCCTCGCCGATGGCCTTCACCACGCCCTGGCTGCACAGGTGGAGGTCGATAAGGTCGTGTACCCTCTGCTGGCACTCGGAGGCCCGGCACCTGGCCAAATCCAGCCGGCGTACCTTGGCGCTCACAGACTCGGCCAACTGGGCGGTGTTTACGATTTGTGCATTTAACTTGCTGGAATCACTGTCCACGGTATGCAACAGAGTCAAGGATCGGCCAATGCCGCTCATTTTGGCTTCTATCTGGCATTGTTTGGCCAGCAAAGCTTCCAGTTTCTCGTTTACTTTCGCCTGCAAAACGAATAAAAAAAATTTATTTTTTGCGAATTATTGTTGACATTGCGTTCGGACCTCTTCTTCGGCAATTCGCTGCAGAGTCTCGTCCACCTGTCCACTTGTGCCGATGTCCAAGGCGCTCAGTTGTTTCACTACACTCATCCTGCGAACATCGGGTAGTAAATGGTTCTCCTATACGGCTAAATTAAGACTTTATTAAACAAATTTTGGTTGATCTACGTGGGCAATGTTTTTGCACGTAATAGAGATGGGATATGAACGATTCTCGTCACCAGTGTATCGGAATTTGGTAAATCGATAGAATCACTATCACTATCGATTGAAAACTAAAGTAATTTAAAATCAGCTTTAGTTGCCTTTTATTGTTGAATTATATCTATAAATAAAAACGGAACAATTGCTTTTTCAGTGATGAGTTTTTAAGACAGTGCCACAGAATGACCAAGTTATAATTAAATATTTGTTTCTTTCTGGTGGCAACTCTTACATTTCAAATCAGCTGGAAACGAAATCGAAAGCCCGACCAAAATATTGATTAGCAATAACTGTAGCTTTAGCTTTAGCGTAGCAAGTCCGATTGATTAGCTGTAGACATGGACTTCACGGGCTTCGAAGTGCGCAAGGTAAGGAGCAGGAAACAACTAGAGATCGAGGTATAAACCCTCTATACCCATTTTACAGTGCCCGCCGACTGCCATGTACATTCCGAACTTCATCACATCCGAGGAGGAGCAGCGTATCCTTAGCCACATCGAGCGTACACCCAAGCCGCGCTGGACCCAGCTGCTCAACCGGCGGCTGGTCAACTACGGTGGTGTCCCTCATCCCAACGGAATGATTGCAGAGGAGATACCCGATTGGCTGCAGACTTACGTCGACAAGGTAAACAATCTGGGCGTTTTCGAGTCGCCTCAGAATGCCAATCATGTGCTGGTCAATGAGTATCTGCCCGGGCAGGGCATCCTACCTCACACGGACGGGCCGCTCTTTTTTCCTATTATATCGACGATCTCGTGCGGTTCGCACACGGTACTGGAGTTTGCAAAGCGGGAAACGGAGGATGATCTACAGCCGGCGCCGCGTGAGGTCCTCTTCAAGCTGGTGCTGGAACCGCGCAGCCTGCTCATCCTAAAGGACACGCTGTACAGCGACTATCTACACTCCATAGCAGAGAACAGCGAGGATGTGCTCTGCGATCGCATCTGCAACTATGATCTGTGCGAGAACACCTACAAGATTGGTGATCACCTAGTTCGCCGCTCGCCTCGCATTTCCCTCACTATCCGCAACGTGCCCAAGACGAGCAAGATGAAGCTCAAGTTTTGCTAGGGCGGCAGGTCCTACCCGTCATTCTGCACTTACATACATATAGATGTTGTTGATGTTGACTAAACGCACGTTAAGCTGAAGACCCACTGAAGTCAGGTGGCATCCTGGAGGAGATCTTGGCATAGCCCGCAACTGTATCTTCCGCTAGTTGTTTAAGCACCACCACTCGCACCACTAAACTGTCTATCACGAGCAACCACACACACAAAAGTGCTTTATTTTAACGTTAACATTATGTGTACATATTATATAGAAATGTTTGTAAGCCATAAGTTGCGCCTTGATCTGAGGACAAAGTCGGGCCATATCCCCCGATTCCATTTGTCCCCCCGCCGGCGGCCATTAGATTTAGTTACGCGAGCAATTGTTGAGAGAGCAATCCACCACACACGGTCTAGATTTTGTGAAATATGTACTATATATATGCAGCTGAAAAATGTATATGGCGGAGCACGCTATGTACTCCATGCTCCAAGCACCCGTGCCCGTCTCCCATCTCCCGTGTCCCGTGTCCAAGTGTATTTTTGTAACCGTTTTTTTCACCGCGCGAAGAGTTTGCAATAAACGTTACAGTCCACCACACTGATCATGATCCGTCTCTCCTCGTTAGGCCTCCGCCTCCTGCCACTCCAGCCGGAACTCACGCTCAAAGACCAAACGATCATATAGACGCACCTCGCTAATCCTCGCCGAGATGTCCAGCCGGAGCTCACTCACCGCCAGATGGAAGTTCTGGCGCACCGTTCGCTGCTTGTCGGGCGTGAGCTGGTTCAGCGGCTTGCGGAAGATGCTGATGATGCGCTGCAGATGATACTCCACGCTGGCACAGCGACCGATGCACACCCACAGGTTCTCCGGATCGTGGATGTTTCCCGGAAACCGGGTACGCTGATCAAAGGGAGCTTTTCCCGAAAGCAGGGCCCTCACCTCGGCCACGATCTCCTGATGTGTCCTTAGATCGCGAGTGCTAAGGGTGGTGAACTCGTACTTGTCGCAGAAGTACATCAGCTCCGAAATGGCCACCCAGGGCTGGGAACAGAGCGTTGCATGGTGGTTGGACCAGTTGGAGTAGCCCGCCGGACTTGAGGATTTCGTGGCTGATGCAGCAGCAGCAGAAGTCGAAGTGCCATTGGGAGTCGGAGAAGTCTTTGTGGGACTACCTGTCTTGGATTTGGTTGCATCCAAACCATTTGTGGATATTGCTGAACGTCGCTCCGTTCGCTGCAGCTGCTCCATTTCCCTCTCATGCTCCTTGGCCCTCAGGTAGGCCTCCTTCTTCTGCTGCAGCTCCTGGAGTTTGGTGAGCTTTGGCGGCGAGTAGGACTTGGTAAAGACGCTGGGAGGTGGCGGAGCAGGGGGAGATAAAGCTTCCGTCACCGGCTCCCCATCTGTGATGGCTGTCACTGCTATGCCATTTGTGTCCAGCGAGGCACTGCGTCCGTACTTCGCTCGGTAGCGCTCCAGCGTGTCCAGCGAAAAGCTAAGCTCCTTCTTGATGACCTTCTGCATGGTCTCTGGGGTGGGTTTTCTGCTGACTTTATGTAATCACCTTGAGGCCCACCGATCGATGCACGCGTGCCGTTCCCCTCGAGAATTTACAAGCGAATGCGAGCGAATGAACATTCCGCAACGGAAGAGCGGATCTCTTTATTTTTATCTTTTATCAATCGGCGGCGAGCCATGTGCACTTTATTTCGGTCTCTGCCAATACAATTTTGATTCGCCCAAACGAAATGCGTATGGATGGTGCTGGGGCTAGCATCTCATCCGCAGATGAGAGAAAGATTTATTTCGGTGCCTCGGCTTTGCTTCTGATCGATTTCTTTAACTTCTTTTTATAGTCTGGGGCAGACGGATACCTGGAATACCACGTTTTTGGAGCTTGAGGGACAACCTTCTATCCTTCTTACTGGTTTTGAGGTTCGCGAAACTGCGGACAAGTCGCTTGTCACTAGTCTTTGGTTTTTCCAGACGCTTAAGTTTACCGCTCTTCACGAGACGGACATTCTTCTTCTTCGGCTTGCTAGTGCCTGCTTTAGAGTCCTTTTTGACTGTTAAATGGTTGGAAGTTACCACCTGGACCTGGTCCTCGAATAGGGCGTGAATATCGCCCCAGTTGTATATGTCAGAATTATGGGTAGGACTGGAAGGCCGAGGAAAAGCCTGATGCCAGGACTCGACAGTATCCTTCCGGTCGGGCCTAATCCCATTATTGCCTTCTAGTGAAAACATGCCGAAAGACTGATTTTTCTATTTAAAAAGATTTCCAACAAACTTTCTGAATTTGTTCTTTTTTCCACAAAAAAAAAATATATTTGCTTGTTACTGTGAGAGATTAGAGAACAGACTCGGCCAGGCAATGCCAAAAATGAGAAGAATCCAAACTCCTAGACTACTTTTCAAGTACAAAGTTTACACATTTTATTTCATAAACAGTATATAAATATTATAAATTGCAAATGGCACACTTTATCTTTCTCGCGTTAAGTACAAAATATTACTCGTTGATTATTATTTTGTTTTAGAAAATATAATATTTCTGGTGTGTGCTGTGAACAAAAAATGCACAAAGTACATTTAATACTTTTCGTTTTCGCTTTTGTTGTTTTGCCAGCCAGGGCCACTCTCTCACATGGATGCGGTAAATAAATATATATTGACTTATAGTAATAGAAAAAATGTACAAAATTACACAAACTATCAATCAATCAATCACTTCCTCCTCACGAAGACACGGAACATAGATGGGACTAACTAGAAGAGGACGTTTAACAACTACATAAAGAGCGGGTGAGTGGGCAGAAGGCACGGGGTATACACAGAGTGGATTTGTCCAAGTAAAAAATCATCTTAAGCCTAAGGTGGTTCCATAATTTACAATAAAGCCGGTGGTATCAACTCCACTCCCTCCTCAAACGCAGTATGACGCTGGCACCTCGAAGATAATGTTGCCAGCATTATGACGGAAGTTGGGTATCTCCACATTGGACGCCGCCTCCACCACAATGGTGCGGGCCTTGTCGCCCAGTCGGCAGGCTATGTTGTTGCTCACATTCACTCTGAGCTCGGTGCCAGTGATGCTGTAGAAGATTAAGGATTAGTCTGGCTTAGAAGCGGGGTTTCTATGGCATCAACTTACTCATGGTACTTCTTGCACACAATGCCCACCAGCTCACCAATGCGGTCTTCCTTCAAGGTGGTGTGCTCACCCTGCAGGGAGAATACCAAGTCATTGTTCTTGGGCGAGTGGAAGACCACCAGTTGATCCCGACCAGGTGTTATGCTAATTGAAGTCAACTGCAGAAGATACAAGATTTTAATAAGGTTAGTAAAAAGATCTGTTTCTATTCCTAAGGCAGGTTTAATTGCTGTTATAAACTTACCTCTCTTATCCCAATAGATCTTTGTAGATTGCGGAACTTCTTCTTGATCCCATCCAGCTTATATATAGTCGTATCGGTGACGATGAAGGCACGATCTGCCTGCTTGTTATGCCTGTTGAATTTCTTCACAAAGCCGGAGAAGAGCACTTGGCGGAAGGATTCCACCCCATTGGCATTGGCATTGGCCAGTTGGTTCTTCATGTTGCGCACATTGGTCGAGTAGGCATCGTAACCGCTATTATCCTGCGAGTTGGCCAGATAGTCACCCAGCCATCGACGCTGCTGACCCCAATAGGGTCTCCGACCGGCCAGAGCGGTGGCGGCTATGATCTGCAGCCGGAGTTGGGGCCATTCGCTGCGTGGATACTTCCGGAGGATCATAAAGGCACGCCAGAAATCAAACATGCGATGCAGCTTGGCCTCCGCCTTCCGTCCTGCAAGTGGCGGGTGTGGCCACTGGATGCTCTTTCCGTAGTCACGCATCTGCTTAGCATTGCGGAAGCGGTTGGCCAGCTCCTGGACGTAGCTGCGCAGCTTGTAGGTCTTGTACGCCCGCATAATGGCAATGGCCGCCTTCATCTTTTTGTAGTTCCTTCGAGCGATCCATCCACGCACCCGTTTCTGCAGCAGGGTCACAATGTGCGGGATCATCTCGTTACGCTGCTGCTCCAGGGCAAACAAGGTGCGAGGTGATCGGATGAAGATCTTTGTGTGACCATACTTGACGTCCTGGGCGAAGCCCTTCTCCTCGATCAGCACACGGACGCCATCGCGTTCGTTGCCCGACCGGAAGTTGGGCCAAGTGAACTGCGAGATCATTTTGTAGCGAAGCAGGAATTTGTCATAACGCTGGCGGTTCACAAAGCCGGCGCGACGCACCCGCACGTTCTCCAGGAGGCCGAGGTAGCGCACCTGGTGCTGCACTCGCTCCTCGTCGAACACCGTCGAGCTCTTGATATCATTAGGCTTGATGCAGCGCACGTAGAAGGGTTCCTTCTTCAGCAGTGTGACTACCAGGTCGGCCATGGAACGCTGGAACAGAGTGCCGGCAGTGAGCGGTCTTTTGGTGGTCTTCTTGATGTCCTGGGCACCCTCGGGCCACATCTCGCTAAGGTTGGCATCCTTGGAGTTGTGAAGCAGACGCTTGAAGTCCTGATACAGCGTGTCCTTGTTCTTCTCGATGAAACCATTGATGTTGTAGATCACATCGCCGGCGTAATGGGTGATGCGGAAGTCCTCACGATGCTTCAGCTCCTTGTCGGTGGGCTTCAGCTGGCGACTCGTGTAGTGGGGATGCTTGCTCAGGTTCTTGTCCATGGCACCCAGGAGGGTGTCGTCGGTGACCTTGCCTACACTGAGACACGCCTCGTCCATGATAGCAATAATACCCTTGTGGGGTTGCTCGACCAGATCGCAAATGATCTTGTTATTGAAGTAGTCAATATTCGTCCACTCGATGCCCTCACGCTGGTACTCCTCCTGCTCCTGCTTCAGCACCAGCTCTGGAAGGGATTATACTATTAATAAAAATTCTACTCCTTAATTGGATGAGTGATTTCATTACCTATAAAGAGCTGCTGTAGCTTCTCGTTGCAATAGTTAATGCAGAATTGCTCAAAGCTGTTGGAATCAAAGATCTCGAAACCGTAGATGTCCAGCACTCCGATGACCGAGTTGAATCTCGCCTGGGTCTTACTGCCGCGGAAGAGGATGGCCCGATTGATACGCGAGATGATCCA